GTTTTACTGGTCTGACCTACACCAGGTAAGGTTTTTCTAGTCTGGCCTACACCAGGTAAGGTTGTTCTAGTCTGGTCTGGCCTACACCAGGTAAGGTTGTTCTAGACCTACACCAGGTAAGGTTGTTCTAGTCTGGCCTACACCAGGTAATGTTGTTCCAGTCTTTCCCACACCAAGTAAGTTTGTTCTAGTCTGGCCTACACCTGGTAAGGTTGTTCTAGTCTGTACAGACATTGCAGGTCTAGTCTGTTCCAGTCTGTCCTACACCAGGTAAGGTTGTTCTAGTCTGGCCTACACCAGGTAAAGTTGTTCCAGTCTTTTCCAAACCAAGTAAGTTTGTTCTAGTCTGGCCTACACCGGGTAAAGTTGTTCTAGTCTGGCCTACACCAGGTAAGGTTGTTCTAGTCTGACCTACACCAGGTAAGGTTGTTCTAGTCTGGCCCACACCAGGTAAGGTTGTTCTAGTCTGGCCTACACCAGGTAAGGTTGTTCTAGTCTGGCCTACACCAGGTAAGGTTGTTCTAGTCTGGCCTACACCAGGTAAGGTTGTTCTAGTCTGTCCTACACCAGGTAAGGTTGTTCTAGTCTGACCTACACCAGGTAAGGTTGTTCTAGTCTGGCCTACACCAGGTAAGGTTGTTGTTCTAGTCTGGCCTACACCAGGTAAGGTTGTTCTAGTCTGGCCCTACACCAGGTAAGGTTGTTCTAGTCTAAGGTTGTTCCTACACCAGGTAAGGTTGTTCTAGTCTGGCCTACACGAGCTATGGATGTGTTAGTGTTTGTTAGACGTGTGCAGGTTGTTCTTGTCTGTTCTAGTCTTGACTACACCAGGTAAGGTTGTTCTAGTCTGGCCTACACCAGGTAAGGTTGTTCTAGCCTGACCTACACCAGGTAAGGTTGTTCTAGTCTGGCCTACACCAGGTAAGGTTGTTCTAGTCTGGCCTACACCAGGTAAGGTTGTTCTAGTCTGGCCTACACCAGGTAAGGTTGTTGTCTGACCTACACCGGGTAAGGTTGTTCTAGTCTGGCCTACACCAGGTAAGGTTGTTCTAGTCTGACCTACACCAGGTAAGGTTGTTCTAGTCTGGCCTACACCAGGTAAGGTTGTTCTAGTCTGACCTACACCAGGTAAGGTTGTTCTAGTCTGGACTACACCAGGTAAGGTTGTTCTAGTCTGGCCTACACCAGGTAAGGTTGTTCTAGTCTGACCTACACCAGGTAAGGTTGTTCTGGTCTGGCCTACACCAGGTAAGGTTTTTCTAGTCTGACCTACACCAGGTAAGGTTGTTCTAGTCTAGCCTACACCGGGTAAGGTTGTTCTAGTCTAGCCTACACCAGGTAAGGTTGTTCTAGTCTGTCCTATACCAGGTTCGGTTGATCTAGTCTGACCTACACCTGGTAAGGTTGTTCTAGTCTGAACTACACCAGGTAAGGTTGTTCTAGTCTGACCTACACCAGGTAAGGTTGTTCTAGTCTGGCCTACACCAGGTAAGGTTTTACTGGTCTGACCTACACCAGGTAAGGTTTTTCTAGTCTGGCCTACACCAGGTAAGGTTGTTCTAGTCTAGCCTACACCAGGTAAGGTTGTTCTAGTCTGTCCTATACCAGGTTCGGTTGTTCCAGTCTGTCCTACACCAGGTAAGGTTGTTCTAGTCTGGCCTACACCAGGTAAGGTTGTTCTAGCCTGACCTACACCAGGTAAGGTTGTTCTAGTCTGGCCTACACCAGGTAAGGTTGTTCTAGTCTGGCCTACACCAGGTAAGGTTGTTCTAGTCTGTCCTACACCAGGTAAGGTTGTTCTAGTCTGGCATACACCAGGTAAAGTTGTTCCAGTCTTTTCCAAACCAAGTAAGTTTGTTCTAGTCTGGCCTACACCGGGACCTAGGTAAGGTTGTGCTAGTCTGGCCTACACCAGGTAAGTTTGTTCTAGTCTGACCTACACCAGGTAAGGTTGTTCTAGTCTGGACTACACCAGGTAAGGTTGTTCTAGTCTGGCCTACACCAGGTAAGGTTGTTCTAGTCTGTCCTACACCAGGTAAGGTTGTTCTAGTCTGGCCTACACCAGGTAAGGTTGTTCTAGTCTGGACTACACCAGGTAAGGTTGTTCTAGTCTGGCCTACACCGGGTAAAGTTGTTCTAGTCTGGCCTACACCAGGTAAGGTTGTTCTAGTCTGACCTACACCAGGTAAGGTTGTTCTAGTCTGGCCCACACCAGGTAAGGTTGTTCTAGTCTGACCTACCCCAATGAAGGCTATTCTAGTCTGAACTACACCAGGTAAGGTTGTTCTAGTCTGACCTACACCAGGTAAGGTTGTTCTAGTCTGGCCTACACCAGGTAAGGTTGTTCTTGCCTGACCTACACCAGGTAAGGTTGTTCTAGTCTGGCCTAAACCAGGTAAAGTTGTTCCAGTCTTTCCCAAACCAAGTAAGTTTGTTCTAGTCTAGCCTACACCGGGTAAGGTTGTTCTAGTCTGGCCTACACCAGGTAAGGTTGACCTAGTCTGACCTACACCTACTGCTAATGCAGGTTGTTCTAGTTGATCTAGTCTGGACTACACCAGGTAAGGTTGTTCTGGTCTGGCCTACACCAGGTAAGGTTGTTCTAGTCTGGCCTACACCAGGTAAGGTTGTTCTAGTCTGGCCTACACCAGGTAAGGTTGTTCTAGTCTAGCCTACACCAGGTAAGGTTGTTCTAGTCTGTCCTATACCAGGTTCGGTTGTTCCAGTCTGTCCTACACCAGGTAAGGTTGTTCTAGTCTGGCCTAAACCAGGTAAAGTTGTTCCAGTCTTTCCCAAACCAAGTAAGTTTGTTCTAGTCTAGCCTACACCGGGTAAGGTTGTTCTAGTCTGGCCTACACCAGGTAAGGTTGACCTAGTCTGACCTACAGCAATGCAGGTTGTTCTAGTCTGATCTAGTCTGGACTACACCAGGTAAGGTTGTTCTGGTCTGGCCTACACCAGGTAAGGTTGTTCTAGTCTGGCCTACACCGGGTAAGGTTGTTCTAGTCTGGCCTACACCAGGTAAGGTTGACCTAGTCTGACCTACAGCAATGCAGGTTGTTCTAGTCTGATCTAGTCTGGACTACACCAGGTAAGGTTGTTCTGGTCTGGCCTACACCAAGTAAATTTGTTCTAGTCTGGCCTACACCGGGTAAGGTTGTTCTAGTCTGGCCTACACCAGGTAAAGTTGTTCCAGTCTTTTCCAAACCAAGTAAGTTTGTTCTAGTCTGGCCTACACCGGGTAAGGTTGTTCTAGTCTGGCCTACACCAGGTAAGGTTGTTCTAGTCTGACCTACAGCAATGAAGGTTGTTCTAGTTTGATCTAGTCTAGACTACACCAGGTAAGGTTGTTCTGGTCTGGCCTACACCAGGTAAGGTTTTTCTAGTCTGACCTACACCAGGTAAGGTTGTTCTAGTCTAGCCTACACCAGGTAAGGTTGTTCTAGTCTGGCCTACACCAGGTAAGGTTGATCTAGTCTGATCTATACCAAGTAAGCTTGATCTAGTCTGACCTACACCAGGTAAGGTTGATCTAGTCTGACCTACACCGGGTAAGGTTGTTCTAGTCTGGCCTACACCAGGTAAGGTTGTTCTAGTCTGACCTACACCAGGTAAGGTTGTTCTAGTCTGTCCTACACCAGGTAAGGTTGTTCTACTGGCCTACACCAGGTAAGGTTTTACTGGTCTGACCTACACCAGGTAAGGTTTTTCTAGTCTGGCCTACACCAGGTAAGGTTGTTCTAGTCTAGCCTACACCAGGTAAGGTTGTTCTAGTCTGTCCTATCCCATTGAAGGCTATTCTAGTCTGGCCTACACCAGGTAAGGTTGTTCTAGCCTCTAGGACCTACACCAGGTAAGGTTGTTCTAGTCTGGCCTACACCAGGTAAGGTTGTTCTAGTCTGACCTACACCAGGTAAGGTTGTTCTAGTCTGGCCTACACCAGGTAAGGTTGTTCTAGTCTGGCCTACACCAGGTAAGGTTGTTCTAGTCTGTCCTACACCAGGTAAGGTTGTTCTAGCCTGACCTACACCAGGTAAGGTTGTTCTAGTCTGGCCTACACCAGGTAAGGTTGTGCTAGTCTGGCCTACACCAGGTAAGGTTGTTCTAGTCTGACCTACACCAGGTAAGGTTGTTCTAGTCTGGACTACACCAGGTAAGGTTGTTCTAGTCTGGCCTACACCAGGTAAGGTTGATCTAGTCTGATCTATACCAAGTAAGCTTGATCTAGTCTGACCTACACCAGGTAAGGTTGTTCTAGTCTGACCTACACCAAGTAAGCTTGATCTAGTCTGATCTATACCAAGAATGCCTGATTTAGTCTGACCTACACTAAGTAAGCTTGATCAAGTCTGGCCTACACCAGGTAAGGTTGTTTTACTCTGGCCTACAGGTATGGGCTCCAATATTACATTCGATAAACTAAAAAGAATTATTTTGTTATATACATTAACAGATTTACATAAAATTACATACATCTCTACCGGCACATATCGGCTATCGTAACAGATTTATATAAAGTTATGTACATATCTGCCGAGCCATATCGGCTACCGTAGTTTCCAATCTCTATCGATGCAATTATGTTACTTCTCCAAATACGTTTGATTTCCACGTAGTAATATTTTACCTACAAAACACTTGATGGGTGATGTACCGCTGCGCTTATAAGTATCGTTTCTGGTGTAGCATGATCATATCCGGAAACCAAGTAACCAGGATCCTGTAGTTTTAGTAAATTACTCTTAACATGAATTTAACTTCCGTTGTCATATTAGCGGGAACTTTCTGAATGTTTGTTTACACTGGTGACATCACTCTTGACTGGAACACTTGTGGTATACTTGAAACGTTTATTTAGAAACATCCTCTAACATGCGGGATATACCTATATAAGGACATTGACCAGGAAGTGTATTGGTCCTACAGAGTATTACAGTGACACGCCGTCTAAACCGCTGACTGTTGTGTTGTCATCTGTTATGTCTCATCAAAACATGGGCCAGGGGACAAAATAGCTTTCCCACACTGGAGCATTTGTTTCCAATTCAATTCGAAGATGTTTAATATTGATGGAGCTAGTTTTTGGTGTGGGATTCTATGTGTCTGTGGTTGTATCCAAATTCTGTCTTGTAAAGGTAGGTATTTATATTGATGGGAATAACATATTGTTCAGAAAAGCATCACATATATATTATAGAGAAAAAAAATCTCCTTAAAAGGGAGACTATTACCGCTGTGTACCTGTGATCCGTGATAACACGTGTATATATAACCCGTGATACTAAGTGTATCTATGGTCCGTGATATCACGTGTATCTATAATTCGTGATACCACGCGTACCTATAATCCGTGATACCACGTGTATCTGTGATCCGTTATATCACGTGTATCTGTGATCCGTTATATCACGTGTACCTATGACCCGTTTACGAGGACGCGGAAAAGTGGAGGTGGAAAGTGGGCCTAGCACTATGTTATCATGACATGGAAAGCGGGCCTTAGCACCATGCAGTCAGGACGTGGAAAGCGGCCTAGTAATATGCAATCAGGATGTGGAAAGTGGGCCTAGCACCATGCAGTCAGGACGTGGAAAGCGGCCTAGTAATATGCAATCAGGATGTGGAAAGTGGGCCTAGCACCATGCAATCAGGAAGTGGAAAGTGGGCCTATCACCATGCAATCAGGACGTGGAAAGTGGGCCTAGCACCACGTTATCAGGACGTGGAAAATGGGCCTAGCACCATGCAACCAGGACGTGGAAAGTGGGCATAGCACCATGTAATCAGTACGTGGAAGGCGGGCCTAGCACCATGTAATCAGGACGTGGAAAGTGGGCATAGCACCATGCAATCAGTACGTGGAAGGTGGGCCTAGCACCATGTAATCAGGACGTGGAAAGTTGGTCTAGCACTATGTAATCAGGACGGACCTTAACGAAAGGTTGTATGATTTGAAATAGTATTTATAAACTATAGTATTTACAAGATATTGTATCCAGATATAAATAAACTGTTCCTTGCGAACGGTTGTGCTCTAACATAGGGACGTCTTCACATACAACCACTTACAGAAGGGTCTTCATCTCTTACGTAAGAAAAATTACAAGTGTACAACACTTTCTAATAGGTCTGCCTGTGTGACATGTTAGAGGGTTTGACCAAATACGTAGATACATTATGTGTGCATATAAACTATATATATACATTTAATGTATGTAAAGATTCATCTCCTATCTTGACTTTACTAATTCCATAACCAAGTTTGAACTAGTCTGACCTTTACCAAGTAAGCTTGAACTAGTCTGAGCTACACCAAGTACGTTTGATCTACTCTGACCTTTACCAAGTAAGCTTGATCTACTCTGACCTTTACCAAGTACGTTTGATCTACTCTGACCTTTACCAAGTAAGCTTGATCTACTCTGACCTTTACCAAGTAAGCTTGATCTACTCTGACCTTTACCAAGTAAGCTTGATCTACTCTGACCTTTACCAAGTACGTTTGATCTACTCTGACCTTTACCAAGTAAGCTTGACCTAGTCTGGCTTTTACGAAGTAATCTTTGTTCAAGTTCGAGATTGTTAAATTGTAAGCAGATTCTACGTATTCAAAACTGACATCCTATCACTATGTACACCATTTTTAACACAGAATTTTTGAGGAAATACTGACCCCCTTCAAACCCCAACAAAATTAATATTTTGGCATTTAATGACACCTTTACCGGTTTTTGGATTTTCCAGAAATGTTCACCAAAAATTCTTAACACACAGGGCCAAATAATATATAAAGATTTTTGGTTTACTCAAACATACATCGAATATACATGATTCAATTCTTTGAAAAATTGGCTGAGAAAAATCCTACTTTTTCAATTTTGAAATTACATGATATTTTTATTTTGCAATATTTTGATACATATTTAACACCATATTGTCAAACTGATCCTTGTTAATCAGACAGTATATCATTTGGTAGTGTACGCTGTGGTTTTATTACTTTTAATACCGAAGCCTGTTATACTCCCATGGTTACGACACTAAATAGGTCGTAACACAGACCCTATGGACCTTTGAATTTTTTAATATTATTGTATTTTTTTTTTTTTTTTTTCTTCTTTTTTTTTTTTTGTAAGTTTTGTTATTTTGGATGTTTTTCACACTTGAAACATTGCAGACATATTAACCATTCCGTTTTATTCTTTGCCAGATGTCTTCATCAGCAGAAGTGACGGTATCTACCATGCTGAGGTCAGGGAAAACACCATAATAAACCCGACCCGTGTGTTAAAGGTAAGGAAACAACTTACAACCATAGAAACAACTCATTCTTCCATACGTTTTAATGGGAGGTCTATATCAGGTCCATAGTTCATATTTCCCATCTCATCACAAAAGCACTTAGCATGGTAAACGTCTACAAATTAGGAGGTTTTCCTCTAATGATGTTGAAATAATGATTCACTGGCTCGGTGACAAATCTCTCATACGGATTGACTGGTCGAGTAAAACAATATCTATCCACACCATGAAACTACGTACATGGATGGGATTTAGCTTTCTTGTTCCCTATTTCCGATGAAAATATATTATATTTTAATCCAAAATTCAATCTGGATGCTAGCTCATTGTACCGTACCACAAACAACATAAAACAGTCATGATAATTATCGTGTTAAATTGATCTTTAAGTCGCCTTAAATATCACGACAACACGACTTAATGTCGCGATAATGCTCGGAAGTGACATGCGGGAAAACTTTACTTTCTCTAAATATAGATTGGCGCGTTGTTCATGACTTGACTTGACGAGAGTATGTTTTGGGGTCCGTGGAGAATTAATTATCAAGATGTCATCAACAAGCAATAGGCCTAGTCTAGTGTATAAAGAGCATGCCTACACTGGATGCACGACAACACGCCATTTCTTCTCTTCTTAATGTCGCGATAATGCTCGGAAGTGACATGCTATATTAAGAGAAAGGGAATAACTTTACTTTCTTAAATATAGATTGGCGCGTTGTTGCAGCAAAATTTGAAGTCATGACTTGACTTGACGATAGTATGTTTTGACCCGCATAACCGTGGAGAATTAATTATCAAGATTCAACAAGCAATAGGCCTAGTCCTACACTGGATGCAGCTACCTACCGCCATTTCTTCTCTTCTTCACCGGAAATCACAAAAACTTTGTCGAAATACTGAGGCATCCTGAATAACATACCATCTATATTAAGAGAAAGTAAATTTTTCCTGAGATACTAGTTTGTTTTATTTCTTTACTTTTTATTCGATTTTTAATATTGAATTGATACCTGTTTGCGTTCTGCAGCAAAATTTGAAGTCAAGATTATTTGAAATAGTGATGTTCTTGACCCGCATAACTCGGATTGATTCCATGACCTCAGAAATGAGAAAATCGTTTCTCCATCATATGTATCAATGGTTACTTCCAATCAGGTTCAGGTACGGTTGCTGACTTATCTATGTCTCGTTTATGAACACTTGTTGCACATCATTTTAAGAAGAATGTCAAGTCAAATGGCTTTATTACAGTTTTCCCCCTTATTCTCCAGTATATGGACGTTCAAACACTTTGTTACGGATCTTCTATTATGAATTACTCTCTAATTGATGTAACACATGATGTGAAAAATGAAATCACAATAATATATCTGTATACCTGGATGACAGTGATATTCTCAGGAAGACACTAGCAATGTTACTCTCGAGTGAAAGTGATATTCTCAGGAAGACACTAGCAATGTTACTCTCGAGTGAAAGTGATATTCTCAGGAAGACACTAGCAATGTTACTCTCGAGTGAAAGTGATATTCTCAGGAAGACACTAGCAATGTTACTCTCGAGTGAAAGTGATATTCTCAGGAAGACACTAGCAATGTTACTCTCGAGTGAAAGTGATATTCTCAGGAAGACACTAGCAATGTTACTCTCGAGTGAAAGTGATATTCTCAGGAAGACACTAGCAATGTTACTCTCGAGTGAAAGTGATATTCTCAGGAAGACACTAGCAATGTTACTCTCGAGTGAAAGTGATATTCTCAGGAAGACACTAGCAATGTTACTCTCGAGTGAAAGTGATATTCTCAGGAAGACTCTAGCAATGTTACTCTCGAGTGAATGTGATATTCTCAGGAAGACACTAGCAATGTTACTCTCGAATGAATGGAATATTCTCAAGATGAAACTAGCAATGTTTCCATTGAGTGAAAGTGATATTCTCAGGAAGACACTAGCAATGTTACTCTCGAGTGAAAGTGATATTCTCAGGAAGACACTAGCAATGTTACTCTCGAGTGAAAGTGATATTCTCAAGATGAAACTAGCACTGTCACCTCAGAATGACAGTGATATTCTCAGGGAGACACTAGCAATGTTACTCTCGAGTGAATGGAATATTCTCAAGATGAAACTAGCACTGTCACCTCAGAATGACAGTGATATTCTCAGGGAGACACTAGCAATGTTACTCTCGAGTGAATGGAATATTCTCAAGATGAAACTAGCACTGTCACCTCAGAATGACAGTGATATTCTCAGGGAGACACTAGCAATGTTACTCTCGAGTGAATGGAATATTCTCAAGATGAAACTAGCACTGTCACCTCAGAATGACAGTGATATTCTCAGGGAGACACTAGCAATGTTACTCTCGAGTGAAAGGAATATTCTCAAGATGAAACTAGCACTGTCACCTCAGAATGACAGTGATGTTCTCAGGGATACACTAGCACTGATTCCATGATACTGCATCCTCTTGTAAATATCACGTGTATGACTGACATCAGTCTAGTGAAGAACAGATTTTTTTTTTAAGAGTTAAATGTCTTATTTTCTTTTCCAGAGTTCCACAGGAGAAATCATCGGGCTGGCGATTGACACGCATGACTCGTTGTTGTTTTGGTTTGACAGTGGAAACAGTGGCATTTATAGAGCAAACTACGACGACCTGACGATTTCGTCCAGCTCTTCTATTGTTTCATATCCAGGTAAATGTAGAGAACTCAGACTACCTACCTACCTACCTATCCACCCACTCACCTATTGTGATGTAGGGATTCTGATCATTTTTATTGTTTCATGTTTCAGAAATGCATGTAACAGGCCTTGCCGTTGATTGGATTATCAAACACTTGTATTGGACCGATTCTGTCCATTCGTCCGTTTTTGTTTCGGATTATTCAGGACAACATCGAGTCTTGGCAGTAACATCCAGACTTTTGTTACCTCGAGGACTAGCGGCTGATCCCATCAATAAGTATACATCATCATCATCATCACCATCATCATCATCATCATCATCATCATCATCATCATCATCATCATCATCATCATCATCATCATCATCATCTTTAGGACAATACATAAATAGATATTTTCTTGGAGAAGGACAAGGTCGGAAACATTTATGTTTTGGGAAAGAATAAGGTCACAATTATTTATGTTCAATGTTAAACCTTAAATGGTGTTATGGATATCACAAAGTTAATTTTATTGTTCATAATTACTACAAATTGGATTGTATGGTAAGTGTGCACTTTTACTGTCCCGGTACCTTCCAGTGTTTTAACACCAAAGATACCTAAACTTGTTTTCTGTAAATCAGCTCTTTCTTTTGCTTTTAGAGTTTTATACATCGGAGATCAAGGTTCTCATTTAATCATGAAATGTACCATGGACGGTTTGTTCTCCTGCACCCACGTTGCTGAAGTCCAATCCGGAAGGATCACCTGGCCAAACCAGCTATATAGTTCTACAAGGCATAGTATACATGTATAGAATAGAATGCAAAGTGTGTTTGTTTGTTAGCTAGCATCATCCTCGACTCGCCTCCCCCTTCCATCCATCCCCGACCCTTAACAAGAACTGCAGTTCAGTCTTTGTTTCTTGTTTTCATTGTCGACAATAGTCTCAAAAACTCATTATCATAGTTATGTAAAGAACCAATGGGATTTATTTTCTTGTTAAAATTCTTAAAACATGGTAGATATGCACTTGACACTTTCTTTAAAGGGACTGGAAGTGATCTCAAGACGTAAACATGTGACATCATTCAGCCTTTGAAGTTTGCTTTTCCGGTAATACAACTGTGTTTATATGCCGATCGACTTGACATTTTAGGTCACCCGAGACTTTGCCCTATGGTGACCTATTGTAAATACATATTTTCGCGCGTCTCTAAACTACCAGGATAGTTTTTATCAACGATTTGCTATTTTCAGGGCAATGTAGAATATCAAGTGACATTTAATTCCCCTTTCATTCTTTTGTTGAAGTAAAAACAAAAGTATGGATTTAACCTACACCAAATGACATCTTATCTAGGTACTTCCATCAAGCTGTATTGATAAGAGTGAAGATTTCGATTTCCCTATTGTGAATGTTACATTTCTGGAAAGTGATATACCTGCATGTAGCGTTTATATCACGATTTTCCTGTCAGATGTCGACAAAGGAGGGAAAAATATATTTCTTTGTGCGTTATTTAGTTGGAAATTGTTCATGCTGGTTGGTTTGCCTAGTGGTTTCATTACTGTTTGCCATTTAGAAAGGTGACGTCACATTCATAGATTAGTGAGGATCTGTATGGCGGATATCGATGAAGGAGAAAACGATTAACCTTCCCGAACACCTGGTCTTGTTTACCCTGGATATCTCTCTGAGTAAATTGGTTTTCTTTTGTTAATTATGGCCAAAGTTTTAATCGAATTTGAGTTTGAATTAGATCTGCATTTTTTTTATTGTATTATTGTGTTTATAACTATACATATATCAGTGTTATTGATAAAGGGGAAATAATTTAGCTCGCACAACATTTCTATTCAAAAATAGACAAAGTGTGTGCAAGACATGATTACACCCGTCACTTTGAAATAAGTCCAAGATCACTTCTGCTTCTCTGGTTTATCATGGACGAGATAAAAATATCGATCATTGTATTTCGGGCTCTATGATAACATTAAGAAATAAACAAGTTTAGGGTGACATTATCAAGGTATCAATTGGTTAGACGTTTTTATCAATATCATAGTGATCGTGACCCTGTATCCCGAAACAAGAACTCATCTGCATGAAAAAATGTAAATAAATCGATTAATGATTTCCCTTCATATAGAATATGTAACCTCGACCTTGGAAACCTGAAACACATTGTGTTTATTTTTTTCATCAAAATCTATTAAGACGTGAAGTATCAAGAGTGATAAAAATCAAATTTTGTGATGATTTTCTATATATATTGATTGTGACCTTAGAACCCTGAAACAGAATAATATCATCGGTATACCCATAGTTGACTTTTGAATAATATTTGACGAAAATCAATGAAAGAATGAAGTCGCCAAGTGATTGAATAAAAATAGTTGATATTTTCTATATTTAAAGCACAACTGATCTTTGAATGAAGTTGTTAGGTGCTTACATTGGAACAGGGCACGACTCGACGCGACGGGACGGACATGGGCCATGCTATACGCTAGATCCTTTCCCCTTCCTCTTAAATGACAGGGACATAAATATAAACACGTGTGTGTTTTGGGAGGAGTCGGAAATAGGCCTGGGTACATTAAGCTATCATGTCGTGACCACCAACATAAAAACGCTTTCAAGATTATGTTTTATCATAGTTGAAACAAGCATGCAAGATGTGTGATTAAAATTCTACAATCTTATTTTAGGAATATCTTTTGGACCGATGGTTGGGCAAACAAAGTAGTCAACTGTTCGTTAGATCTAATGAACTGTCGGGAAACGGTAGTCAATACCCAGAACCTGAACAATGGAAACACTACTTCATTGTTTGGAATGATCCCCACAGCCTCCACGGTAATAGTGTCTACCCTGAACGATTTCGTCACAATGTCCCTTGATGGTAACTCATCTACTGTACACAGCAGTTCTGGTGGCAACACGTACTACATCGTCTCTCGTAGCAGAACCACTCAACAGAAAGGTAAACTTTTTTCTCCAATCGAGGTAAAAATATCTTACCTTTCATGTTGTCATATTCTCACTTGAGTTTCTTCTGTCCAGATTTAAAGTTCTTTAAATAAGTTTGTGAAAAAGAATTACACTTTCTGTGTACTGAGATATAGGAACATGTTTAACTCTGGAACGTCCTAAAGATAACGATGATTTAGTGAAAGTCTTTTATAGATATGTACTAGCTGAGAAAAGAAACTATTTATATTTAAAATGGTCATGTATTGCTCAATTTTATCAATTAAAGCTTGAAACTTTACATAGATGATATAATAGAGTTCGTATAACACAACTAGTAGAATATTACAGTGTGGCGTTTCGATGAGTACACGGTCACTTTCATCAGACAAATGACCAATGTGGAGCGTACTGGCAATGACATACGAAATGGTACGGAATCGAGCAACTTTTCCGGCTGTACTATAATCCCATATACACAAAGGTCGAAAAAAGTGTGAAGAGATAATAAACAGAATATAACATTAGATGGTAACAATGTATTGTAGTCAATTCGGCTATGCTTTTACCTCCTTATGAAGTACTGTCCGCTGCGGCGTATCCAGATGGCTTCCTTAAACAACCGTCTGAAAAGGTTATTTTCCCTGTCTACTTTTTTGGACATTTCCCAGTCAATGATATGGTTTTGCTGTGCGGAATGATCTATAAGTGCAAATTTACTGATCTGGGACTGTGAATGTTTTCGATATAGTGACTTTTTACCTTCTTGGGATTCCACGTCTTTCTTATGTTCATTGAGTAGGACCCCGAATCTCCTGCTTGTTTCTCCGATATATAACGCGTTCTTGTGATGTGATCACTTCTAAGTGATACAGTTTATCATTTAGGCTACATTAAACTGAATAACTAGTTCAAAATTATTCTTGATGCACTTTAGCAAGCAAAATGAAATGACTGTTTCTAAAATTGAATGAAGCAACTTTAAGAAAAAGATAAACTCCTTTACCAGTTTTTGTTTCAAAACACCGACTAAATTACACTACATCTCTTCAATGAAACAATTTGGCCTTCTAACAGTTCAACTCGATTTTGTCACTATAGTTGGTTCATCACACTTTACTTGGGTTCCAATGTCACCATCATCAGCAAATTCAGTCCTTGGACGAATCACATCATTACCTTCGTCATCAGGTATTGTTACCTTTTCACGTTCCACACATTTCAGAACGTCTTTTCGATTTCGACGATATGTGATTCCAGCATCAGTTTCGACCAGGTATGACCCCGGGGATACTTCCTCACGGACTACAGCCTTTGTAAACGATGTACTATCACGACTGTCACGGATACTCACAGTGTTCCCGCGATCCAAGGGGGGTAACTCGCGAACATTTTTGTCATAATAGAACTTTTGTCTGACTTTATCTGCAAACTTTTCCTTTCTAAATTGTTCTGACGACTGTCACTTGACCAACAATTGACTGTCAACAATCGGCAGATTTGACCAGGCTTTCTCCCATGGAGAAGCTCCATGGTGTAGCTCTGTAGACCAATAAGTTCATGTAGAAACCACTTCCGTCCTCATGCGATTTCTTGAGAAGACTTTTCACAATGCCCACACTTTTCTCAGCTTGTCCATTTGACTGTGGGAAGCTGGGACTGGATGAAATATGCTTGAAATCATAGTTCGTAGCAAACTCTCGAAACTCACTTGACGTAAACTGTGGACCGTTGTCACAAAATACTTCTTCGGGGGCCCTGACCTGCAAACGTGTATTTCATTGCCTTAATAATCGACAAAGCATTCAAGCTCTGTAAGGGACACACTTCTTGATAGTTTGAATAATAGTTACATATCAATAGGAAATTGTCACCTTTAAGCGTACAAATATCAACGCCAACCTTTTCCCAAGGATACTCCGCCACAAGATGAGGGTTTAAAGGTTCTGATGCCTGTTTTGACCGGTGTTTCGCACACGTTGAGCATGACTGCACCATTTCCTCAACACACTGGTTCATGCCTGGCCAGTACATTACCTGACGTGCTCGGAGCCTGTATTTAGCTATACCCAAATGCCCTGAGTGAATTTTCACTAACATCTCCTTTCGGAGACTCCTCGGAATCACTACCCGATTGTTCCTCAAGATCACACCTTCTACAACACTCGGTTCATCCCGGATGTTCCAGTACTCTAGAACGACTGACGAACACTTTGACTTAGTATCTGGAAATCCATTGACGATGGTTCCTATTACCACTTGTAGATCGGGGTCTTTGCTTGTTTCACTTCTTATTTCATCCATTTTCCTGTCCGATACCGGAATACTATGCATTACGAAGTCTACGTAAGCATCAACTTCCGCCTCACCAGAACGATCCTGCAGAGTTTCTGTCGACTCGTACGCGCGCGACAAAGCATCTGAAGTATACATGAACTTGCCTGGTGTGAATGTAACATCTAATGTGTACTTCTGTATCCGTAACATCAATCGTTGAATGCGCATAGGACAGTCATTCAGCGACTTTCTAAATATCGCGATAAGCGGTTTGTGGTTTGTTTCGACCTGTACTCGCTGGCCATATATGTATTGATGAAATCGTTCACAGGCGAAGGTAATGGCAAGCATTTCCTTTTCAATCTGTGCGTAGCGCGTCTCTGCCTGTGATATTGCTCGTGATCCGTAAGCTACTGGGAACCAATCGTCATCATGCTTTTGTAGGATTACCGCTTCTAGACCAGACTTGGACGCGTCAGCTGAGATTTTGATTTCACGCTCACTATCGTAGAACTTCGATATTGATTCACTGGTAAGTATGTCTTTCAATTCCTTGAAGCATTTTTTCTCTGCTTCGTCCCAGTGAAACCCATTTTTTCTCATCTAAGAGCTGCCTCAGCATAGCGGTCTTAGTAGACAGATCTGGTATGTAACGACCCTGATAGTTCCCCATTCCTAAGAACCGTCGAACATCTTTCTTACACTAGCGTGTTTTGAAGCTTTGGATTGCTCGGACTTTCCATGTATCTGGTTTCATTCCTTCTGCAGACACGAAATCTCCAATGAATGTTAATGACTGTACACCACAGACACATTTCTCCTTGTTGAATTTCAGATTTGACTCTCGAGTAGCTCTAGAACTTTGCGTAGCCTCTGGTTGTGCTCTTCCAGAGTACCTTTCCGTATGCTGATATCATCCATGACCGATGAAGCTCCTTCGACGTGCTCAAATATCATATGGATTGCCTTGTGGTATACCTCTGGAGCTGAGGATATTCCGAATGGTAATCGTAGAACCTGTACCTTCCGAATGGTGTATCAAAACAGGTTAGCTTTGATGAATCGGAATCCAATTTCATTTGCCAGAATCCGGATGAAGCGTCGAGCTTACTGAAATATTCATTTTTGAACTTTGACATAACTTCTTCTCTGGTTGGAAGCTTAAATATTCTCGTAATATTGCGCGGTTCAGGTCCCTGGGGTCAAGACATATACGAAGTTGACCGTTTTTCTTCTCGACGACAACCATAGAGCTGACCCAGGATGTAGGATCATTCTCCTTACATATGACTTCCAGTTTCTCCATACGTTCAAGCTTTGCCTTAATCCTGTCCTGAATGGCAAATGGAACCTTACGACATGGGTGTACCACTGGTGCAACTGATGAATTGACTTAAATACTGTGGTAACCTGGTAGACACCCCAGGACTTCAAATACATCAGAAAACTCCTATACAATACTGTCTGCTGACTGTGCAGGTTTGTCAATGTTAAACACGCGATTGACTAGGTTAAGTTTATCACATGCTTTCACACCTAGGAGTGCAGTTCCCGAGTTTTAAGCCACTATGAAATTCACTGGAGTTGTCCGCCCTTTGTGGTTCAGCTTCAGTACACATGCACCTGTGACCGGTATTTTGTCTCCACTGAAAGAAATAAATCTCACATTCGCCTGATGTAGCTTCGGCTTCTCTGCCAACTTGTAATACAATGTTTTGGGAATAATGTTGACTTGACTGCCAGTATCTAGCTAAAAGTTAACGTTCGTACCGTTTGTATTAATGTTCAACCTCCATTCCTTGCTTGAAGAATCACCAGAATTAATTGTATCTACTGTGTCAACAAAAAATTCTGTAGAGTCACTTTGTTGAAATTGAGTTTTTGTTTCTTTGAATTCTGACACTTCGTGGACTTTCTTGCCAAGGAAACACATTTTTGAGAAAGTATTTTTCTTTTGACAGTTGTTACAGGTTTTACCCATAGCCGGACACTCGTACTGGGTACCATGATTTCTCCCACATCTTCCACATTGACCTTTAGTCTGTTTTTGTAGTGTAGCTGTCTGTTTGTGTTGTGCTGTCTTACCACCTTGCTTGGAACGTGTTTGTTTTCCCGTAGGCTTGTGTTTAACAGCATGAACCTCCTTCTGTTCTTCAACTAGGTCTTTCATACGATCTTTTGTCGTTTCCGCCGTTCTACACATGGTAATTGCGTCACTGAGTTTCAAATCTTGAACCCTTAACAAACGAGCCCTAAGACCATTATCAGGAATCCCACAGACGATTCTATCCTTGATAAGATAGTCTGTTAACTGACCAAATTCACACGATTTGGCTTTAGTTCTAAGTTCGTTCACATATATATCAATGTTTTCATCGAATTTCTGAGAACAAGTGAAAAATTTATGACGTTCGAAAGTCACATTTTTCTTAGGCGAGCAGTACGCTTCAAATTTTCCTATGAAAACGACTAATTTAAACTTGTCATCTTTATTTTCAAATGAAAAGTTATTGTATATCTCGAGTGCATCCTCTCCAATAACGTGGAGAAGCAGGCATGTCTTTTGCTTGTCCTCTTTTCCCGTCGCACCGGAAGCCTCGAGGTATAGTTCTCTGTTTGAATCGTTTTCAATTTTCCGCTACGTTACCTGTCAGTGACAGTGATGCGGGCGACTCCAATTTATCCATATTCTTCTGACACCATGTGGTGTTGTCACTTCTAAGTGATACAGTATATCATTTAGGCCACTGGCCATAAACTTAACAACGCCATGTGTACGTTTAACATACAAAAAACTGATTTTTATTACCTCCTTCTTCAAGAGTTTCAAGTAAGGGGACGTTATCACGACCAACACTCAAAGTCTGCATGGTTACACACCACCATCATTACAGTTCTTGCATTCAATTTTGTATACCCATGCTGCGACGTTTTCTTTGGGTATTTTATCCTTAGGGACTAGGATATTTCGGGTGTCTTGTGAGGTTTCATGGGTGCTGCAATGCCATGACCATGGTTAATCCTCTGAATGGTCTCTGACAGACCTTTGATATAGGGGATGACAATTTGTCCTTTCGTTTTGTTCTTTCCCTTGGTGTTTCGACTCTTAGTTTTTTTTGCTTGCATCAGCTTCATAGTTAACTTTCTGGATTGCCCGGACATTGTATCCATCCAGATGATTCATGGTGCTATGGATGTGTTTTTTTTCTTGCTTCTTGTCTTGTTGTTCAGTGACAATCGTTTCAAGTTTGTTGAGAAAGGTTTGTACAAGTACCAACTTTTGGTGTAAGGGATGGTGAGATCGAAAGTAGAGGTATTGGTCTTTTCCCTATGAACCAATACCTTGATATTACCATCATCTTTCTTTACTAGGAGGATGTAAATGGCATAGCGCCATTGATTTCTTCCTTACAGGTGAATGTGATGTTGTTGGTGATGTCTAAGGTATTGATATGCTCAGTCAAATCTTTCTGTGACCCTGTTTTTACTATTTCCAATATGTCATCGCCATACCGCGTCCACAGACGGGACTAGCATTCTATGGGGACCGTTGCTAGAGCATTACTCCAAGTGTTCCATGAACAAGTTAGACACAATCAGAGACACATGGTTGCCCATAGATGTGCCAAACCGTTGCTGATAGATGGTATATCGAAGGGAAAGTAAATCCATCAGGTCCTGGATATGGAGATTGGTGTTCTTTCGCCATGACCGGTCCTGCTGTAGGCGGCATCTAATGATAACAAGTGCTTTGCCAGTGGGTGGGTTGTTGAACAAAGACACTGTATCGCGTGAAATGAATTCCTGATCTTTTTGGAAAAGTACCGTGGACATACTTTCTTCAAGGTCTTTCGCGTTTTTGATATGTCGCGTCGAATCTCCCACCAAGGGTCCGAGAATGTCTGCTAGTGACCTGGAGACAATGGAACCAGTATAGTCCATTATAGACCGTAATGGATTACCTTCTTTGTGGAACTTTGTTGTGCAGTACATTCTAGGTGTGTTCTCTGCACTGGGATACAAGTGTCTGTATTGCGATTCAGTTATCTTATTTTCTGGTTTAAGTTTTAATAAGCTAGGTACCAGGCGCTTTTTGAACTTTTATGTGTGGTTGTTCTTGAGTTTTTCATGTTTTGTTGTCTTAAAGCATAGCAACGACTTTGTTCACGTATTCGTCGGTGTCTATGACAACTATGGCTTTTCCCTTATCGGCTGGCAAAATCATGCTAGATCTGTCCTTGCTCAATTGTTGAAGTGCAGTGCGCTTTTCCTTTAATATGTTGTTGGTGGTAATTTTGTAAATTTTAAGATACCTGTCACTTGTTATCTCCTTGTTGATCAGCCTCAGCATAACTCAAGTTCTGTCATGTGGCTACGATATAATCATAAACTGGAAATTTGTCTTGGACGATGGCATAATTAAAACCCTTAAGTAGCTGTGTTTTGCCGCTATCTGTGAGCTGTTTGTTAGATATGTTAATTAGCTACTTATTTGGCATTGTATCATTGGAACCCCAATCTCTTTCTGTTTCAACGGCGTTAAATGGCCTTCTTTGATCGTGCTTAACACTGTTTCCCCTATGCGCTTCACATTTATGTTCATATCCACGAGAGTGTCACTTGCAACCGCTCGGTAAGCTTGAAGGTTAATAGTGTTTTTTCGTTTTTCAATGCGCCAATTTTGTCGTTAATAACGCTTATTGGTGAATGTTTCCATGACAGTTGTGTGAATCAACGACGTCCATTTGTCGGAGGTAGTGTCATGAAGTGGGTGGCATTTCATTCTATGGTAGAACAGCTCTTGTGGTTGTGGACGGCACACTTGCAGGTATCAGATACTGTGACGAAAGCACATGGCCTCACGTCCTTCCGTGTATGCAGCAACGTAACGTCATGCTGCAACAGGATAACGCTTGCCAAAACGTCGCGGGGGCAGTCATTGACTTCTTGATCCAGCACAATGTGAATGTGCTTCCCTAGCCTGTAATGTCGTCAGATAGGTACAGAACACGCGTGGGATGATATGCAGCGTCGCTTACGTCGCAGTTAAAATCAGACGTTGATGTTGCCAGACCTGTCACGTTTATTTGTGAGAATCATCATTGTCAAGCATGCATCGATTGCAATAGTGGACATGCACTGTATCGATAAGCTGGGCATTGTTTAGAGAACGTCTGTGAAAATTGATCTTTATCCAAGACGCTGCTGATGCAATAACCATATCAATTGAGCTGGTTTTAAATAAAGGTCAGATAAAACCCAGTTGCATTTTTTGGTGATCTCTTATATAGCTCTGGAGATGTATCATATCATATCCATGCAGTTTCTTTTTTCCACTAGTATTTATATATATACATCATCAACATAAAACAATCCTTAATGGTGAATTACTTCCCTTGAATACTTATCTATGGTGATACATCGTAATTCTAGAGTGCTCTTTTTTATCTAGATGAAGGTAATCCATGTATAAGCCATGCTTGTTCCGAGCTGTGTTTCGCCTCTTCTGATGACCGGTACCGCTGTTCCTGTTCTTCTTTCTCCACCAATGTCATGTCAACAAATGGCAAGAATTGTCAGCGTAAGTCACAACCCTCAGAGACTGAATATAAATGTCACATCTACAAAAATGCTTCACTTGAAACTGAAATTTGTTGGTTATATAAATGTGAGACATATCTATATGTAACAAATCTTAACATTGTTGAGGGTGGTCGGGTGGTGCAGTGGTAACTCACTAGCATTTCGCATAGCCGCACGGGGTTCGATTCCTGGAATGGATGTGAAAAAGTATGGGGTTACCTGCCTGACCACGTGGGTTTCCCTGGGGTTCCTCCCACAGTAAGACTCCTCGCGAGCTTCCATCCGGGCTAACAAGAGTAATTAGCATAATTTAGATAACTTGTTTCGCAGCTGTTGTAAAATAAAGTTTATTGTTATTAAGACAGCTGTCTATCAGCATGCATTATACATCATGCTGCACAAAATGCACAATTAAAGCATATCATATTATATATATTTACAGCTCAGTGGGTAGGGTAAATAGTATGTAACTATACAATACATGTATATTAAAGAATGCACAATTAAAGAAAGATATTGGTGTCACAATAGACAAGGATCTTAAGTTCAAACTCAACAATAAAATAATTGTATGCAAAGCAAACAGCAAAACTGGACATCACTACTGTAATCATGGATAAACCAGTGTTTGAACAATTATTCAAATCTTTAGTGAGACCTCACCTATAATATGCCTCCTCTGTTTGAAGTCTACTCAAAATTCAAAGATAAAGACCTGATTGAAAGGGTGCAACGAAGAGTAACTTAACTCCTTCCATGCCCCAGTTTCTTCCTTAAAGCAAGGTTATCTGAACTACCATAGAAAAGCCTATTTAAGTTAAGAATAAATCTTCTATTTCAGGTAGTTTCCTTAAACTATGTAATACTATGGGTAATCTAAGGTAACGAACATTCCTTAAGGAAGATTCGTGAATCTGGAACCAGGGTTAGAAGGCTAAGAAGGTTACAACTTTCAATTTTGTAACATTAAAGGACAAGAAGAGACATCGTAGATTTGAAAAAAAAAAACTGATAAGTGAGTGACTAGGAACCAGTAAAATAAGTCCTTTAGATTAACATTGGCAACATAGTATCCTATGTACAGTATACATGAACATTAACCACCGGTGAAGTAGTATCATAATCCTATAATAAAATGATTTTAGATGTATAGATATGGATAACTATTCTAAGTAACGTGAGCACTCATCCACTGTTCTCAGATTATTCTGTCTCATGTAACCATGAGCACTTTTCCACCTTTCTGGGATTATTCGGTCTCATGTAAACGTGAAGACCTTTCCACTGGTTTGGAAATATTATGTCACATGTAACCATGAGCAATTTTCCACCGTTCTGTGATTATTTGGTCTCATGTAAACGTTAACACTTTTCCACTGATTTGGGAATATTATGTCACATGAAAACGTGAACACGTTTCCACTGTTCTCGGATTATTCTATCACATGAAAACATGAGCACTTTTCCATCGTTCTGGGATTATTCTGTCACATGAAAACATGAGCACTCTTCCATCGTTCTGGGATTATTCTGTCACATGTAAACGTGAACACTTTTCCGCTGTTCTAGAATTCTATTGCCACATGCTAACATATTCAACCATAACCTGTTCTGGGTTTCTAATGACACGTGTTAGCGTTCCGCTGTTCTGGGATTATCCTGTCACAAATATGATTATACATGAATAAATTAAGCGAAGTTATACACCTAGTTAAACGCATAGCCGATAGATGTATCAAAAGTTTGCAATTTAATATAAAAATATAGTTATATGTTGGTACAAACGTACTCTTGGTTTTGACTTTGCAGCACCTCTCTGTTTTAATGATATGCATACTGATCGCTAAATAAATCCTAGTTGATAGAAATATAGTGATTAACTAAAGAGTCTAGCGCTACCATGTATTATTGATACGCCTCTCAATTTATATTCATTTTACATTGAAACAAAGTAAGCTAATGATGTGTTGAAGTTAGGGCACTGTCATGCACTATCTATAAAACGATTGCAAGTGTGATAATTTACGACTTAGTGATTTGAAGACCATGAAAGATAATCAAAAAGTGTAAACACTAAGGGTCTATATCCTTTGTGTTTGGTTATATTATTTTTAAAAAGCCAAGATGTTAACTGCGTTTCTTTCCTAATTTTCCGTTTTTCAAGCAGTCTCCATCTTAAATCATCAGATGCAAGGTATCAATAAATTCTTTGGTTACATCTATAATTCGAAAGGAAGATATGCGTAATGTGCTCAAGACATAACACAACGTTGATATTTGAAAGAACTATGATTTCCTGTTTTTATTCCATGCCTTCAGCTGCGACACGAGCCATTTTGTATGCAGAAAGAGCCACAGGTCATGTGGGGCTGGTATCCACAACATTGAAAGGGCATACAGTAATAGCAAGTTCACCTGAACCACGAGCACTGGCTTACGATCCTTTGACAAAGGTAAGGCACTTTAATGTACTATTTCACTATGATATGGATAAAACCAGCGGAAGAAAATTAAATTAAAACTACTGCAATAATCACTGCAATACTTTAAACTTAATACGTATACTTAAAACGTTTACAGTATAAGGTCTACCCTTCCGGAACACCTTATCCCTTTTGGGTATTTTCATATGTCTCCTTTTTGTTGTTCATAGTGCGACTTTAAATCAAGATTCTATTGACATAACGATATTGTGTTTGGACAGTCAGCATCTAAAATCAAGATTTCGTTGTCGGTATTGCGGTTTTTCAAGACATACGTACAGTCAACATTTTTAATACAGCGATATTCTCGCAGTTTCCTCCACTACTTCCCCATCTTTCAATTTGTTACATGCTGAAAGCGGACGTAAAAAACAAGTAAACAAATTAAATGACATCAGTTTTTTAAATATGTTTCTTTACCTAGATGGTGTACTACAGTGATTCCAAACACCAGTCGATCTATAAAGTCGGATTGAACGGCAGCACGCCAACTGTATTTTTATCAAAAGAAAACAGTATTGGAAACGTGGAAGGTAGGATTGTTATTAAAAACAAATCTTTATCTTTATCTTGAAAACATATTGACCAGAGAATCGTTAAATGTTTATATCTGGCAATGACGTAATCCGAGTAACATTTACATCACTTAACATTATGACGATTCCGCCACACTAAAGAGCAAAAAGACCGAAACCATCTTCCAAAATTAACTAACATAAGGACTTCTAGGCGGATGATTCCATCACAGTAGGGAGGGACAGTGCCTCACCTTGACAGAACACTGACATCAGTTGATGAGAATCCACCTAGTGAAATCTAATAACAGTACTAAGTATGTATGTGCCAGCTATCATTCCACAAAACTACGGGAGACTAGAGTTGGTTTCCAGTACCTATTTCTAGTTTCGTTTAACATTTAACGGAACTGGAAATCAGATCCTAGTTCCTTTATTAAACGAAACTGGTAACCAGATTCTAGTTCCGCGTAGCAAAAATGGGAAAGGGAACCAGATCCAAATTCCACTCAACCTTAAATAACAATTTAAGACAAGTGTTTTGAAGAATTCATTACTATAAACAGCACCAGGAATATACGTGCTTACGTCTCATAATAATCCAAACTTTATTTACGGGTGTCTTCCAACCTCGTGTTGCTTTCAATAAAAACATTTCTGTTTGAATTTCAAATCGTCACCACTATAATTGGAGTAGTTAGTGATTACCTACGAATATGTATTTTTATAGAGCCACTATTTATCTTGTATTTACAGCAATGACAATAGACCAACGACAACGTCGTCTTTACTTCATCAACCGATTTGATTGGGAAATTGACAACACGACCAGATCCATTGTCAGGATAGAGATGGCTGGACTCGCCAATGGTGAAAGAGTGCTTATACGTCAAACACAGGACACCATTACTGACATCCAAATCATCCATCACTCCACGGCATCGTAATGTGTTTCTAATTTCCTTTGATTAAACCTGTCGTTGAATAAGCTCATTCAAAACCAATGTGACTGATATTCTAATTTCTGAACGTTACACAGATGTATTTTGATAAATGGACTACAATACAAAGTAGAATATCATATTGTCTGTGCCTTATATGATTTTTTTACAATGATATATGTTTGTTCACTTTTATATTATTTTATATTATGTACTTTTAGTTATCTCTACTACTCTGTTGGCAACCCGAACCCAGCGTTGTACAAGATGTCAATGGACGGAAGGATGGAGAACCCGGTGACGCTGCCGGGGTTAGTTAACCCTACCCAACTGTCCAGTAGAAGGGAGGTCTTATATGTACTGAACAACGACAAGCTGATCATCTGGTCGAATGACTTAATATCCGAATACAACCTCACGGGCCAGGTCTGAATCAATATAGTAAAATAGACATGTCAAGAACAGCATCGGGTTGTTTAGTAACTTCCAATTTAAATGCTGGATATTTCGGGGCCCCTCTTTGCAGTTCCGTGAAAAAGTGATTTCTTATTATAATTTTTCAAACCGTGTGATGATAATTTCTTCGCATTTTTTGTGTAGGCTGTATCCATGACAAGTGATGAGAGATATGTTTACTTTGGCGTCGGAGGAATGAGACTTTCCAAACTCAACAGAATGAGCGGGAGGGCAAGGGCTCCAGTGCCTGCTGATATAGATCCAGTAGACTTACTCTATATATATACACCAACGCCAGGGATAGCAGCGGGTAGGTCATACAACAATAACTTAATTAAGTATGTAATGTTTAGAAATCATCAGATATGCTTTCTTTGGCTTTAGTTGAAAAAAAAATGCAATAGTTGTGTAATAATGAGTCCTGATATATATGTATTGGTGTGGAATGGTCAAGTAATGTGAAAACCGTGAAAATACTTAGTATTCCCAAAGCCTATTCCATAAATATTACGATAATTGCTCTTTTTTGAGGACGAACGAATGATGGGTTTGTCGCTGAAATTTTATTGTCTTTGTAATTATAGTAATATTTTTCCTATTCATTACGACACTTCTACAGTTATAGTTATGCTGAGACGTTTTCATTTGTTTCGTTTGTCACTGTTTGCTATGTAATATTTTGTCCACCACTAGTAATATTAAAATATAATTTTGTGTTTAGTTGCATTGGTGTAACTTATCATTTTTATAGAATATATGCAATAAAACAACCAAATACAGTATGAATGGAATGCTACTTCTAGTGTTGTAGGACATATACTTTTTAAAATATATCAATTATCAAATACCACAATCTAATGGAGAAAAGTAGGTTCGTTGAATGACGTGACAGTAGACATCATTAGCTATCGTTTTTGCATAAAACCCAAACTGCTTAAATGCATTACGGTGTATAACATCGCTTATGGAATTTTAAATATTTGATCTACTCTGGATATGAATTATTGAGATAATTTGGTGTCAGAATATTTCGAACACAATAAATATGTTTTTTAAGTAGCATTCTGCACTTTAAATATTATACTTCGTAATATTATACTATCTTGATTTTAGTTTATTCTGGTACAAAATTAATGTAATGGTTATGAATGTTTCGTAACTCCTTACAATTAGTATCTTCTTGTAACTAGCACTTAAGAAATTTAGAAATTTATAAAGATAATTCATACAGTATATTCAGAACATATTTATTTTTGGTTGCAGACTCTGGGTTGTGTGATAACAACGACCTATGTAAAGACGCTAGTGTCTGCTTCAAGACTGCTAACCCTGATATCGTCCGCTGTAAATGTCCTGCCAACAGTTTCAACACTCCAATCGACGGCAGTCGTGAATGTATAGGTATGGATTTTAATATTCCAAATATCAGTAGGTTAGTCTGTAGATGGAGGATGCAAGACACTCGTCAAGTCATCAATGTTGCTACCATAATCAGGCATCGATTCGTTTTCTGGTAGGACAAAACTGTTATATCAGTATTGTTACCCAGGTTTTTGAGGTTGTGTAACCCGAAAGCATCTAAGGGTAAAACCTTATCGCACGATGTAGAGGGCAGATTACCTATTTTCAGTGATTGGTATATTTTAAAAAACCAGAATTGTTAATTTTTTATTTATATTATAGAACCTACAAAATATATCATTGTAAGCGACGTCGACGGTATAAAAATGATTTCACTGGATGATGAGCTGAGGAATACGTACACAATAGTACCTAATGATAATGGCTGCCAACCCTACCATGGTTTGGCTACTGATGGACGGCGTATATTCTTTGCCGCTTACGACGGGTAAGGATATTGTCATTATCTGATTATGATGTATATTATCGAAATAATTGTTTAACTTTTAATGCAAGACCACAATAATGAACACTAAATAAACCGATGTGACTGTCTGTAAGATTGAGTTGCCGATTTATCTTCTGTTATTCTTCACTATAGGCGATAAAAGTGTTAAACAACTACAATAACTTGAATTCAAATCAGTATATTTATATGGATTTTTTCTGATATAAAGCTACCCATGAGAGTTACTTTTTTCTTCGTAGACAAATCCTGTACACGGCCTCTATTAAAGGTGAGGACGTGTCAGTAGAAATGGTGTTGAGGAACATTACCGTTGTTAATCTGGCCTATCATGACAATACACTGTTCTGGACGGGACATTACAACTGTTTCATGTATAACGGAACAGTTGACGGCATGCGTCAGTGTGAAACCAACAATGGTAAACTTGGTGGAGTGTTTAGTCTTGATGTAACTCCTGGTTCATCTGGTCAACGCCAGGTCACTACCCTGGCCGGAGATATTTATGACCCACAAGGCGTGATTGCTGATTCGAGGTAAGAGATATGGTTAAAGTCTGACAACAAATGTCTGAAGAGTTTTATTAATGTGAATCCATTTCCAGCTGTCTAGTTTTGTTCTGTCTATGACTATTGAAGTATACAAGTGATCTATTTCTACACTTGGTCTGGTTTCACTTGATATGTAACCTGCTATGTTTCGACATGTGTTGGTTTTGCACCCCAATGTTTCTATTACGTCTCCTTCTCCAATGTATCTATTCGAATTTTGCAATTGGTATATTTCGACTCGAGTTAGATTCTGACTTTTATTCGTTTCCACTCGTGTTGAATTTTTGCTGTATTCTGAGATGTTTCCGCTAGTGTTCAGATTGACATCTTGTATGTTTTGATGCACGCTGTATTAATTCGGCCTTTGAAAGGATTTCACTTGCATTAATTTTCCCAGACACTTGAACTCGGAACTGAAATGAATCTCTTATTTAAGCCGGGAAAAGAAGTTACGTTCTTTGCAAATGTTGAACTCCTTGGCCAAAAATTGACCGAAATATCTACCGCAATGGAATGTGAAACGTCTGATTTTAAGACTCTAACTCATTTATAAATAGTAGATGTTGATTGATGCAAAATCTTCCAATGAAACTATAAAATTAATATCTTACAGCTACGTATATTGGTCCGACCCAAAACGTGTGAAACGCATGGACCTCAAAAACCCTGCAGAAGTACCAGCCATTGTTTCACGACGTGCCAATGTCTTTTCATTACAACAAAATAAACAGCAGACACACTTATTTCTAGGCGGGAATGGTATTGCCTTTAGAAGGTTCGCCACACAGAGTAAGCATCGACAGATACATCTGTACTGAGCACAGAAATAGTATTGCTTTTCAATTCAATGAAATCATTCTGAATAGACAACAATGAAAACAACATACGCCTTTATTTTGGTTGAGTCTCCCCTTTTGACAGAATATTGTGTAAAATGTCATACCTATATTTTCGTTGCAGATTTTGATGACGCTTTGATCTATTCAAGCTTATCGAACGTTCGCGGTATGTCCGTGAAAGGATCTTTAATTTTCGCCTCCGATTGGAACTCCAGTACCATAAAACAGTATGACTTGCGCACGCACCAGACAAGACTTATTGCCAACCTTAGCCGTCCTAGTCAAATTGTAGTGTTTGGACTCGATACTAATGTTCAAGGTAACTAGGCATCCATTGTTATCTTAAGATTGTCAAGTGATTCACAAAGCAAACTTTCACACCTATGCGCACATAATAAGCAAGGAATAGACACGGTACACGCCTTGTAGGCCTCGAAATAAAATGTAAGCGAGATATTAAGCTAGTTATGTATACATCAATATTGATCCACACAGCGTGAAAATTACTTTCAAATGAAGTTTGTAGTAAACACATAAATACTGACTCGGTAAGAGGTGACATAAACACACCACGTAAGCTACATATAGTAATAAATACATACTATCGATCCCATGACGTAAACATAGACAAACAATAGATACAAAAAATAAAGTAGACAGCCGAACAAATTAAGTTACAAAAATCGATACATAAAATATGACTCGTATAAAAGTAGAGAGAGACAAATAAGGTAAGTTACCAATAAATACATAATCATTGACTCGCACAAAGTAGAAAGAGGCATATGAACCAGGCTAATAATAGACACATAATCATTGACTCGCACAAAGTAGAAAGAGGCTAATAAACCATGCTAATAATAGACACATAATTATTGACTCGCACAAAGTAGAAAGAGGCTAATAAACCATGCTAATAATAGACACATAATTATTGACTCGCACAAAGTAGAAAGAGGCTAATAAACCAGGCTAATAATAGACACATAATTATTGACTCGCACAAAGTAGAAAGAGGCTAATAAACCAAGCTAATAATAGACACATAATTATTGACTCGCCAAAGTAGAAAGAGGCTAATAAACCAGGCTAATAATAGACACATAATCATTGATTTACACAAAGTAGAAATACGTACATGAACCAGGCTAATAATAGACACATAATTATTGACTCGCACAAAGTAGAAAGAGGCACATGAACCAGGATAATAATAGACACATAATTACTGACTTACACAAAGTAGAAATACGTACATGAACCAGGATAATAATAGACACATAATTATTGACTCTCACAAAGTATAAAGAGGCTAATAAACCATACATGCAATGGACACATAAACATTGACACATACATGTGTTTATGAATGGACAAAGGGAGACACATGATTAAGAGCATGGGTAAGTTCGAAATGATACGCAAAGATGACATGAACATGTACAAATTGTCAAAAATAACAAAAACAATAAAAAAGATGCAAAAAAGGACAAAGATACAAAAACAACAAAAACACAAAACTGTAGACAAAGACACGAAACTAAAACAAAGATAACTAAATATAGACAAAACTATAGACAAAGACACGAAACTATAGACAAAGATAGCTAAAATATAGACAAAGATAATTAAATATAGACAAAGATAACAAAAATATAGACAAAAATAGCAAAAAAGACAAAGATAACTAAAATATAGACAAAGATAACTAAAATATAGACAAAGATAACAAAAATATAGACAAAGATAACAAAAATATGGACAAAGATAACAAAAATATAGACAAAGATAACTAAAATATGGACAAAGATAACAAAAATATAGACAACGATAACTAAAATATAGACAAAGATAACAAAAATATGGACAAAGATAACAAAAATAGAGATAAAGATAACTAAAATATAGACAAAGATAACAAAAATATGAACAAAGATAACTAAAATATAGACAAAGATAACAAAAATACAAAGATAACAAAAAAGGACAAAGATACAAAAACAATGAGAAAGATAACAAAAATAGACAAAGATAACTAAAATATAGACAAAGATAACAAAAATATAGACAAAGATAACAAAAAAGGACAAAGATACAAAAACAATGAGAAAGATAACAAAAATAGACAAAGATAACTAAAATATAGACAAAGATAACAAAAATATAGACAAAGATAACAAAAAAGGACAAAGATAACAAAAACAGTGACAAAGATAACAAAAATATGGACAAAGATAACAAAAATATAGACAAAGATAACAAAAAAGGACAAAGATAACAAAAAAGGACAAAGATAACAAAAATAGACAAAGATAACAAAAATATAGACAAATATAACAAAAATATAGACAAAGATAACAAAAATATAGACAAAGATAACTAAAATATAGACAAAGATACAAAAATATAGACAAAGATAACAAAAATATAGACAAATATACAAAAAGACATAAATATGTAAAAGGACGTACAACGAAGATGTGGCAAATGATGAAAAAGAAATTACAAACATTTATGTTTAAAACTCATGATGAGATAGTGGACTATTTGAATCACCCTGAATATGTGGTCCACAAACATTTTGTTTGTTATCGCCATGAGACATAAGATGAATCAAAAATATAGACAAAGATAACTAAAATATAGACAAAGATAACAAAAATATAGACAAAGATAACAAAAAAAGGACAAAGATAACAAAAATATAGACAAAGATAACAAAAATATAGACAAAGATAACAAAAATATAGACAAAGATATCTAAAATATAGACAAAGATAACTAAAATATAGACAAAGATAACTAAAATATAGACAAAGATAACTAAAATATAGACAAAGATAACAAAAAAGGACAAAGATAACAAAAGTATAGACAAAGATAGCAAAAAAGACAAAGATAAAAATAATGACAAAGATAACAAAAATAGAGATAAAGATATCTAAAATATGGACAAAGATAACAAAAATATAGACAAAGATAACAAAAATATAGACAAAGATAACAAAAATATAGACAAAGATAACAAAAATATAGACAAAGATAACTAAAATATAGACAAAGATAACACTAAAATATAGACAAAGATAACTAAAATATAGACAAAGATAACAAAAATATATGGACAAAGATAGCAAAAAAGACAAAGATAAAAATAATGACAAAGATAACAAAAATAGAGATAAAGATATCTAAAATATGGACAAAGATACAAAAATATAGACAAAGATAACTAAAATATAGACAAAGATAACAAAAATATAGACAAAGATAACAAAAAAGGACAAAGATAACAAAAATATAGACAAATATAACAAAAATATAGACAAAGATAACTAAAATATAGACAAAGATAACAAAAATAGACAAAGATAACAAAAATATAGACAAAGATAACAAAAAAGGACAAAGATAACAAAAATATAGACAAATATAACAAAAATATAGACAAAGATAACAAAAAAAGACAAAGATAACAAAAATATAGACAAAGATAACTAAAATATAGACAAAGATAACTAACAAAAATATAGACAAAGATAACTAAAATATAGACAAAGATAACTAAAATATAGACAAAGATAACAAAAAAGGACAAAGATAACAAAAGTATAGACAAAGATAGCAAAAAAGACAAAGATAACAAAAATAATGACAAAGATAACAAAAATAGAGATAAAAAGATATCTAAAATATGGACAAAGATACAAAAATATAGACAAAGATAACTAAAATATAGACAAAGATAACAAAAATATAGACAAAGATAACTAAAATAGACAAAGATAACAAAAATAATGACAAAGATAACTAAAAATAGACAAAGATAACAAAATATAGACAAAGATAGACAAAAAAGACAAAAATAACAAAAATAATAGACAAAGATAACAAAAATATAGACAAAGATAACAAAAATATAGACAAAGATAACAAAAATATAGACAAAGATAACTAAAATATGGACAAAGATAACAAAAATATAGACAAAGATAACTAAAATATAGACAAAGATAACAAAAATATAGACAAAGATAACAAAAATATAGACAAAGATAACAAAAAAGGACAAAGATAACAAAAATATAGACAAAGATAACTAAAATATAGACAAAGATAACAAAAATATAGACAAAGATAACAAAAAAGGACAAAGACAAATAAGGACAAAGATAACAAAATATAGACAAAGATAACAAAAATATAGACAAAGATAACTAAAAAAAAAGGACAAAGATAACAAAAAAGGACAAAGATAACAAAAAAGGACAAAGATAACAAAAATAGACAAAGATAACAAAAATATAGACAAATATAACAAAAATATAGACAAAGATAACTAAAATATAGACAAAGATAACTAAAATATAGACAAAGATAGCAAAAATATAGACAAAGATAACAAAAATATAGACAAAGATACAAAAAAGACATAAATATGTAAAAGGACGTACAACGAAGATGTGGCAAATGATGAAAAAGAAATTACAAACATTTATGTTTAAAACTCATGATGAGACAAAGATAACTAAAATATAGACAAAGATAACAAAAAAGGACAAAGATAACAAAAATATAGACAAAGATAGACAAAGATAACTAAAATATAGACAAAGATAACAAAAATATAGACAAAGATAACTAAAATATAGAGATAACAAAAAAGGACAAAGATAACAAAAATATAGACAAAGATAACAAAAAAGGACAAAGATAACAAAAATATAGACAAAGATAACTAAAATATAGACAAAGATAACTAAAAATAGATGACAAAGATAACAAAAATATAGACAAAGATAACAAAAATATAGACAAAGATAACAAAAATATAGACAAAGATAACAAAAATATAGACAAAGATAACAAAAATATAGACAAAGATAACTAAAATATAGACAAAGATAACAAAAATATAGACAAAGATAACAAAAATATAGACAAAGATAACAAAAATATAGACAAAGATAACTAAAATATAGACAAAGATAACTAAAATATAGACAAAGATAACAAAAAAGGACAAAGATAACAAAAGTATAGACAAAGATAGCAAAAAAGACAAAGATAACAAAAATATGACAAAGATAACAAAAATATAGACAAAGATAACTAAAATATGGACAAAGATAACAAAAATATAGACAAAGATAACTAAAATATAGACAAAGATAACAAAAATATAGACAAAAAAAGATAACAAAAAAAATATAGACAAAGATAACAAAAATATAGACAAAGATAACAAAAAAATATAGACAAAGATAACAAAAATATAGACAAAGATAACTAAAATATAGACAAAGATAACAAAAATATAGACAAAGATAACAAAAATATAGACAAAGATAACAAAAATATAGACAAAGATAACAAAAAAGACAAAGATAACAAAAATAATGACAAAGATAACAAAAATAGACAAAGATATCTAAAATATGGACAAAGATACAAAAATATAGACAAAGATAACAAAAATATAGACAAAGAAAATATAAAAAGATAACAAAAATATAGACAAAGATATCTAAAATATGGACAAAGATACAAAAATAATGACAAAGATAACTAAAATATAGACAAAATAACTAAAATATAGACAAAGATAACAAAAATAAGACAAAGACAAAAATAATGACAAAGATAACAAAAATAGAGATATAGACAAAGATAACAAAAATATGGACAAAGATAACAAAAATATAGACAAATATAACAAAAATATAGACAAAGATAACAAAAATATGGACAAAGATAACAAAAATATATGACAAAGATAACAAAAATATAGACAAAGATAACAAAAATATAGACAAAGATAACTAAAATATAGACAAAGATAACAAAAATATAGACAAAAATAGCAAAAAAGACAAAGATAACTAAAATATAGACAAAGATAACAAAAATATAGACAAAGATAAAAAAAGGACAAAGATAACAAAAAATGACAAAGATAACAAAAATAGACAAAGATAACAAAAATATAGACAAATATAACAAAATTATAGACAAATATAACAAAAATATAGACAAAGATAACTAAAATATAGACAAAGATAGCAAAAATATAGACAAAGATAACAAAAATATAGACAAAGATACAAAAAAGACATAAATATGTAAAAGGACGTACAACGAAGATGTGGCAAATGATGAAAAAGAAATTACAAACATTTATGTTTAAAACTCATGATGAGATAGTGGACTATTTGAATCACCCTGAATGGCCGTCGTATGTGGTCCATCGATAAACATTTTGTTTGTTATCGCCATTTCTTGAGACATAAGGGATGAATCTTAATATAGACAAAGATAACTAAAATATAGACAAAGATAACAAAAATATAGACAAAGATAACAAAAAAGGACAAAGATAACAAAAATATAGACAAAGATAACTAAAATATAGACAAAGATAACAAAAAAGGACAAAGATAACAAAAACAATGACAAAGATAACAAAAATAGACAAAGATAACAAAAATATAGACAAAGATAACAAAAAAGGACAAAGATAACAAAAAAGGACAAAGATAACAAAAATAGACAAAGATAACAAAAATATAGACAAATATAACAAAAATATAGACAAAGATAACTAAAATATAGACAAAGATAGCAAAAAAGACAAAGATAACAAAAATAATGACAAAGATAACAAAAATAGAGATAAAGATATCTAAAATATGGACAAAGATACAAAAATAGAGATAAAGATAACAAAAATATAGACAAAGATAACAAAAATAGAGATAAAGATATCTAAAATATGGACAAAGATACAAAAATAGAGATAAAGATAACAAAAATATAGACAAAGATAACAAAAATAGAGATAAAGATATCTAAAATATGGACAAAGATACAAAAATAATGACAAAGATAACTAAAATATAGACAAAGATAACAAAAATATAGACAAAGATAACTAAAATATAGACAAAGATAACAAAAATATAGACAAAGATAACAAAAAAGACAAAGATAACAAAATAATGACAAAGATAACAAAAATAGAGATAAAGATATCTAAAATATGGACAAAGATACAAAAATATAGACAAAGATAACAAAAATATAGACAAAGATAACTAAAATATAGACAAAGATAACAAAAATATAGACAAAGATAACAAAAATAGAGATAAAGATATCTAAAATATAGACAAAGATACAAAAATATAGACAAAGATAACAAAAATACAAAGATAACAAAAATATAAACATAGACACAAAAATATAGACAAAGATAACAAAAATATAGACAAAGATAACAAAAATACAAAGATAACAAAAAAGGACAAAGATAACAAAAATAGAGATAAATATATCTAAAATATGGACAAAGATACAAAAATAATGACAAAGATAACTAAAATATTGACAAAGATAACAAAAATATTGACAAAGATAATAAAAAAGGACAAAGATAACAAAAATATAGACAAAAATAACAAAAATATAGACAAAGATAACTAAAATATTCACAAAAATAACAAAAATATAGACAAAGATAACAAAAATATGGACAAAGATAACTAAAATATAGACAAAGATAGCTAAAATATAGACAAAGATAACAAAAAAGACAAAGATAACAAAAATATAGACAAAGATAACTAAAAAGACAAAGATAACAGATGTTATCGCCATTTCTTGAGACATAAGGGATGAATCTTAATCAAAATCACATGAAAGCTCACCCCTTCCGTGTCCCTTATAGTTTGGAGGCTGATGAAAATGTCATGGCTGACAGGCGACCATCTTGAATTTGGCGATGAAAATTTATCATCTTTCTAGAAATGTCTTTCTGAAATTTCAAATGCGGGTTATTTTGGTCTGCAGCTGTATCCTTTTGATTTTTGTACAAATCAGGATAACAAAGTATTTCTTGAGAGTTTTCTTAAATGTGATGTGTATGTCCCTCTAGGTCAACTAGTTTTGTCCTTAAAATTTTCGGATCGATCATTAAATCACAACTCTCTGAAGGCAGCCATTCGGACTTTGACTATAAATATTTGTTATCGCTGTTTTATTAAGGTTTTACTTGGTTCCAGTTATCACCGGTTGTTTTTGGAGATAACCTGAAAAGTCAAATGGTTACCAAGAAACCATTTTGGATTTTGATAATGAAGGTTCCTTCTGATTGAACCCTAGTTGGGATATTTAGACTGATCTGTAAAAACAATTAGCTGACAGGTAGCCATCATGGATTTTGGAACTTGAAACTTTGCTATTAACATGTCTTGAGAAGTACTGGATACATATTTCTCAAATTCCATACGTAGCCCTTTTAATCCTAAGACTAACCAGAAAAGCAAAATGCTTAGGAATTTATCCTTAAAGAAAGTTAAAATTTGTCACCATTTTTCTTAAAATCCATTTGTAGTTCACCTAAGTAAAGCTTTATATGGATATTTCCGTTTAATTCAATATGTAAATTTCCTTTGTTTATTACTATCACTTTGTAATAAATTCACATTTAAAGGTAGAGGTAATGCAAAAGTCAATTAATACGTGTTATGTGGTTATATGGTCTATAATGCTATTGACCGTTACAGAAAAGCCTGGTCAGTGTGAAAAAGTAAGCTCATGCGGTGTGGTGACTAACATGACGTGTCAGAATGATGTGGACTGTATCGATGGATTTAGAAGTAAGTGTTGTCTAACGAAACTAAGCAACGGGTGTAGAAAAGAATGCACGACCCCAGTGACAACGTCTGTCTGTAACATCACGTTTAGTGACCAACCAACCTTCACCTGGGGATACGAAACGGTCACAAACGACAAATGTACGACTTGTAAATGTACCATGGATGGACGATCAGAGTGTTCCCAAATACAATGCCCTTCTCTAAAGGGGTGCACCTACATTATCGAGGAGTCAGGAGTCTGCTGCCCTGTTTGCCGAGGTGAGTCGTGTCGGGTCACTAATTTCTGTGTAATATATATATTACAATATATATATATAATAATTATTATTTCTTCGTTGGCTGTTTACAACCTTTACTGATAGCGGTTTTATTTTGCCGTTCTGTCTCAATCCGATATACGCACTCTGTTATCATTACACCGCCGGATCAAAATTTTCTCATCTAAGACACAGGTCTTCAAATCAGCGCCAATATAAGCATAATTTGTCATGGAATACGGAACGTTTCTGACAAAACTTCCATTTGATAATTGTTCAAATATGCACTAGACTTGTTAATGATGTTATGCAGTTTACAGAGGAGAATGATATTCCAGGTTTTGATTCGATATCTTGGTTATTTATTGAAAAGGTTTGACAATTTTTTGGGTTCGGAAGTAGCATAACTACACAGGTTGAAATATTACATAATAATGCTAGTGCTGCTATTAATCAGGGTGGAAATTTATCTCCACGTTTTTTTCCAATAAGAAGAGGTTTCCGTCACGGTGACCCTATTGCATGATATATCTTTATTCTGTGTGCTGACATTTGGCAGTTAGATTAAGAAATAATGGTGAAATTAAGCATATTGATATTGATAACTGTCCCCAATACTTCTGCCTCAATATGGGGACGATACATCACTTGCACAAGATGGTACAGAAAGGTCACTTCGAGGATTCAAAAATTCAGATGGTATCAATTGGTAGTAAGAAATAATGTTCAGAGAAATTTATTCCACAACTAAATTTACAGTGGGGTAGAAATAGTTTCTCACTTCTTGGAATTGAATTCCATGTCAATTTGCACGAGATTCCCAAGTTGAACTTTGATAAAAAAAAAACTGATTAAACTTTAATCGCTCATCAGAACATGGAATAAAAGAATATTGACTCCAGCTAGTAAAATTAACATCATTATATCATACTAATTTCACAGTTTAATCATTTGTATATCTTGCTGGCAAACCCAACAGAAAAATTTCTTTCTACAGTTACCTCCATAGTTTAAGAGTTTTTAAAGAATGGTAAGAGAGATAAAGTTAAAAGGGATATTGTAATTCTGGATTACATTGATGGTGGACTAAAAATGATAAATATTAAGGCTTTCAGATTCACTTAAGTTAGGTTGGATTAGAAGAGTTTTCCAAAGTACATCCAAGTGGCAAGCAATTTTATAAACATATGTAAAGAGATGTGTTGTCTAATTGTGGAACTTATTATATAAAGTTATGTCAAAGTATATGTAAAAATAGGTTCTGGGTTGATGTTTTCAAAGCTAATAAGAATTTGCATGCTGCAACTGAAATCAGTATAACGTAGGGTAGTTTATTTGAAAGCCCCTATCTGGTACAATAATAAAATCACTATTGATAGAAAAGCATTTTATGAAGGACTGGTATGAAAAAGGAGTGATCATTATAAATGTTCTGATAAAAGATTACCATTCTGGTACATTCTTTGCGTTCAATGAATTTACTCAAGCATATCAAATAGAGACCAATCAATGTTGCTTTTCAAAACAATAAAATGTTGGTTTGAAATTATAAAAATATTGACACATATGGACGTTAAAATAGCCATGTTATACAGAGAATATCTAAAACATTACCCTGAAACAAACATGCTTTTTACTTATTTGGAATATAATTAGAGAGTATCGCATGGATGTTCTAAAACATTAGATAGCAAGTATAACATGTTACAGGGCACAGCAGGAGGCCATGGTACTGATAGTAAAACCATAACTACATATACAGTATGAATTGCTAGTTAGACCACGTCTGTTCATAATACACAACTAATCATGGTATTTTTCTCTTATATTTAGATATAACAACCTGCAAAGATAAACGTAAGTAAATAATTTATCACGTTAATGATAGTGTTGATGTAATAGAGTATCCTGTCGCTGTTTCTGTTATACAAGTTATATAAATAACTAATTTATCACGTTAATGATAGTGTTGATGTAATAGAGTATCCTGTCGATGTTTCTGTTATACAAGTTATATAAATAACTAATTTATCACGTTGATGATAGTGTTGATGTAATAGAGTATCCTGTCGCTGTTTCTGTTATACAAGTTATATAAATAACTAATTTATCACGTTAATGATAGTGTTGATGTAATAGAGTATCCTGTCGCTGTTTCTGTTATACAAGTTATATAAATAACTAATTTATCACGTTATTGATAGTGTTGATGTAATAGAGTATCCTGTCGCTGTTTCTGTTATACAAGTTATATAAATAACTAATTTATCACGTTAATGATAGTGTTGATGTAATAGAGTATCCTGTCGCTGTTTCTGTTATACAAGTTATATAAATAACTAATTTATCACGTTAATGATAGTGTTGATGTAATAGAGTATCCTGTCGCTGTTTCTGTTATACAAGTTATATAAATAACTAATTTATCACGTTATTGATAGTGTTGATGTAATACAGTATCCTGTCGGTGTTATACTGATTATATATTGAAATATAAATAATGTAAGTGTAGGATATTTATAATCACCCCGACAGTGTCTACTACAGATTATATCCACCGAGAATCAGAGAAAAAACGAATTTACAGAAAGGAAAATGATTTATCAAAATCAAAGTGACCTATTTAAATAGTTATTAATTTAAACGCGTACTCTTATAACGCTAGGATTTAGAAAAATAGAACTTTAACAACCTTTCAAAAGTTGAACTTACACAGCCATGTAAATTCTTGATGAATGAAAATGTACAAGCACAAATCATCTGTTATCTTGTTAATTTTTTAAAGCGAAATTTGTGGGTTGTCCCTCAAAGACAATTGAGATACCTCTACCAACCACTCTGCCAGATAAAGACTCCGGCAAGCCTGTAAGAGTGTCAATACTAGACAACACAGAACTGAGGAATATAACCGCATTCAGCTGTAACCTTCAGAAAATCACTGAGAGCAAGAAAACTTTCAGCGAGAGCAGCTTGGAATGGCGGAAGGAAATACAGAAAGTGTTGCTGGTCGTTAGCGATGACAACGGTCCCGCTGTGTGTAACATATCTATACGAGTGTCTGGTATGTATACACCCCTAACCTTAAGATATGGAATTTTATCTATTTTTCATTATAGGCTGTTTTAAGTGACTTTCCGACGATTTTCACTATGATTGTTAACTGGAAACAAGAAATCAATGAGGTAATGGCGCGTTTCCTAATCAATTTGAGAATTTTCTGTGAACATTAGTGCTAACTATCACAACTGATATTTTTTCTTCTACGTAACGACAGCAGAGATCGTGACAGAATACGGAACATTAATTTCAAATACAAAACAAAATGGATGTATGAAAAATTATATGCAACTCACTGTTTAAGTACCAAATGAAAAATAGACATACACTCCAGGGATAAAGAAACACAGGGTGACATTATTTGCAATATCTTGTGAATGCGTTGATCAAATACGATGAAAATCGGTCAAGCAACACTCTAGGTTACATTGCACGTAGTCCTGTATTGAATGTTGCATTATTGTATTGCGTGACGATGTCTTGCAAGGAAAACACGAAATTGGAGAAGTTCAGAGGGGTCAGGCCATTTGCGATGATTTTGCAAGGCCAAATGCAAATACAGGTTGCCAGACATTTCGGTGTCTATATTTGCACTATAGAACGTCTTGTAGAATGTCTAAGGGAAACTGTGGGTTGCTGACAGACTTCGGTCTGGAGGTCTGCGCGTGACGTCACAACGTCAGGAAGGTTTATACGTCGCGCGCATTTGTGCAATCGGCACCTTACTGATTGTGCCCTTCATACCATAGGCACTCATAATCATCCTAACCATGCGAGAACTGTAAGGAAACTATTACAGGAAGTTGGTCTGTGGCACGTCACCCGTTTGTAGGTCTGCCCCTTACCACTGCTCGTCGCCAGCCTCGTATTGCTTTGGTGGCGGCATATGCCCCCAGAATATTCCCATTGAGGCAGTGTTTACCGAGGAGTCCTGGTTCACCCTGTTTCGAACAGACATTCGACGTCGTGTATACCGACGTCGTTGAGAATGTTTCACCGACTGCTGCGTAGTAGAGACGGATAGATTTTCGGATGGGTCGATTATGGTGTGAGGTGGCATCTCACATGGAGTTAAATCACCACTGGTTATGGTAGCGAGTAATTCAACTACCGCTAGGTATAGAGATAATCCTCCTACCCTACGTTGTCCCGTTATTGCAGCAAAAGAAACCTCTAATTCCAGAAGGGTAATGCTCGACGCCATGTAGCGAGGATCTGTCGCGACTTCATCACTAACAACAATATCCACCCACTTAACTGGCCGCCATACAGCCCCAACCTCTCTCCTATTGAGCACTTGTTGGACCAGTTGTATAGACAGATTCGACGACGCCAGCCGCCCCTGTTACTCTAGCCCAACTGAGAGCATCCCTCTCAGAAGAATGGGCTAACATCCCAATGAGGAGGCTAAACTCCCTCAAGAACTCCTTGCCATTGGAGAATAGGGGCTGTGGAGAGAGCGAATGGGGGACATGTCTGGTATTGACTAGCCAGCTCCTATAATCAGTCCATTTTGATTTAAGGCTGCAGAGCGTTCTTTCAATTCCTTTCAATTACTTCTACATCAACGACCAGATTTTGCAGTTTGTTTTGTATGGATTAATCTTCATTTTACTTTAAAATACTTAACATTGTACTCGACGTCTTGCCTACAATCATCTTCAAAGTGTACCCTACGTTTCTTTATATCTTGGGTATATAATGTCTGTACTTATATAAATAAGTATTTTCCCTGCAGCATATTGATTTTAATTCTTCTGATGTACAACAAACATGAATGGCTATAAGACCATTACGTCGCAGATTCATTAGTATTTTTCATTGCTTATCTAGATACTACAAAGCCTGTATTCAGCAGCAGCTCCCCAAACGACACCGTGATAACCACGATCGCCAAGGACGAAAACGGAGCTGTGGTGGTTTGGACGAATCCAGTTGCATTTGACAACTCTGGCTTTGTACCAAAGATTGCGACAAATCGTACGAACGATGCGGAACTTCCGATTGGAATTCATGAGATTAAATACATCGCGACAGACAAGGCAAACAATGTTAATGAAATCAAGTTTTATGTAAATGTCTCCTACATACCAGGTAAGGGGTTTCCGAAACATTAAGCTTCAAATAATTCCATATACAAACTTGGACAAATTAATATTCGCTCTTAGTTATTTTTTATCTCCTCTCGGTATTGAAAAATTAACACCATGGAGATATAACGGAAAGACCATTGATAATAATTCTAACGTACAACATTACTTATAAAGTTATAACGTCACATCTTAACTAACGAATGACATAAAATGTAGACAATAATACAATATCCTGTTGTTTCAGATCTCAGATGCTCCTCGCCCCCTTTCTTTCATCATGGCTCAATGGAATGTAACGAAGGCGACGATGACGTTGTTACTTGTATCGCAAAGTGTCAGAGAGACTTCTTACTTAAATCTGAATTCGAAAAAGTACACAAATGTGCAGGCGGAAAGTGGACACCAGCGTTTAAACCTGGATTTGTATCTGCGTGTTTTAGTATGTTCCTATTTACTCTTAGATCAATGTTGGGCTAGGGTTAATTTTAGACTAAATGGTAAAAACAAAGGCAAACTTTTGAGCAAAAGAGCATAGTGTTCTGCTTTAACTGGTAATCATTATGAGATAATGTCCTAATATTAACAGGTGGTGGTATCCTAATATGAATTTTCTGATGGGTTTTTTTCCCAGCTGACCAGTCGGTCAATATCATATTTTTTGAAAGGCAGATAAAACATCTAATTGCTTGGAATTAATAATATATGTATGTACATATTGGTATTACCAGAACCCCAGCCAACAATCTTAAAGATTTCAACGGCTGTGGAAGTGGACTGTAATGGAAAACAAACGGTAGTGGATGATGTCGTCGAATGTCTAAAGCAAAGACTACCATGTGATGATGCTAACATCAAACTATGTCATGAGGATGCTGTCAGTATAGAATACGACGGTTCGTCCACGATAATCAGCGTGCAGGTGACCGGAAAAGTATCGTAAGTAGGTTACCGGCCATTAGTGGACACATCTCATTGTACCGTGTGTACCTCTGATAATGCTAGCTGTAGTACCGTATGTATCAGACAATATTATTGTGTACCTCTGATAATGCTAGCTATGGTACCGTATGTATCAGACAATATTACTGTGTACCTCTGATAATGCTAGCTGTAGTACCGTATGTATCAGACAATATTACTGTGTACCTCTGATAATGCTAGCTGTAGTACCGTATGTATCAGACAATATTACTGTGTACCTCTGATAATGCTAGCTGTAGTACCGTATGTATCAGACAATATTACAGACTATATACCTTTTGTAAAGCTAGCTTTAGTACAGTAAAAACATTTACTGACTGACATGTCAACAACAGGATATGACCAGGTGAACCAGAAGGAAAACCGTCTTCTGCTTCCGTGGCGACAACAACCAGATAAATCATGGTCGATCCAAATAATTAACGTCACGTTTCCACATAAAACAGGGTTGACCACCAAATATACTAATTAAACAAACACGCTTATTGTCATGTCGCATAAGGTAAAAGAATATTTACTAATAAGATCATTATGACAGCTGTAAAACTTCCCAATAATCTTCATCAACTTGTGTTTTGAGTTTTTACCAAATGTTGACATCTTGCACAAACATCGTGATATTGGGAACAAAGCAAATACATATCGGTGCAACTACTATAGGTTGGTGATGCAGGGAGTTTGCTATTTAGAAATGAAAAATTCACAAAAGGAAAGTTGAAACTACCACGCTTATCATGCAGTTTGGTGGAAAGTGACGATAATTTGTTTACATACCGTTAATTGTTCATTGTCAGATCTTGTGAAATGCCATTTCTAAAGTTTAACGTATTCTTAAAAGTGTGAATAGAATAAATTCCATAATCTGGTTATATTTCACATTGAAAGTCATTTGACACTGGCGGTCAGGACTTCCTGTAGTCATCGTGTTTCGTCCGTCGCTGCACGTTCACTTTTCACGTTTTAAACTTCTGAAACTCACCTGAAATGATCCTGATATGGTTCTGATCAAATGATTTTATTTTGGGGGTCAGTCCAATATACAATAAGGCCGTCATCTTGTTAAAGGCATTTTATACTTCTGAAGTTCCAACGTTGCCTTTGGTTAGGATGTTACGGAAACCAACACAGTGTTTTTACATGTAATTTCGTGATATTGAGCAGAAATTTCGCGGGAATGTCTAGACACGAAAACAAATTGTTTTTTTTTCTTCACGTCTAAAATATTTCGCATATATACTAAAACTAATTTCAATCATTTAGTGACTGTTCCCGTGGCTACTGTTGTTATATTGTATATAGGTCTTTATAAACAGATCACTGTTAAGGTTTATGAGCCTTTTGTTTTTATATATGTATATATATAATCTCCCATTTAATTATGACGTCACATAGACACCTTTGTTATAGAATCCTTCCATAGGGACAATGCATCTAGACAATATATGTAATTAAGCATCATGAAGATTTATGAAAGCGCTAATGCTTAATTCAACGTGTTCTCCAAATATATTTTAGGAAGAAAAAAATCAACAGGGTAGTTAACTAACGTCTTCAGGCGAATGCTTTAATGATTTGGTAACGACATTATGATGTAATCGATAGTAATTATAGGGGAGGTAATGATGACGTCACAGAATCACTTTTGTTATGAAGTCACAGATAAAGTATCTAGACACTTTATAGAGCGTCGTGAACATTCAGAAATGATAATGCTTATGCTTTATTCGACGTGTTGTTTGAAACAACAGTAGAAATGTAACATTTGCGATGCTCACCTTTAAAGCGTATGAAGATTTGATCTGAAAGTGCTTATACTCTGTTCATCAGAAGTGTTTCCAATCTTATTATCATTATCATTATTTATATGTATATATATATATTGGACATAAGACAACGGCAGTGTAATGCTCGTGCATTTTGGTACCGAAGATCACGAGCTCGAGGCTCGGACAGGGCACGGGTCAAAAATTGTCTTTTTTCGTCAATTGTGCTACAATGTCAAAAATATCAACTAATCAACACAATGTATCATGTATAGTAATATTGTTGATCCGAAGGTTCTAGATTTGAATTACTTGTCGTTAAATGTACCTGAGTGTGATATATATTTATCAATAATTTCAGTTTGTTTCAAATCCTTAGAAAAAATTAAGCATCAATCAGATTATGGATTGTCGGCTACATCTCTGTAATGCTTCTTGTCATGATGTTCTCAAGAAAATTTTATCACATTATCATCTTTATATTTCATGTTAATTACAAATTTACAGCTTCACATCAAACGTCCAGGGCTTGAGTTCAATGAACCAGACATTGGAGAGATTGGCATCAAGTGTAGAAACATTATTCAGCACGGAGGAACTAAACCAATTTTGTCCATCTCTTGGGTGTTCCTTCGAAAGAAAACAGGGGCGGACATACAAAAAAACATGTGAGAAGGGGGCTGTGTTATACCACGTACAAGGCCGATCTATCTGTGGTGAGTCTTGTTAAATAACAAATCCTTCCCAATATTAAACTTGAACATACGTGTAATATAAATCACATTGCTGCTTATATCGTAAACATATTTCTGACTAAAATATTACAGATATAAAACATGTTTCTATCGTTCTTGATCTTTTACAGGTAAATGTCCACCCGGTAACCGTTTCCTGACGAGTAACGGAAATTCTAGATGTGAATTATGTGGAGAAGGAAAGTACCAGGAGGAAGCAGGTCAGTTTGACTGCAAAGTGTGTCCAAAAGATCGCCCGTACAGCAAGATAGGGACCTGGCTTCCACACCGCTGCAAGCAAAGTAGGTTCTTATTTAAGGAATGCGACTGAAAATAATACTGTTTAAATACGTCTTAATGTGTTTCTCAGACATAGATTTGGTGCCTGTAAATTCATCCTTTCTTTATAAATATCGTTCGAATGATTCTGATATAAATGTAGAATTTTAGTTAAAATTATTACGAAATAGAACATTACTACCCAAGTGGATTAATCACAATGCATTTGATACCAACGTTTATCAGAACGTGTCAGGACAGCGTCGGACAACAGTGTGATTTAGATTACAATTGATGCAAAACAATTGAACGTGAATGTAAACCTAGACATCCGTGAGCGAAACGGTCATCAGACAATAAAGAGTTCGAACCTTGGAATATTCCTTGGAAATTTTGTTTTCAAGAATGCAAATGCCTATAAATTTTTTTTATACCTGTTAATCAATTACAGCATGTTATAGACATTCACGATTCATTACCAACCATTTAATGCATGGCTCGACGTCTATCGACTGACGCCTATCCGTTGACTTTTCCTTTAAATCGCTACTTGTCATGAATGACTAAGTGAACCTTAACCAGATTTGGTCAGATCCACTTAAAAGGAAATAAATCAAATTATTTCAAGTTGTTTTTGCTCTGTAGAAATGCCAGGAAATGTCCCAATTTGGTCTGAAGCATCCTTGGGTAAAGACCTCAATTTTGTATAAATGGTTAATATGCCCTTCCAATGGCCGAGTACGGGTCCCAACAGGGTTAATAGAGGAATCACGTTTAAATCCTTCTTTTGTTTTTCTTTTTCGCGGAGATCATGAAAATTATACGGCCTACTCTATTTATTTTAAAGAATTTGCTCTATTTCCCATACTGGGCCCACCACCCCAATCCCTCGGTTCCAAGACCCATCATCGTTACTACGAAATGGATTTCCCTTCATCCAAGGATGTCTCATACTTAATTTAGATAATATCCTTTCATTTCCTCAGAAGAATTTGTATTCATTTTTGAGCATAAAATCTCCTAATGGGCCCCGCAACCCAAAGATTCACCTTGTATACAAAATTTGTTCCCCTTTCCCCAAGGATGCATGAGGTCAAATTAGGTCAAAATACACTCAATCATTCATGACAAGTAGCAGGCAGATGACATGCACCTTTGGACCAAGTGAACTTAAAAAATACTCCATATTCCTACCTAGATTATACACACTTATTGTGCACTATTGAGTTGTGAGACTGTAGTGTACTATCGAGCAGTGAGACTAGTGAACTAATGAGTAGTGAGACTGAGTGCACATTTGAGTAGCGAGACTGTAGTGCACTAATGAGTAGTGAGACTGTAGTGCACTAATGAGTAGTGAGGCTGAGTGCACATTTGAGTAGTGAGACTGTAGTGCACATTTGAGTAGCGAGACTGTAGTGCACTAATGAGTAGTGAGACTGTAGTGCACTAATGAGTAGTGAGGCTGAGTGCACATTTGAGTAGTGAGACTGTAGTGCACATTTGAGTAGTGAGACTGTAGTGCACATTTGAGCAGTGAGGCTGTAGTGAACTAATGAGCAGTGAGACTGTAGTGCACTAATGAGTAGTGAGACTGTAGTGCACTAATGAGTAGTGCGACTGTAGTGCACTGTCGAGCAGTGAGGCTGTAGTGAACTAATGAGTAGTGAGACTGTAGTGCACTAATGAGTAGTGAGGCTGTAGTGAACTAATGAGTAGTGAGACTGTAATGCACTCTTGAGTGGTAAAACTGTAATGCACTATCGAGTAGTGAGACTGTAGTGCACTATCGAGCAGTGAGACTGTAGTGCACTAATGAGTAGTGAGACTGTAATGCACTATTGAGTGGTAAAACTGTAATGCACTATCGAGTAGTGAGACTGTAGTGCACTATCGAGCAGTGAGACTGTAGTGCACTAATGAGTAGTGAGACTGTAATGCACTATTGAGTGGAAAAACTGTAATGCACTATCAAGTAGTGAGACTGTAGTGCACTTTTAAGTAGTGAGACTGTAGTGAACTATTCAGTGAGACTAATACACTTTTAAGTAGTGAGACTGTAGTGCACTATCGAGTAGTGAGGCTGTATACTGCACTATCAATTAGTGAGACTGAAGTGCACTGTGTAGAAGCGAGACACCACAGTATATTCGGGTCATCTTAACTATTCCTTTAGAAGCTAACATGTAAATATCTGTAGATATGCACATATTTACATTTTTCAGAAAATGTGTTCCAAATGTCAGAGTCAAGTTTGGTAATAATTGATGTTACAGAGGTTGAACCAGAAGACAGCGAGTCATCTCTTGTGGCTATAGTGGTTGGCGTGCTGGTCGGATTCGTAGTTCTTATTGTAGTGCTTGTCACTATACTGGTCATTGTCAAAAAACGACAGGCGAAAAGGCATGCAGATATCAATTGCCACCCTAATCCGGCCTTTGAATACGACGCTGTCCTTGCAGATGATCCTAACTACACCAGTCTAGTCACGGATAAGTCTGGAAAAGATCGGTACGCAAGTTTAGGAAAGGGCTCATCTGTTAAGTACAACAAGAATACTGATGGTGTTGATGTTAAGAATGACACTGATAACCCATACAACCTCGTTGGGGAGCTTAATCCGTATGATTCCTTGAAACAGAGAAATTCGAAACCAGAAAATCCCTACGATTTGCCACCAACCAAATGATTGCATGATTCCTGTGGAAGCTGTGGACCGTTGTGTAACATGTGATAACCTCCGCGAGAAACAAAGTTCACTCAGAAGATGCAGGTTGTCAATTCTGATGCATCTCAGATCCATTTTATAGAAAATAATCCATTAGGTTATCTACGCAATTCTTTTTCAAATGCGTGTCAATCTTGGTATTCTGAACTTTCACTCACTATAGGCAAACAATAACACATGGAGAGATGATCTAACCAGTCATTTGCATCCTTGAACTTTTTGGAATTGATGCGAGAACAGCAAGGTTATTTACTTTTGGTAACAACACTTACGTACAAGTGAATTCCACTTTCCCTTTACCACAAATTTCCTTCTGGGAAGATGGAAAAAATTAATATAACCTTGTTATTAGTTAGAATAAAATGAGAGATATTTCTAGTTTCCACCACAACTTCCTATCAAGCAATGAACTGTCCAACACGACTTTGTTTAAAATAATCACTTCCCGTGTACCCTGTCATTAAAAACCCAATTAACTGGAATGCTTTAGCACAAAAGATGTTTATTATTTAAATTAAAATTGTAATAAAAAAGGAAGAAAACCCATTTAAAAATCAATTCATGTATAAAACTGAAATCAATGGTGTTTTGTACACTATATACACATTTCTAAGGCTCATCTCCTCAAGGAAATAAAAACTAGTCATTTTACATTTTCCGTGTACGTAAAATAGTTAATATGTTACTTGGTGATATTGCACAAGAACACATTATACAGCCGCTTCGTAATTTCAAGCGCTTAGTATTACAAAATATAGTTTACTCACAAGTTTGTTGTAGGGTAAAAAAATGCATTTTTGACATTCAGGTTCATATTGTTGTGTAGACAAGTATCACTCAAAAATGGCGAAAGTGATCATCTGATGTGTGTTTTCAGAGGAAAAGACATACACTGTATTTTTTTTTATTTCAGTTTAGCATGGCAGGATCCCTTGTATAAACATGTTTAACTTTGTTCACTGTAAGAGTGAAAAATAGCTTATCTTTTGAGGCCATTTTATATAGCTAGTCTTGTTGTACAGACACTAGTATACCATTTACATTATGCCAGCTTATTGCCCTACAAATAGCCACATAAAAGAGATTATTGAAACATTACTTGCATATTTTTTGTATATACCGATTCAGTATTCCAAATCTAATCTTTTTTTCTTATTTTGGTTTCGACGTCAAATGTTGAAAAGTGTCTAGCAAAATAATCATGTCATACAAATATTCCCATAAGTTTTCCATAAAATACAAGTGCTTCAAAAAAATATTTTTTCAGTAATTTTATTGTAGCAGTAACACATCATCATGAATATCCATGACAAAATCTTAACTATCACATATATTATATCTATCATATATCATGATAATATGTACATTTTGAATAGTGTAATTCATTTATTGTTTATATTTTGAAACCCTGTATAGTTGACATATTTCCTAAGCATCAAGTCATGTCTAAATCACATATACAGAAATACTTCCCATACTAAAAGTACTGCTGAACTATTAAAGATTTTTTTGTTAAGAGATGAAATCTTCAGGAGGCTAAACATCGACAGTGTTTCATCATTAACTATGCATATGTAAATAAAGGTTGTTACAAGGTTAACAGTAGATATTGGTGATTACCTCATTTAACCATTTATATGGAATTGGAATACAATTAACAAGGTTACTGGAATACAGTTAACTTTGGTTATTGGAATACAGTTACCTTTGGTTACTGGAATACAGACTTTGGTTACTGGAATACAGTTAACTAGGTTACTGGAATACAGTTAACTAGGTTACTGGAATACAGTTAACTTTGGTTATTGGAATACAGTTACCTTTGGTTACTGGAATACAGACTTTGGTTACTGGAATACAGTTAACTTTGGTTACTGGAATACAGTTAACTAGGTTACTGGAATACAGTTAACTTTGGTTACTGGAATACAGTTAACTAGGTTATTGGAATACAGTTACCTTTGGTTACTGGAATACAGTTAACTAGGTTACTGGAATACAGTTAACTTTGGTTACTGGAATACAGTTAACTAGGTTATTGGAATACAGTTACCTTTGGTTACTGGAATACAGTTAACTAGGTTACTGGAATACAGTTCACTTAGGTTACTGGAATACAGTTAACTAGGTTACTGGAATACAGTTAACTTTTGTTACTGGAATACAGTTCCATATAATGGTAAAAAATGCGGCAACCACTAAAATTTACTGTTGTTACTGTCCTCCATCTCATTAAGTGGAAAAAATTTAATGCTCTAGGTTAAAAGTAAGGTATTACAATTTATAATTTCCTTGATTTTGAGTAATACAATGTATTAATTTACCAGGAAGGAAGCAACAATTTCCTAACATAAACACTTCCTGTGCATGGATTAAGAGGGGTATTGTGGTAAAATTTCCTAATGCATGCCTTCACACCTTAAATGTCCTAATATTTGAAGCAAGACTTTAAGATATATGACATAGTAATAAGCATTGTCATGCATTGATTATGCCCCTGGATAAAAAAAAGGGGGGTATATTGTTTTTGTGCCTTTTGTTGGTCTGTTTCTTTGTCTGTTGCCAATAACTATTGCACTGCATGATGTAAGGCTTTAGTATCTGACATGTGTGTTCCTTGTGACAAGACCTTTCCCGTGGTACCAAAATGTTTCACCATATGACCTTGTCCATGACCTTTGACCTATATTTGAACAATTTTAACATTGGCCATAACTACTGTACCACAAGAGGTAGGGCTTGTATATTTGGCATGCATGTTTCTTGTGACAAGACCTTTCAGGTGGTACTTAACTTTTCACTAAGTGACCTTGACTGTGACCTTTGACCTACATTTCAAAAATTGTGCATGCAATTAGCACATGCCTTACACAGTACAGTTTTAATGTCTCACTTCAGAATTTTGTTGCAACCAGGGGTATAGTGTTTCATAAACACATTTTATTTTTGTCATGTATTCCTTTTTAAAGTATTTTACATGTAAACAACTTTTGTTATCATACACATTGACAATATATTACCTATATTAATTTGTCTCGTTTTCTTTCAGTTATAATGTTCCTTAGATAAATAGTCATTACTATTATCAAAAGTTGATGTAAATAGAAATAAAAACGTTGTTTATATAAAAAGAGATGTTTCTTTATTGAAAGTAACAAAGATTGATCAACTGACAGAAAACCTGAGGGACAATGGTTACCGTGTTATCATGGTTATCATGTAAGAAGCCCAAAGAGCTGACACATCTCAATGTCAAGGGTGAGCTCATAGCAAGACAATATTAAACATTTGTTGCAAATTCTATTGTACTGCAATAAAGATGAATGGGGTCATTTCCAGGCATGGACTTATGGTCAGAAAACACCGGATTAGCTTGTTTGTGACATAACGAACTTTCCAAAATCAAATCTGACTGCTGTGAAATCTCTGCTATTGGGTTCTTAGTACTTACTTAAATGTCTACGCCTGAATTTTTTGCTACATGTACAGTAATAGTTGAAATGATGTACCATCCACCTGTATCGCTTTTTCAGAAGGTTATTCCTGTGAAAAATCTAACCAATCCAAGGACTAAATCATCTTTATCCATGCACTTCAAGCCTGTTACTGTAATCAAAGCTCTACTGGTTACTCAATTGTATGAGCAGTATTATCTTGGGAAACGTGTAGATGTTTTATTGGAGAAGCCATGAAATGAAATATTGCAGTTTTTTGCATGTACCTTTTATTTACCTTGTTTTCTGAAATATATCCAATGACAATAAAGATTGCTGTAAATAAACAAGATTTTCTTTATATTTAAATAACCTATATGTATAAAACATGGGTATGATTTTGTCGTTTAAACACTCGAATGTGTCTCCTGTTAAAACCAAAGTTCACAATCAAATCTCCAGTTTATGCATAAGAACAAGCATACTATGCACTAATTTTAAGACTACAACTTCACACCTGCAATAACACTAATGGACACAACTTGTTAATTATGTATTCTCAGTGAAAAAACAAGAGGCCCCCTCAGGACTCTGATAAGTCTGTTTAGGCATCGTGACCTTTCAATAATGTTATATAGTAATGATAACTGAAGCCATTTTGACCAGCAGGATGATGAATTTTGAATAACCTTTACAAATCTTAACAGGAAACTGACAAAAAATAGTCAAATGCTGTTTCTTCCCCACTGTAACATCTAAATTGTATTTAATTGTAAGTTTATTTTCAAATATCAATCGATGTACACTTCATTCCTTTCCAAGTGAGGAGATTTGAAATCGCACCTTCATGAAATTAATGCAGGTGGTCACATTGGGTAATTGTAATTGAAACAAGAGGGCCATGCTCTTAATGCTCATCTGACAATTAATGAACGGACGGACAGACGGGCAGACCATAGAAAAGAGTTGCTGGGTATGTTGGATTTTAAACCAAATCAAAAAATTTTATTTGGCCAAGGTATTCTCATTTTGTAGTAGTGTTCATAAAGACAATCAATATCATTGACTGTGACGCAAAACTAGACATTCAATTTGACATAACAGTGGATAACTACACTGAAGTTAATCACCTTCCAGATATTTGATTTGATATATAACATCAATATACTCTCTCATTATACATAACACATTAGAATACAATAGCTAAAATGTAAGGATACAAGATAGAAAATGGTACAAGGGCCAATTGATATGTTATAAGCCTTGTATTGAAGAAGTTAAGCAGGGACATCCTTATTCAACTCTACTATTCAATGACTATTTAAGGCTGTGTACCAGAAGACTGGTGTCATTTAGCCAGTTTATGTCGAAGAGGTAGCACTCTAAAGTAAATAAGGCAAGTGACTTTTGCAAAATGAACAAATTTGCATAAAAAATGTCTTGCACCTATGGACATCCATATTGATATGGCAGCAACACTAGGGAATGACGCCTTTCATATGCTATAGTGGAACAGTGGGTGCTGTGGTAGGCAGAGCCTTGGGGAGGATGCTTATCCTGGAAGGTCTGTCACTTTTGCAAACCCAGAAATGGTTAATAAAGTCCTTATATTGTTATAACTGACAAGCAAGTTACAGAGAGATATTAGCCAGTACAGTTGGAATTTGACCGGAAATATCTTGCAATGAGAAAGCTCTCAGCCCATTGGGTACCAAGACTTCTGACAGTTTTCAGAAGCACACCAGGTGCTAATCTGAACCTTTTAGAGGCAGATCCTGCAAACTTTCTGCACAGGTTTGCGACTCAACGTGGGTTCATCATTTCACCCCAGAGGCCAAACAACAGTCTCAACAATGGAAGCACAATGGTTCATCCCTGTCGAAGAAGGCAAGACTGTTCAATCAGCAGGAAAGATTATGCCCTCAGTTTTCTGGGATGCTGATGGTATTATGATGGTAGATTATCTGCAAAAGGGACAAACAATCAATGGCACATATAATGCATCACTTCTTAGGCCGTTGAGAGAAAATGTCATACTCAAACACCACAGAAAACTCAGTAAAGGTGTGTTGTTCCACCAGGACAATGCCCCTATTCACCATCAAACTCTCATATTTTTCCAAAATTGAAAATGGCCATTTCCAGTACCCACTTTTGGTCAGACGATGATGTCATACATGCAATGAAGGACTTTCTGAACAGTCAGGAAAAGGACTTCTTTAAAAGTGGCATTGAGGCCCTTAAACATCACTGGCAAAAGCATATAATTAATATTGTAGAAAGTGTCACACATCTAAAACCCAGAGCTTAACTAATGAATCAGTTATGTCTATTTTTCCTAGGTCTTTCCATTGCCCAGACCATATCTGACCTAGACTTTCAATGTCTACTTTGTCAAGCCCTGCACATGTCAAACTCAGGGTACGGAGCGGATGAGGAGTGGCTAGCTTGTCAGAGATGGCATCAAGGAATGACGTGTCTAAGGGAGACTTCAAGCCACATCCTTCTACATTTAATTTGTCCAGTATAGTGTCATCTTGAACAGACTTCTCCAGAATGCGACGTACAACTGAATTTGTCAGTTTGGGATTACCCGAGAGTCGTAAGACCCTCAGGCATTTTCCTGACTCCAGTATCCTATAAAAAGAAAAATACATAAATACCATACCTGTTGGCTTTGTATACTCCAAACATGCCTAAAACTGTTTCTCTAAAATCTAACTAATTACAATTTGATGTAGATACAACTGTTTGACCTTGAACTTTAACCTTAATTTTGTATAAGCCTAAGAAACAACCGACATAGGATGTGAGAAGTTAAATTACTACAGGAAATGAGATAAACTTTTGGCTTTGACCTATGACCTATACAGGAGACCAGATGCATGCCATCCTGAGCAATAAAGGTTAAGTGCCTTGCCCAAGGACACTACTACGACAATACAGACTGATCCATTTCTCAGCTTCATGTGAATTGATATGTTCATTGGGTTTATTGCCTCGTGGACAGCTAAGGTCATGAGATTGGTAATGCATGCTGTGAAATAAATATCAGCTATAATAGTATTGGCAGGATTTCAGGCAATATAAGATATGATTCTTAAGTCTTACCTCACTATGAAGTCTAAACCTTCTGAAGATATATGAGAACTTGAAATATCCAATTCTTCCAGTACACAGTCCTCCTTCAAAACAGAACAGTCACGTAACACTTTTATCACAAAAATCTTATAAGACACTGATTTGCTTAAAAGCAATGGTGGTAAGGCAAGAATATACATTATGTATATCCAAATGTTAAAGTTTAGACAAACTTAAGCAATTACTACATCATTATTTCTATACCTTGTAATCCACACATTGTCTCAGGTGGGAGAGCTAGATAATAAAATACTAAAATTACAATGACAGGACTAAAACTCTTTGACAATGTCTCCATCTAAGGAGAAAACTATTTAGGAAACGAGAAAAGACTTCAACAGGACTCCCATATACTCACATTGTCACAGGAGAGAAATGTTTTTCTACTTCTGGAGATTTCCAATGCTTTTTTATTGAGAGGTTATCAGTGCACAAACATGCCCTGGATGAAGGGACTTTAAGAATTGTATGTACTGTTGTTCCAAATGCCTGAGCGAAAAAATGAACTTTATTTAAAAGATCTCTTATCTTCCTTCTAACATTTTATTCTTCCTCGTTTGGTAATCATCCATCAAAGTAAGGAAGATAATGGGTGTGTCTGTAATTATCATAGCTGTTTATAGAATATTCAACAATATGAAACCAGTTTATGGGTTCTGTCCTCTGTTGAGATAAACGAACATCTTGTTAATTTCGCCTAACAGAGATAGTGGTACAGACTAGTTTGTCTGTAGTCATTATCTTCTGATATCCATATTGTACCCTTTTCTAACATGGCACTGAAGAGCCTAGATTATAAAACTGATCATTTAGGAGGAAGTATCTTACCTGTGACAGGTAGTTCTGTAGGTGCAAAAGTAGATGTGAAGATGCACTGGCAGCTGTCATGTTTCCAGCTACAATCAGTTGGGTGAGTCTGGTAGCATTGAGACTCATCAGAAGCAGCTCTATACCAAGGGCTCCAAATTTGTTGTACGAAACATCCAGACACTGCAGGTCACACTCTACCGAAAAGCCAAAGAAGGCATCAGCTATTTTAGCCAAACAAGACATCTACTGTTTAAGTGCTGTCAGACTAGAAGGAATATTGGTGTAGTGTATAATTGTGAATGTGCCTAATTAAAAGTTTAAAAGATTAGAAAAATACTTCTTTTCCCCCTTTTATTCTCTCGTTTATAAAGTTCAATTTTGCTCAGGTTTAACAATGGACAAATACAATCACAAAGTTGAAACTGCCCTAGCCAGTCACATACTTTCAAGGGCTTTTGCCAAAGCAATCCGATGCTGCTGGAAGAACTTGGCTGTGAGGTCACATGACGAGAGGCAGATGTTGTTGATGCAGGGTAGACATGCAAGAACAGTAGTTAGTGACTGACAACTTGAATCTCCCAAGGAGTTGTGACTCAGGTCAAGATAGCGCAGGTTCTACGAGAAAAATACAGTGACAATTTAACACAGTGTTTCATCAATTCATCACTGATGATTGTAAAACTATAAGATATTAACTAGTTAAGCTGCATGGATTGAAACTTCAATATTAACACAGCCTGACTGTAACTTTGGCCTTCATATCATCACAGCTAATTAGGGCAATTAAGATACAGCGTTTATTTCTGCTAATGATATTAGTTTTCATGTGATAACATAAAAAATGGCCAAGAATACAACAGATTATGCCACAACATATCACCAATGATACATTACCTGTAGAATTGCTCCAGTAGATGCAGTGCCTAGCAATGTGTCTGCCAGTTGTTTAACTGCTACACTGGTGATTCTGTTACCAGCAAGACTTAAAGAGGATAAATTGGGAAGGGAACCCAACACATTCAGAAATCCCTCCAACCCAACATCTCCCACACGATTACCTGGAAACAAAATAAATAAAACCTAATATTCATAATATGCTGACTGTATCTTAATTACTTTACAACAAAATCATAGATCCTAGGTGTTAATGTACAGCCCTGCATATTTGCCTACATTCTTGGGCAGTGGCAGGAAGGAGGGAAACAGAGAGACAAAGAGATAATGGTATTTCTTACTCAGAAAATGTATTTTCTATAGTTGCTGTTGAAGAGATGTTGTCATAATACAAATGAATTTGGGAGCAAGCATTCATATTTGAATACCAATGACAGTAACACACATGCATATCATGTTAGAGTAGTAGAATTTTCCTGATTTACAATCTAGAAGGGTTCTGAACACCTGAATTGATGTGATATACAAGCTATGGGAGACAAACCTGTGAGATTGAGAATCTTTAGGTTAGATTGACACTGTATTGCCCTGAACACTGGGAGAATTTGGGCAGGACCCAGGGCTAAATTCTGTAGTTCCAGATTACCACCATCATCACAGCTCTGTAGAATGGTCCTTACATTTCTGTAGCTCACTGGAACAAACATGAGTCTTATAATTTGCTTCTGAAATACAAGGACACTACAGTAAAAATGAATTAATAGGTTGGTCAACATTCTTGGAACCAACATCAAGGTCACAGTTTCTGCTTTTAGAATTTGGATGAAACTTTAAATGAGAACCATGTCCATAATTTTAATAAAATAAACTACAAGTGTAACAAGTATAAGTATTGACCAAAGGTTAGGAGTTTATAAAAACTCAGGAGTGTAGGCAGCAATGACTATGACTTTCGTTTTGTTTCCTGTCAACACAACAGAATATTTCAAACAACTAACTGTGGATAAAATCTTATGCAAATAGATATTACAGGAACTGAGCTGGAGGGTAAGTAGCATTACACTGGAAAAACTTCATGTGTCTGTTCTTTCATTTGAATGTAATTATTTGTCAGCACTTACATGTTACATTTCAGGTATGAAATAAAAAGGACATGCAAACTATTTATTCTGGTTTTGAAAGGCGGAATCGAATGTTTTCAAAATGCAAAAATAATATCAGTAATCCATCCCTACTTCATAAACAAAAGAAACTGGTCCATCAAAAGCTGTCAGATAAACTAAAATGGGTCATAAAATGGCACAGAAAACTCCAAACAATACCTGAGAAGCTAGTTATACTAGCACACCTGTTTGGTATTAATACCATCAATAGCTTGAAAAGGCTATGTAGTGACTTTGCAGATAGAAATGTTATTGATATATATGTACCACACCTGTCTGAAGAGTTCTACAAGCCTGGTCATATCTCTGGGTTAAAGCTGGCATATCCCAATTGTCCACACTTCCCTGAACCTGTAACATACATAACTATCATTTAAGGACAAAAATTTCATACCAGAATATTCTGGTTTACAGTAAAGATTTATTTGATATGCAAAGTGTTTGTTTATCAAAAGTATGTGCAGCATTTTAAATGGATCTGAATATTTCAAAAATAGTTTTAATATTGAACAAGAGTACTGCAGGGCAGAACAATATACGCCTGTCCAAAACTATTCAAGCAAAAAATCAACTAAGGGGGAATAACTCAGAAACTATGTAGGTGAGGCGGGCAATCTTTATACTTGACACTCTGGCATCTCTAGATATACACGTGTACAAATTATGGTGACCAGAGAGCGAGGAGTCACCAAGTTATGGCAAGAACAAGGGAAGTTTACGAAAAATCAACTAAGGGGGAATAACTCAGAAACTATGCATGCGAGGCAGACAATTTTTACACGTGACACTCCGTCACCTTGAGACATATATGTGTACAAAGAATGGTGACAAGAGACCAAGGACTCACAAAGTTATGGCCCAGACAAGGAAAGTGTACGATGGACGGACATACAGATGGACGGATGGACAACGCCATACCATAATACATCCCGTCATACGACGGGCATATAAAAAAGTTCAAGGATTTCAATCTTTCCTGATTTGAGTTGAACATCATATGATGAGCAGATCAAGGATCATATAAATACTGAGAGTTAAGAATATTTAAGATTAAGCAAAATTATTCTACACCACTGCAGTTTCTATTTGTCAACTTTTATTGAAGGAAATTCCAGTTACCTCTTCATCTACTGACAGAACAAGACTTATAGGGTCATCAGGTGTAAGGAATGCCCCGTCCTTTGTTGTCAGGGTAAGAAAGGGACGTAATCCACACAGACTATAATACCTCTGGGACGTCTCCTGGGCAAGCCATCCAATAGTCTTACCTTCTCCACTGTCATAAAAAAGCAAATTGTACAAACTTAAGTCAAACAAGTTCTTATAAGGAGTAATAAAACAATAATAAAATATACCCAACACACAGAAAATTTTTGGATGACAAATATTGAAAGCACAGATCTATAAATAGTGTCATTTTTGTACTCAGACAGTAGAGTTGTGACAAGTTTGTAGCTTACCCATTAGGAGCTGGCACCAGTAGGAGTTTGTCCTTGACTCTGACCTTGACCCTCATGACCTGACCTACTGCTGAACTGGATATCTGATTCATATTAACCCCACTCCTCTGGGAGAGAGTCTCAGGTGGCAAGCTGGATTGTATGGTGTCTGTCTGTCGAACTGCAAACTGAGTCATCCTCATTTGTTTCGGCTTATTGGTCATTGCAAAGGCATCGGTCATCGAGGATGTGCAAGGGGCTGGCACAGATATGTCTGACAGAACATTAGATCTGTTAATGCGGGAAATTCTCAATGCAAGGGGAAATAAATCATCACAGAAATCGTCATCCTCATTCAGCAGCATTATGTCATCATTATCACTCAGACTTTCCAAGTTAACATTGTCATTTGCAAGGCTTTGAGAATCTAATGACACAGTATCCTCTTTAACAGTACGTTCCACTGAAGTCTCCTTGTTTTTGTCACTGCTCTCAATATTAAGCCTCCGCCTTTTCACAGCAGGTCGCATATCATCTATCAACCAGTCATCAACATACTCGTCTGCAGATATTAAGGCAGCAGAGTCTTTGCTGTTTAGTGACTTCGTAACATGATTGGAACTTGCCTGTGGTGCCTTGCGCCTTACAGCACTGCTTCCTACCTGGTGTATAGCCTGTCTGTAGGAATGGGTGGCATTAGATGATACTGGAGCTTGTGTTAATGGGTTAGGGTACACTTCCTCACTATCATCCTCTATAAGTGGTGATGGGCATGACATCTTTCTCCTACAAGAAAAAATAATGGGACTTGACCACATCGCACCTTGAATCTATTTCAGAAAAATGTAAATGTAAAACTGACTTGTTAATCTGATTTTTCTGTTACTGGTTAATAAAATACAAGTAACATGATGTGTTTTGGAGATGCCAACATTGCAGGATAAGAAATCAGGGTGGGGCCCGGGGGCCCAGGGGCGGCAGCCCCCAGTCAGGGTCCAGGGATGAGGTCCCTGGTGGGGGGTTCAGTGGGGCAAAGCTGAAGGATTTTAAGTCATTACAAAGCTGTTTTTACTGTCAAATATACTTATTTGAGTTTCAGAATGTTTTTTTCAGGTCACAGAGTCCACCATGGACAACAGAAATGTCACAATGGCACACATTACAATAAACATGGTGGTCACTTACAGCAGAATTTTTAAAACATGGATATGTAAGAGAGTATATCCGTAAAAACCACTGTGAATGAAAGTGTTTGACTTTTTTTGCAGGCGACGTGGCCTCTTCAACATCAACCATGTTTCAAGTTTGAGTTTAAAATGGAGCTTATGTCGATTTACGAGAAGCCCCAACTGTTTTGATACCGACCACACTGGCTAATAACAGAGGTCTTCCGATCATCCCCAACCACGTGGCAGTGTTATGTTAAAGTTTACACCGGTGTCAGGGGTAATTTCGATTATTTTGTCTGGGAAAAAAATCGACAAATTGGAGAAAACGCCATGAAATCGGAGGTAGGATTTTAATGTTAAATCAGAGGAACTCCAACCAAATCAGAGAGGTTGGTATCTCTATATTGTTGTGAAGCGTATTATGAAAAGTTTGGTTTTAGATATTTACATTTTTTTATCAAAAGGTATTATGAATTATGTATGAACAAGAACACTGACAGAGGGAAGCCAGTTTGTAATCATCAAGAAGAATTCACCGAGATGCCACTCTTTCAACTTTTAAGTGCAGCAGCCCAGTACCTATGAATCTGAAAAGCGATCTTAACCAAGCACTTTCATTCATTATCATGGCAACTGATTTCCTGGAAAGTGCTCCCATTGAATTCACTAACCCCAAAATAATATATACATCATTATTAGGTATATCCGATAATCTTATATTTCAATCAATCTGACCCCTTGAATTGTTGTCATGTTACTGAGAAGTAAATATTATATACAGAAATGAGGTAGCATGATTATTTCACCTAACACTCAAGTTACCATAGCAATCTAAATTTTTTTCAGATAAGAATGGTGTTGTGTATATCTAGGTTATGCTGACAATTCATGGGTAACTCATTATAAAGATCTACCATGCAGTTTCTAAGAAAATTCTGTCATACACTTTCAGAGAAAATTACAGTACTAATGAACAGCGAGAGGGTGAGTTGGCAGGCAGGCAAGCAGTAGACAAAGAGCCATTATTATGGGGTCAATTTATTTATGTGGGGCTCTGATGAACTCAACTTTGTCAGGGTTATCCATCACTATTTTTCTAATCTATCCTTTCTCATGTTGTTACCTATTTCCACAGAAACAAGTGCTACTTGCCTTGTCACATTTTCTGTGTCACTATCACCAGATTCATCAGACGATATTGTTCTTCTGGAAATAAAAAAAGAATCATTTATCAAGTCAACTAAGATTTCCTTAAAATAGTGACATTGACCCTAATACCCAAAACTCATCCGATGGATGCAAAATAATTTGGCAATTTATAAACATGATACCTGAACAAAATCTAACAAGGACTGAAGCTGCTAGTGAGCTGACAGATTTGGGTGTTTCATATGTATATACATTACTAATCCTGAACCAACTTGTGAGGAGATAAGTAATTTCCTTATAGGTTCACCATGCTTTTAACACAACTGAGACAAATGTTGGGTATTATCATATCTGATAGTGTTTATACACATAGGTCATTAGATATTTATATGATGTTGATGGTTTACATAACATGTGTATATGTAATCATATTAGTGTTGGTGAAAACCTCATATTCAGGCTCCTTTTTGTCCTATTGCGGGCAGGTTTGCTGAGGGGGTCAATATCTGTTGATGTACTAGACATAGTGCTACTACTCATGGTCCTCCCTGACAGGCAAGAAATATCCTCCGGAGATCTGCTGGCTGCTCATAATGAAAACAATTGTTATTTCATATCATTCTTAGTTAATCAAAGTATATATGTAACGTACTGCTTAACAAATTCATAGATTGAACAGGAGAAAATCATCCTGTTTTAACATGAGCTCTTAAAATGTTTTTTGCTTTTCTTTAAATGGAAATGAAGAACCAACCCCAAGTAACATGCAGTATTAGGTGCCAACTCTAAAACATTTCACTTTATATTACAGCTGCCTTTATAAATGCTACCTGCTTAATCTCATGTTCCATTTGTCAGGGGAAAAATGTGATAGTTAGCAGAACCTAACATTAACAGTTGACTTTTTTTTCCGGATGTCTAAACCAAGAATTAAAATTTCTGATGCGACAAACTGACTTGTTACTAACAGAAATTGTTTGGAGACAATAAATTTATAATTTGGTTTGTTTTTTCGAGAAGAACAGTGATTTTCCTTGACTTTTGTTTGTTTATTCCTTGAAATATCTAAAATGGTATCATAAAATAATGTGAACAATCATATGTCATATTCATAGTTCACACATGGTGAAATTCAGACACGACACTACAGTGTCATCAGCTGATATTTTGTGGAATTATTTATTCATGACAGTGTGGTTTTTATAATAAGTCATTATCACAAAGTTGATATACATAGTGTGTATCTCTGCAACTTCAATAAAATGTGTTCTGATGATCGCTACCAGAGTATTGCCAACAAAAATAGTCAACAGAGTGTGAAATCTTTGAAATGAAATGTTTCATTGGCTATTATATAATGGTTAATTTTAATGGCCAATCAAATGTCGTGAAATACAGCATAGAGAAAAACCTGGTTTTAGCACATTTTACTGTCACCTTACCAGTGCTCGCAATAATTTAAGCAATACATGATGTGAAGAACAATGAAAACATTCTGATATTATGACCAATTTGATTTTCAATCATCATTCCCTGCGATACATTATTTACCATAAACAAGTCATTTAAGAAAAATGATTATGATGTCAGCAAAGACGTAAGCAGCCCAGTGAAGGTTTTCGGGGCACATGTGATAATTTTCTATGTTCAATTAGACCTAATCTAGATTTCATTTTGTAAAACATCAAATCAGTTATTTTAGAAATAGCCTTGTATCAGAAATGTGTCCACAAAAATCTAAAGATGGAGATATTCATAATGATATTGACAAGCCACAGTTTGGTGTCATGAACTAAACAAACACAATTCATCATAAATCACAGTTCATGATTGATTATCTGTTGCAAAAAATCTTTTTTGACTCATTTTCAAAGAGTTTCGGCAGCAAGATTGATAACATTGTGACAAGTTTAAAGTTATAAATTGTTTAAAACCCATTTCAAAACTTGAAATTCACTAGACTTCCTTGGACCTAGCTGGACCTTACAAGTAAGATCTATCTACTTTTTGGGAGTCGTAAGGTGTGTAAAGTAGGCCAGTAGGGCATAGATGATGTTTCCTTAACATGCCCAGGTGTGACTTATTGCCATTCAGACATTTATCCATAGTTCCTGTCCTCACTTAACTGTGGTTTTTTTTGTGATAGTTGTCAAAATGAAGTAATGTTATGTGTTGCCCCCATAAAAATAAGTGACAGTATCAGATGTTAAATTACGTAGAATATATAGGGAAAAAATGTGTTTCAAGAAAACGTGATATTAACAGATGTGACATTAAGTTAGTTTCACCGTACCTCCTCCTCGGACATGTAAACTCAGTGATCTGTAGATCTCTTCATATGCCATCAGCACATTGCTATCTAAGGCATCATCACATCTCTCCCTCCACTGTCTAAGACAGGACAGAGCTGTGTTACCCTACATACATAATAAAAGCATAATCATCCCAACAGCCAAATTTTAAAGCTTATCCTTGTAAAATAATACCATGATGATGTTGCCACATCAGCAACTTACAGAGAGTTTTTGTAATACATTAACAATAATTTTCAACAGAATATACTACTAATGCAGTTTACTTATCAGTTCAAGTCTATTTACTTCAGGCATAAATTCTGTTCATTTTTAAAACCAATATTCCATTATGCTCTCATACAATATCTAATGAGGACATCACAAACACAGAAACAAGAAGTAAATTATTCATGTTTATACAGTGCAACTTCCCCAAACTGATCCTTCTCAGATCACCTCTTGAAACAGAACAAGATGGCCATATATGGAATGTCATCCTCTTTATTATAATAATTACAAGAATTCCAGGAAAGTGGATGTGTCACCTGCCCAGCAAAAATTCTGGAAATGAGTTTAATGAAACAATAGACTTCGATATTCATTTACTTGCAGATTAGATGTATAGTATCAAAGGGAACTGAATCTTGACCTGAAAAATGTCCACAGAAAATTCAAGTTAACGCATGAAAACCAATCTCCTATAGATAGAAAAACTGTCCTTGACCTTTGCTCTTCAATCCTCAAAAGCAATGCCAAGGGAGCACTTTTGGTAAGGAAGTATCAAATTTGATGATCAGTCAAAGGCCACTGAAGTTATAATTGGAAAAAAAGATATATATCTATAGTTAGAGTGACCTTGACCTATGAACTTTGGACCTGCACTTCAGATAAGGAAGCACTGTATGATCAGCCAAGTGTACACAAGTTATCCCCACAAAAATTTCCTATTTATATAGTAATGGTGACTTTGACCTTTTTGACTTTAAGACATGAGAAAAATATCCAGTATGCGCTTTTCGTAAGGAAGCACTGTATAAAGTAGCCATCTTGGATTTCAGATAGACCCGAAAAATAACAAAACTTTGTCAGGACCATCTCGGGATCATTTCATGCAAGCTTGACCTCAACCCACTGGTGGATCTTTAGGAAGTTTAAATGTCATAGTGGACAGCTGACAACGGCGATAACGGACGAAGCACAATGGCTATCGGTCATCATGACATTTGGGTCAGATGACCTAAAGACCCAAGTACTTAAAACCAATCTCTACCTCGTCATCCTTTGCCAGCATGTTGGCCTTATGTGCGATCAGGACCCTCATCACCTCTAAGTTACCACAATTAGCTGCATCTATCAGCGGGGTTACCCCTCCACAGTGCTGGCCTCCGCGGTCATTCACTGCAGCTCCATGCTCTAACAAATAGCTTACAATCTCGCTATGGTCATGGTTGGCAGCCTCATGAAGTGGAATCCATCCACAGTAGTCACGCGGATTGACAGGGTGACCCTAGAACACACAGAATTCATGCAGTTATACTTCCACAATAATCCCACGATTTGACAGGTGACACTAGAACATACAGAATTCATAGCTATGCATCCACAGTAATCCCTAGAACATACAGAATTCATAGTTTTACACCAACAGTAATCCCTAGAACATACAGAATTCACAAAGCCACTGTAATAATGTGGACTGACAAGGCGACCCTGGAAAATACAGAATTCACAGAGCTTTATGTCTACAGAAATTCTGCAGATTGACAGGGTGATGCTAGATAATAAATAATTCATATACCTATAATTATGCAATATGATGTGATTCTAACTATTTCTTGACTTGAAAAAGATCAACAGCATTACTGTTTTCAAGTTAACTTATGGTTTTATGATCACCTGACACTATCTCAATTGTCTTCATCTGTGAAATGAGTACAATAGCACAGGCCACTGATAATTAATATTAAGTAATGACTATGCTATGTACATGTCTTTGATCCTTACTATTGTAACCATTCCAAACCATGTTATGTAAATAGAGTCATCAGCCAAATTGTCAAATGATTTGTTCTACTTCAGTCTGCAGTAAAGACATTCATGATTAAGTATGAAACACAAACAAAACGGTGACTACAGTAGTATACTTTAAACCTTCTTAACTTACAGCAATCAAATTTAAGCACTTTATCGCTTTTTGGCAAATTAGCACAATGATTATTGAGCATATCCATAATAACTGTGAAATAAACAGTGTACAGAAACTAAAATTAGTGTAAATACACTTTAGTGCAGTATTTCCAGCAGGAACCAATCAAATACTGGCAATGAGCACTGTCAAGTAATGGATTAGTATTGCTTACTATTTGCTTCACACCCAGACCAAAGCTCCTAAATCTTCATATCAATATACAAGTAATATCAAATGATGGATAAAGTGACTTGATTTTTGAGACCTGCTTTATAGAGGAAAGTTGGCAATTTAAAACTTCGTTTTTAGCCAAAATTTTGATATCTTTGAAAATTCAGAAAATGTCAATAACTTTCCAATTATTACCTATACTTTTCCAAGTTCAGAAAAGAAAATGACACTGAAAATCTCCCAAACCAGATCACATTATTCACTACCCAACGTTTCCAGATATAGTGGGTAATGTTGTAAGGATTTGTCCCTGATTCATTAAATATATTTCATAATAATGTAAAACACAGAAAGTTTGGTTATGTTACATTCCTGTAGATAATTTAATAATAAGATAACTATAACACATTCATCTGTTGCTTTCCACATAATTAATGCCATACCTGTTCAACAAGTTTTTTCACTTTTTTTAGATTTCCTTCAATACATGCTCGATGCAATGCAGTTTCTCCTTTTTCATTTCTCTGAAATCAGAATCAAGATATTGTTATAATTTAAACTTTAAATCACAAGCTAACTCTGTTTAACCTTGTTTATTTCTGAATTCAAGCATAGCTGCTTTTATATTCAGGTCAGAGTCTATAAAAAACATAATATAAAGGAAATGGTTACTGCTTTTGTGTTGTCTTTCACTGCTTCCTCAAAGTTTATCAAAGCAGTTTGCAAAAGCTATCACTTCATTCTAAGATAAGGTTATACCCAGTGTACTAATTTACAAACTGAATATGTCAGTGATATATCTCAATCTATATGTACATAAATGTACATCAGACCTTAATAAATATGCACAACCTTATCATTTATTTCATAGCATAAGGACTCACAGAACAACTAAATGTCACATCAGATGTGAATGGTCCCACTCTAATGCAAACTAGTATCTCTGTTTCTTTAACTTCTATCAATGTAATGGTAACAGATGAGAAGGAAGAGGTAGGGTTGAAGGTTAATATATTAATGATTCAGTTCAAGTTTAAAAATTTATCATTCTGACAAAACTTGGATGGACTTACCTTTGTGGTAACTCTCCTTGCTACACCACGGACTGGGGCTGTCACCCTCGTCACATTTTCTTCATCACAGGAACTATGCTCTAAAGATGTAACCAGATGGTAAAAAACAATGCTAACAAACACTTACATGAACACAATTCAGAAAGTACTGATCATTATAGCTTGATTTAATAGGTTTGTTTAATTTTTATACTATTATTAATAAATCACAAGAAACATTATCATGAAAGATCAATTGTCTAAAACCAACTGATTTACTCACAAATGCTCTTTATCAGGAGGATTGAAAGTCAAATTCACATTTATCTGACATAATCCTGTACTTATATATGTATTACAGGACAAAGGCTTCTTTATCTATATAAAACGGACAAGCGTATTTGTTGTACCCGATTCTGTCAAGTCATCAATGCTAAGGTTGCCATCATCTTCAACACCATCAGATTTTTGGGAGTCCTGCTCTTCCTCCGACAGTTCATCATCACTGTTTACATTGTACTTCTCCTTAAGGCGCTGACATTTCTCTTCCACTTGATTGGTGGACTGTTTATATGCCTTCTGGACCTCTAATAAAGACTTCAAAACATGCACCTACAACAACAAATAGAGAATCAAATCAAATGAATAACAGATCTACAATTACACAACACCCCTAAAACAACCAAGACAAGACCGCCAAGATGACCTACAACTACAGGGATAACACAGATAGCTCAGACCAACATCTTAACTTTGAGAAACTGTAGATATTATGAAGGTCAACAAACTACATCATTGAGCTTTCTGCTACTAAACTCCATACCTTCTCTAGACTGTTTGAATATGTAAAGACAAAGGTTCAAAGTTAGTGGTCAAACAAGTCTGTAATGCCATCATTTATGTTTGACAATATTCAACAATCTTGACATTTGAACCTTGTAAGGTATGAAGTTTAACACTAAATCACTGAAAGCATATCAAAGTCATAGTTTGTTGTTTATACTATATGATAAGAATTCAGCCATCACTCAGACATTTGATAAGACTGCCGTGCTTTAACTCAGTATCAAGCCTAGTATATCATACAATAGGTCTGCAGTATTTAGTTTCAATAGCACAAGTTTGGTATATGATACATAAAGTCTGCAGTGTTAAGTCTCCATAAGTTTGGTAATATACTTAAAACCCTTGTTGTAAGGTATGGGATACCATACCTGAAGTCAGCAGTGTTCAGCTTCCTAAGCACAAGTTTAGTAAGACCATATCTGAAGTATATGGTGCCTAACCACAGTATCAAGCTTGATGAAAGCATACCTGGAGTCTTCGGTGCTTAGCTTCTTTAGCACAGTGAAAGCCTTTTACTAGAGAGTCGCTGACAGCATCATATTTATCTCCCCTTTGTTCCTGACAATCAGCTATATTGAGCCATGTACGACACATCTAAAATAATATCCAATAAAAATGAATATTAAATTTTTTCTTTAAGTGAATGGCACTTAGGACGAGAAAGACTTCTCTTCAACTTTTAAAAAGTTTCAATAAAAATGAATATTAAATTTTTTCTTTTAAGTGAATGGCACTTAGGACGAGAAAGACTTCTGTTCAACTTTTAAAAAGTTTCAATAAAAATGAATAATATGCAAAATGAAAATTGTGATATCCAAACCATTTAGACAAATCCTTCTGGACTTAACTACCATCATCCATTTGTAATTGGGAAATCTATTGAAAAGCTATTCAAAACATTGCCTAGTAAACAACATTATAAATGATATGATGTACAGAAGGAAATTGAAATTGGTTAGTAGTTTCCTGTAAAAATTATAATTAATTCTTAAATTGGTAATTTGGCATCATACATCATCTAGATCCAAATATGGTAGCATGTGATTGTTACAAACCAACATCTTTTTAAAGAAACTTTAAGAACTCAATATACTAGTATAGTAAACACCTAACTATTATAACCAACCTGTTCCTTGTCATCCTGTCGACAGATCAATTCCCTGTTGTAGTACTCTATGGCCTGTGCGAATTGTTTATCATCAGCATATGTCTGAGCAAGCGAGACATAAATTGGGATCATTTCCTTCATTGGTTTCTGTAAGGTCTCTGCACAGGTCAACTAGAAACAATATATATATATATATATATATATATATATATATACTATAAATGGCAAAGTGACAAACATTTGTGAAACATGAATATGACCCAAATATTCTGATGGTGGTGAAGTTTCATGAAAAATTAACTAAAGTCACTCAAAAAATCATCCAACTCAATGCCAGGTGCTAAGTGAGCACCTCCTATCAGATCTGGAAGACTGAATCGGCTTTGGACATCAAATAATTGGTCACAGGATAATTCTAGTATACCAAGTAACAAATCTTATGTTTTCCAATTTGGATCCCTATTTGCAAAATAAAAGTCATACTTCAACAGCAGGGAATGTGTCACGAGTTTTCTAACAACAGTTAACTGCCCGTTATCAGTTCTAACATTTAATAACCTTCCGGAGATGAATTGTCCAGACTGCTGACTGCATTGCTGTATCAATAGTGAAGCAAAAGACTACTAGGGAATCAGAAGTGTTGGGAATTGGAGGTTAGCTACATATAACCTGTCTGGGACTCACATCAACATCATTGCATTGCTACCTTACTATGATAAGCTATATTCATTGGTTGATTAGGTAACTTTCCTATACAAAATGAAGCAAAGCAAAAACAAAGGATACAAGACTTCAGTTTACATTGGTAAATCAATTGTATCATTAAAGGTGACAATAGAAGTTAAAAATCTATTATGCTGAGATAAGAAAAAAAAAAAAAAAGTTTCCATTTTACAAATGCATTGGAGATGTGCCCTCTGTAAACATGTTATTATCTGTTAATGATTCCACAATCTTGATCACGAAAGTACAAGATACTTCAAAATATTTTAAGAAGCATGAGAACGATTGACAAAGAAGAAAGCAGGGGCAAACTTATTTTCTTCTTATCTAGATAATGGTAAAGAGTGATATTTTTTTACCATAACCTTTACCAATGACTTAAATCTAATCAGGTTTAGACTTTGGTGGGGGATGATATTATGTGAATATCAAATAAATCTGTCCATGAGTTCATGACGTACAGTAAAACTCACTGGTGTTGAACATGCTTGAATCAAATACATCAGATGAGGAGAGAGTTTTGTTTTTTGTTTGGTCCCAATTTTTTCTTTTCTTTGTATGAGTAAATGAAACAGAATGATTAGAATACTGTTGAGTTCAATTTAGTGTTTGTGTCAATTTCTTTTGTGGTCCATTCCTTCGAAATTCGGCCAAAATTTCCTTTTTGTGTTGAATATACAGGTGTCACATTGTCTCACGCAAAAATTTCGAGCCCTATTGTAATTTTTAATCAAACATTGTTCTCTGCTTTTACACAGGTGAAAGTAAGAATTTATAAAGAACTAAAAATAAAATACACTGTAGTCTGTTAACTAAATCTACTGTGTTGTTTCTTACTTTTTATGCGCATGGCAGCCAGAAATCAAAAGCAAAAACCAAGTGATTACTACTGCACCGATACAGATTTTCAATACATTTACTGATATACATGTACATATACAAAGCATAAGTTTTACTTTATTCTTTTGTACAGTATACACTTTTATGAAGCTGTATGTGTAAAGTTATGCTTCATTGACGTTTCCGTGGCCTTCATCTTTTCAAAAGCAAGCTCAGTGCTATCAATGTTCATAAATATGTATTTATTTCAAAATATTGTCGATGGGACTTGTTACCCTTAAGGATATAAACATGAGTACACTATTTGTATCAATTTCACTAGGTGCTGTGTATGAGAATAAATGTGTATTCATGTGTGTGCTGCAATGATGAGTGTTTCATTGTACATTATTTGTTTTATACATGTCTTTGTACTTATAAGTGCTTATTTGATAAAACATACCTTGATAAAATTGTAAAATGTTCTTATTCATTTATTACTTATTCTTCATTACTGTCACATCATGCTATGTGTCAAGTAAACAACTAATGAAAATAGGGTTAATCTTCAATGCAAAACGTCTCCATTCATAGAAACACAGCTAAGATGAACCATCGAATAAGTCAAATATTTCATTTGACTCTGTTGATTTCGACTTAAGCATGTTTTACTGTATGTTGCACAGATGCATGCACACACGAAAGTGTTTACAATATACTGCCCACCTTTCTCTTACAGAAGTGGACATACAGAAAATATTAACAAGAGGGACTGACAGAAAGAAAATAATAGAAAGCAATCTGATATATCCTCTAATGATTATGGGCTAATTGAAAAGCTAGTTCTAAAGATAATCTTGAAGCCCAGCAAACCGAATATCTACAGATTTACATACCATTGAGTGGTAATACTCCAAAGCCTGCTTGAAGATACCAATTTCAGCAGAACAATCTCCCATTGTTTCATACAATTTCATCTTCTTTTCTGATTCTCCTTCACCCAAATCGGCTAATGAGGATGAGGTATCTTCCATCTTAGACACTGAAATATGAACAAAAAGAAACCTGATACAGGAGGCATCTTCAGCACTAAACAAGAGATCCCAGAGGGACCTAAGGTTAATCAGCATCATCCTTAGCTTCATTCTGGCAGTGTGACCTGGGCTTAAGATATGTAAAATGCAAACATGATACAGGAGAAATATTTCACCTCAGAAACACTAAAACCAACGATACACTGCATGCAGGTGATATTATTTTAATAAGACTTTTTTTAACATTTTACATCCCCAATGAGCTATTATAAAGAATTTATCTTTATTTTTGGACTTATTTTGCAGAGATTCATAACAAGAAATTTAATATACCAATTAAATTCCATTAATAGAAGCTAAAGGTATGTTTTTAAAACCATTGATAAAAGAGGTCAACAGCAGACAGGTGACAAGTAGCCATTTGTATAATTAACTACAAAGGCACAATTCAATGGTGGTGATAGGGAAAAACGTGTCAGCAATTTCCATCAAACTTGAGAGTACACTTTCTATTTGAATTTGAAGCATAAAACTGACACACCTGTTTCATGTTCATTTATTTTTCTTATCCATCACAGTCATCGTAATGAATTTGTTAAACTATTAGTGTGCACTGTAGTCATAACAATTGTAAGGTGTATTAATTTTTTCAGGAAATTTGAAAACTACAGGAAAAAAAATGTTGTTTCTTGCCATTTCCCTTATCTTCCATGATGGCTAGCTATAATCAGTTATCATTAGCTTGTTCCCAATTCAACCAATTTCAATTATAATTGAGTATCTGGGCTGTACAGAAATACAATAACAAGGACTTCAAAATCTCTTTTAAGAGAAAATATTGTTTTAGCAAAATGATGTCGTAGAAGCAAATATCTAAGACTTGGATAATTTATCATCGAGTACATTCCATTTTACACCTGATAGTATCCCACCTGCTTTGAAGGTCCTCATTATCCGCTGTTTTTCGTCACCGACTGATGAAGTTGCTTTGTACGTCTTTTTCAAGGCATGCTTACTTCCACTGTAATCCCCCAGTAGTAGACTAACCTAAAAAAGGTCATATCACACAGAGCTAAATTACAAAATATGTTACACCCATTTACACTTTAAGAAAACCTTCAACTGTTCAATCATCAGTCAGATCAGAGGAAATAATAGTCCTCTTCAATACAACCCAGGTTCCTGTAGAGAAAATCCACAGGTCTTAAACTAAGGAAAACTATAGCAATTGAATGTAATTCTAGGACATATTCAACTTATAAAATAACCTAAATATGTTAATGATCATTAGCCAGTCACAAAAACTGTTGATCAAGATACTTTCAAAATGCTGCAAATGACAAGTAGGGGATGCACACCAAAAGCAGTGTTACAAAATCACCAATCCAGGGGAGACACATCAATAAGCACCATTACATAATCACCAAATGATATCAACAGAACACACATAAATAAGTAGCATCACAAATCACTAAATGACATCAAGGGGACACATATCAATAAGCAGCATTACATAATCACTAAATGACATCCAGGGGAGGCACATCAATAACCAGCATTACATAAACACTAAATGACATCAAGGGGAGGCACACCAATAAGTACCATTACATAAAAACTAAATGACATCCAGGGGAGGCACATCAATAAGCACCATTACATAAAAACTAAATGACATCCAGTGGAGGCACATCAATAAGCACCATTACATAAAAACTAAATGACATCCAGGGGAGGCACATCAATAAGCACCATTACATAAAAACTAAATGACATCCAGTGGAGGCACATCAATAAGCAGCATTACATAATCACTAAATGACATCCAGGGGAGGCACATCAATAAGCACCATTACATAAACACTAAATGACATCCAGGGGAGGCACACCAATAAGTACCATTACATAAACACTAAATGACATCCAGGGGAGGCACATCAATAAGCAGCATTACATAAAAACTAAATGACATCCAGTGGAGGCACATCAATAAGCACCATTACATAAACACTAAATGACATCCAGTGGAGGCACATCAATAAGCACCATTACATAAACACTAAATGACATCCAGGGGAGGCACATCAATAAGCACCATTACATAAAAACTAAATGACATCCAGTGGAGGCACATCAATAAGCACCATTACATAAAAACTAAATGACATCCAGGGGAGGCACATCAATAAGCACCATTACATAAACACTAAATGACATCCAGGGGAGGCACATCAATAAGCAGCATTACATAATCACTAAATGACATCCAGGGGAGGCACATCAATAAGCAGCATTACATAAACACTAAATGACATCCAGGGGAGGCACATCAATATGCAGCATTACATAACACTAAATGACATCCAGGGGAGGCACATCAATAAGTAGCATTACATAACACTAAATGACATCCAGGGGAGGCACATCAATAAGTATCATTACATAAACACTAAATGACATCCAGGGGAGGCACATCAATAAGTATCATTACATTATCACTAAATGACATCCAGGGGAGGCACATCAATATGCAGCATTACATAACACTAAATGATATCCAGGGGAGGCACATCAATAAGTACCATTACATTATCACTAAATGACATCCAGGGGAGGCACATCAATAAGCACCATTACATAAACACTAAATGACATCCAGTGGAGGCACATCTATAAGTATCATTACATTATCACTAAATGACATCCAGTGGAGGCACATCAATAAGTATCATTACATTATCACTAAATGACATCCAGGGGAGGCACATCAATAAGCACCATTACATAAACACTAAATGACATCCAGTGGAGGCACATCAATAAGTATCATTACATTATCACTAAATGACATCCAGGGGAGGCACATCAATAAGTACCATTACATTATCACTAAATGACATCCAGGGGAGGCACATCAATAAGCACCATTACATAAACACTAAATGACATCCAGTGGAGGCACATCAATAAGTATCATTACATTATCACTAAATGACATCCAGGGGAGGCACATCAATAAGTATCATTACATTATCACTAAATGACATCCAGGGGAGGCACATCAATAAGCAGCATTACATAAACACTAAATGACATCCAGGGGAGGCACATCTATAAGCAGTAATACATTATCACCAAGTAAAAGCTTATTTCAGGAAGGTGTGGCAAAATCTGAAGAGGTATTATTGGAAATTTACTTTATACATATTGAAATCACAAGGATTTATCTAAATCCATATCTACCTAATATCTTCAACCATAACAAAAATTTGTCATATGAATTCAAACAACTATCTCAGAATGTGATTATAGTTTATGTTGTGTCTTGTGCAATGTAACAAAGCATTCTCTGGTAAAGTGAAACAAAGCATTCTCTGGTACAGTGAAACAAAGCATTCTCTGGTACAGTGAAACAAAGCATTCTCTGGTAAAGTGAAACAAAGCATTCTCTGGTAAAGTGAAACAAAGCATTCTCTGGTACAGTGAAAAACAAAAGATCTTCTGGCACAGTGAAACAAAGCATTCTCTGGTACTGAAAAACAAAAGATCTTCCGGTACAGTGAAACAAAGCATTCTCTTGTACTGAAAAACAAAAGATCTTCCGGTACAGTGAAACAAAGCATTCTCTGGTACTGAAAAACAAAAGATCTTCCGGTACAGTGAAACAAAGCATTCTCTGGTACTGAAAAACAAAAGATCTTCCGGTACAGTGAAACAAAGCATTCTCTGGTACTGAAAAACAAAAGATCTTCCGGTACAGTGAAACAAAGCATTCTCTGGTACTGAAAAACAAAAGATCTTCTGGTACAGTTAAACAAAGCATTCTCTGGTACTGAAAAACAAAAGATCTTCTGGTACAGTGAAACAAAGCATTCTCTGGTACTGAAAAACAAAAGATCTTCCGGTACAGTGAAACAAAGCATTCTCTGGTACTGAAAAACAAAAGATCTTCTGACACAGTAAAAGAAAGCATTCTCTGGTACTGAAAAACAAAAGATCTTCCGGTACAGTGAAACAAAGGATCTTCTGGTAAAAGGAAGTAAAGCATTCTCTAGCACAATGAAACAAAGAAACATGGTTCTCTAATCACTTACAACAGCTTTTTGGAATACAACTTCATTTTCCAGGGATTTATCTTTGAGTTTGACAGCAGACTTGAAACCAGCCTCCAAATAGCGGTGGGCCTGACTAAGGTTACCTCCTCTTTGGTATATTCCTGCGAGGGTAACCTGACATCTGTATAAATTGTTATACAGACAGTGGGTCCTACAAAAACCAAGCATGCAAATTCATGAACAGACATATCAAGGAACTATTACATAGTGGTAAGGAAAAATGCTAACTCATCTTAATTCTCAAGGAACATATTACACAGTGTAGAATTGGATAAAGACAATTGTGCTGATGATTAATGAGAGGATATTAAAGGACTGACAAAATATCATCAGTCTGGGAACTTTACATCATCATGTAAAATACAAGGCATTGCATTATAATGATCACAATAGCTCAATTTAAATGAAGATAATACATACATTGATCAGCAATTTATTCTGTTTTATGGTTTGAAAACAAAATACCAACATTCTGTGTAGTGCGATATGCAAACACAATGAAAAAGCTATCCAGTTCCTATCAAAATACCAGAAAAAAAATAGCTAAAACTATTTAAATCAGATTTACTCCTATCGATAATATGAAAGTTCACTAAGCCTATGATAGTGGTTGTAACAAATAGTGGCAGTATGAGTTGGACTGGGCCTTAAGCTTAACTATTTAACTATTTTTGTACTTTAGCTGTCAATTTTGAAAAAAAAAATGTGTCTGTGGTATCGCTAAATATCTATAATCAGAAAGTAAAAATAAGTGATTAAAACGGGCAAAATAATGTTATACATTTATATATTGCAATATGACCATTCCTTATTGCAATATATCATGATACACTACAAACCTATCAATACACCTCATACATACTGTGATAATGACAGAGCCCTTTTCATGTATTCTGCACATTGTCTGGTGTTTCTGTCGCTGTCACTTACCAAGGCTGAATATAGAAATAATAGCAAGTTCAGTGGGGTTCATACAAATGTAATCCTGATCTGATCAGGAAACAATGTACATTGTGGATAATTATATCAATAACTATAAATGTAATCTGATCGGTGAACATGACTGAAGATATTACTAAAATTTAAAGGTATGATTTTAAAAAGACAAAACTGTGATTTTTTAATTCTTCCTTTCATTTTAAAACATTACTTATATTTATGTACCATTTCAAAGGTTTCCTTATTAAAGTAAAACATTTTCAGGTATTCCTATTAATAACAGTAAAATTTTGTTTAGATCATGATTTTTTCACATGCTTTCCATTTCTGTGCTAAATGTACATAGTATTTCTCCCTCTATTCGTTAAACAGGTGTCACTGACACCAAATGTTACCTGTGTTACACCTTACTGCATCAACTCACTGTGTTAATACAGGTGTCCAACAGGACAGCAGATAATTTCCAGATAAGTGTGGCATGATTACTTAAATATACTGCCATTGGCTACGTCAGATGATTGATTCATGAGGACATTTCATATAAATTTGTATTTCAGACCGCCGTAAGAAATCCATCAGTGTTAGAGCAGAAGTTTGCTTTTGGTGTGAAACAAAATGATGAAATGTCACATATTTAGCAAGACGGCACAGATGGACAAGCCAATGGAATTGTTCCTAATACTGATTACTTTTCAAAAGCTTTCATCAGAACACATTCATAAAATTGTTTCTGATCTCTGTAGCTTGTCAAGCTTTCATGCCTTGTTGTTAACAATGAAATGAAAGCAGAGCAAATCACGAAAAAAAATTTTTTGGAGGGAAATACTTGTAGCCATTATTTTCAACCAACCAATCTAGGCAAGATATAGTGTTGTTTTATCACTATGATTTACCTTCAAGTTGTAATAGTTTTAAGTAAATCTCTCATCACCTGATTGCAATACTTGGTATACTTTCTCTGGTTATTTGTAAAAGTTTACAGAAAATCTCTCATCACCTGATTGCAATACTTGGTATACTTTCTCTGGTTGTTTGTAAAAGTTTACAGAAAATCTCTCATCACCCAACTGTAATACTTGGTATACTTTCTCTGGCTATTTGTAAAAGTTTACAGAAAATCTCTCATCACCTGATTGTAATACTTGGTATACTTTCTCTGGTTGTTTGTAAAAGTTTACAGAAAATCTCTCATCACCTGATTGTAATACTTGGTATACTTTCTCTGGTTATTTTTAACAGTTTTACAGTAAATCTCTCATCACCTGATTGTAATACTTGGTATACTTTCTCTGGCTATTTGTAAAAGTTTACAGAAAACCTCTCATCACCTAACTGTAATACTTGGTATACTTTCTCTGGTTATTTTTAACAGTTTTACAGTAAATCTCTCATCACCTGACTGTAACCAATACTACACTTACCCAAGTTTAAGAAAATCCTTGCCTTCATTTCTGCATATTCTTTGGTTTCAATAACATTTTTCAACTGTTCACAAAGCTCTAAGCTTTTATCAAATGCATCCTTAGCTTGTGTCACTGCTGCCTCTACTGCATTTTTGCTCCTGCAACTATCAATTTGTGTCAAGAAAGTCCGCCCAATAGTGGCGTATGCTCTTTGCTGTTCCAGTGCATCTTCGCACTGCTTGGCTAAACTGAGATGACGTTGTTGATACTTGAGTGCCTCATCATACTTCTCTAATGAACACAGACACTCCCCTACCCTTCTGCAAGCTACAGCACATCCAATCTGATCTCCAAGAACCTCACTTATAGAGAGCTCAGCCTCATGTTCATTGATTGCCTCCTGATATCGTTCTGAATTATAAAACAAATGAAACATGTATATTTTGTGAAATCAAAAACTCAAGTCTTTTGTATTTTTTACGTTCAAATGCTCACATATCATTTTCAAACGAGAGATCCCACCATTGTTTGATCTTTGTTCATTCTTTAAAAGACGGGTATTTTCCTTTCATTTTCTATTCTTTCCTCTGTTCTTGCTCTTATTTTAATATGAAATTTAAGAGAATTTCTTCAGATATAGCAATAATAATCTTTAATTCTTAAATCAAAGATGGTTAAATGTCAGCCATTTTGTTTTGATCATTAGCAACAAAATCAAAAGGGCACAAGTCAGGACCAAGGTGAACCTCCATATAATTTAAGATCAATCCAGTACTTTCTTTGTCAAAATCAATGCTAGCCACCTGTAAGCAATCTCCTAATCTCCTCTCTGATTCCTCCAATCCCTTCGTTCTCTTGTCTCTGCCACTCTTAACACCTTGCTCTCTACATCTCTCTGATTCCTCCAATCCCTTCGTTCTCTTGTCTCTGCCACTCTTAACACCTTGCTCTCTACATCTCTCTGATTCCTCCAATCCCTTTGTTCTCTTGTCTCTGCCACTCTTAACACCTTGCTCTCTACATCTCTCTGATTCCTCCAATCCCTTCGTTCTCTTGTCTCTGCCACTCTTAACACCTTGCTCTCTACATCTCTCTGATTCCTCCAATCCCTTCGTTCTCTTGTCTCTGCCACTCTTAACACCTTGCTCTCTACATCTCTCTGATTCCTCCAATCCCTTTGTTCTCTTCTCTCTGCCACTCTTAACACCTTGCTCTCTACATCTCTCTGATTCCTCCAATCCCTTCGTTCTCTTGTCTCTGCCACTCTTAACACCTTGCTCAGCCTCATGTTCATTGATTGCCTCCTTTGATATCGTTCTGAATTATAAAACCTTGAAACATCTGTATATTTTGTGAAATCAAAAACTCTTAACATCTTGCTTCTATCTTTTTACATTCAATCCCTTCGTTCTCTTGTCTCACATATAACATTGCTCTCTACATCTCTCTGATTCCTCCACCATTGTTTGATCTTTGTTCATTCCCTTTAAAAGATTCTCTTGTCAGATATTGCCACTCTTAACACCTTGCTCTCTACATCTCTCTATTCTTCCCTTCTTTCTTGCTCTTACTTTAACATGCTCTCTAAATCTCTCTGAGAATCCCTTCTTCTCTTGTCTCTGCACTAATAACCTTCTTCTAATCTCTTAAATCAAAGATGGTTAAATGTCAGCCATTTTGTTTTGATCATTAGCAACAAAATCAAAAGTTCTCTTGTCTCTGCCACTCTTAACACCTTGCTCTCTACATCTCTCTGAACCTCCATATAATTCTCTTGTCTCTGCCACTCTTAACACCTTGCTCTCTACATCTCTCTGATTCCTCCAATCCCTTCATTCTCTTGTCTCTGCCACTCTTAACACCTTGCTCTCTACATCTCTCTGATTCCTCCAATCCCTTCGTTCTCTTGTCTCTGCCACTCTTAACACCTTGCTCTCTACATCTCTCTGATTCCTCCAATCCCTTCGTTCTCTTGTCTCTGCCACTCTTAACACCTTGCTCTCTACATCTCTCTGATTCCTCCAATCCCTTCGTTCTCTTGTCTCTGCCACTCTTAACACCTTGCTCTCTACATCTCTCTGATTCCTCCAATCCCTTCGTTCTCTTGTCTCTGCCACTCTTAACACCTTGCTCTCTACATCTCTCTGATTCCTCCAATCCCTTCGTTCTCTTGTCTCTGCCACTCTTAACACCTTGCTCTCTACATCTCTCTGATTCCTCCAATCCCTTCGTTCTCTTGTCTCTGCCACTCTTAACACCTTGCTCTCTACATCTCTCTGATTCCTCCAATCCCTTCGTTCTCTTGTCTCTGCCACTCTTAACACCTTGCTCTCTACATCTCTCTGATTCCTCCAATCCCTTCGTTCTCTTGTCTCTGCCACTCTTAACACCTTGCTCTCTACATCTCTCTGATTCCTCCAATCCCTTCGTTCTCTTGTCTCTGCCACTCTTAACACCTTGCTCTCTACATCTCTCTGATTCCTCCAATCCCTTCGTTCTCTTGTCTCTGCCACTCTCAACACCTTGCTCTCTACATCTCTCTGGTTCTTCCAATCCTTTCTTTCTTTTTCTTTACCACTTTTACCCGTTGCTCTCTACATCTCCCTCATTCCTCCAATCCCCTCCCTCTCTGTCTTGATATTCTGACACCCAGCTCTCTACATCTCCCAACCTTCTCTATGAATTTTCTAATCCCCTCCCTTTTGCTTTCTGTCTGTACACTCTAATGCCCAGCTCTCTAAACCTCACAATTCTCTCTCTGATTCCTCCAATCCCCTCCATCTCGGTCTCTGCACTCAAACATCCAGTTCTCTACACCTCCAAAACCTTCATTTTGCTTTCCCAAATCCCCTCCTCTCCTGATTGATATGCTTAAATATCCTTATTCCTATTGCAACCCTTCGTTTAGCAATAAAGGAAAGAAAAAAGGGTCTGAAGAGGGATGCTGCATGCATTTTAGCAATTTGGGGTACATGTTATTTGCAAAATAGGGACTTAACATATATGGAATGACATATATATATATATATATACCGTAAATATTCGCGTATAGTGCGCACTCGCGTATAGTGCGCAGGTAATTTTTGGAGATCAGATTAAAAAAAAAAATCTACAGAAAAATTAATTGACTGGTCACTGCGACGAAACATTTGATGTGGTCTGATCCATTGATAATTAGGAAACCACAATGAGCATGACCCTAACACATGTAATTACCTTAAGTAAACAAATTTACCCAGGTGACCTAACCAGCATGAAAGGCTTGGCTGATTGTGTAATTAACGGTTAATGACAGTTAACACATTGAGTATGAGGAGACCGATGACACCCGGCTTGGGCTGAACTGTCTGAACATTTTCAATCCTACCTTGTCCCCATAAAAGCAGGTGGTTTGTTCAGTATAGGCATGATCTTTCATGGTATCTGTACCCACTGCGGTATCCGAAGGTATTTAATGATAGATTGTTTACACCGACTTCAACATGGGGAAACAGCGAACATCGTTTACAGCGAAAGAAAAACTGGACGCCATTGACTACGCCGAGAGACTTGGATTTCGTGCCGCCGGTCGCCACTTCGACATTCCGGAGTCAAATATCAGGGCATGGAAGAAAAAAGAAGACCATCTAAAGTCCCTACCAATCACCAGAAGGGCTGACAGAGGTGCTACCTCGAAATACCCAGAGATGGAGAGAGAGCTCTTCAACTTTGTATGCGATCGCCGAGATTCTGGCATTGCTGTCAGTACAACGGAACTGCGACTGCGGGCTATGCAGATCAAGAGAGGTTATGGGGTCACCGACATGGAGGACGAGTGCGATATCTTCTATCACGATGACGAAAAAACTACTGAGGCGGACTTTGATCCAACAACTTTTTTCGATAGTGACGAGGAGGAGGAATTTGCAGGGTTTTAGTGACAGCTCGTATGGTGATCAGGGACTGTGATAAGTGAAAAGTAAATGATATTAACTGCTTAGTGCTCTATGGATTATTTATCGTAAGTACCATGGTACCTATTACAATATGATTAGTTTAGTGCTATTGTAAACTTGTGATTTATGATGACAGATATTATTTTTATATAGATGATAATATAACTCATTCGAAATTTATTTTATTTGTTTGTTGTTTTTATCTCTAAACTATCATATATGACCGACTATTCTTATATATATGTGAAGGGAGGTAATCCAATATGGCGGATGCAGAACTCGGGAATGATAACCCCAGGAATGGCATGTACCTGCATATAGTGCGCACCCCCTTTTTTACACGACAGTTTCAGCTTAAAAAAGTGCACACTATACGCGAATATTTACGGTATATATACTATGAAGATATTAACCATCACAATAAAAAACACCTTTCAAACATAGTATACTAACTTTATTTTCTATCTATACTAGCCTTACATCATCCTGGAATCTAAATTTATATTATGTAGGTATGTTTGTACCATGTCATGTCTAATGAATAATTTGTTAAAATATACTGAAATTATGAATTGAAAACCAGATGATTGATCTTTAGACCAAGCGAGTTGAAAATTAAATGGACAACAGACCATGTAGCATATAGCATAAGCTAAACTTCAATGAAGTAGTTGAGCTGAAAATCCTTGCAAAAGTATACATACCATTTTTAGACAAAAGAACCCCAATATAGTTACATATCAATGCAGCCTCTTTCAGATTACCAGATGTTTCATTTTTCTTCTTCTGTCTGCGGAGTTCTGAAACAAAATTTATACAAATACTTTTAAGACACTTCTTAAGTAATTATAACATGTATATTATCTAACAGCATATTTTGGATCTATTAAGCTGATGACATGCCAAGAATTACAACAATGCAAGCTGCCCAAAATTGATACCTTGAATACAAAGTCACTATGAGTTATCAGTCTTTGTCTGGGAGTTCCAAGATCGTCAATATAAAAATGACAGATGAGCAAATGGGGAAGAATGTTTCATTGTAAATTTCAACATAATACATTGAAATTGATGCAGTTTTGCTGTAAAAGGTTGCACAAACACCCAATAAAAAGGCATGCTTCAGTGCATGAAGTTTTTCAAGATAACTTGTAAAGAAAAAATGGCAAGAACCTGGACAAGCCATTTCACATAAACTATTGATGCTCATGACATTGTACCTGAACGATTCAAGTTTCTGTTTCACACGGTTGCATAACCCTTGCAGAATAAAAAATTCAAACATACAAATATATTCATGCAAATATTAATTTCAAATATTTTTATGATTTATTTCTGCCTTAAACAAGTTACTTCCTGACGAAATTATTTGTAGCAATCTGGATCATTTGTTGTTCCACATTCAGTAGGTTAACATGTGTATGGGTCGTTGCTTATTTATGGACTACATCTACAAGGATGAAATTGCTATAAGCTACAACTTTACAAAAATCTAATATACATTGGAAACTAAGTATATGTTACCGTAATTTATTCTAGGAAGACTTGTTTCAGTGTATTTCCCAAATATATGTGTGCAATCATTTATTTGTACGTAGATGCTTATTATTTCAAATTGTGTTGCTATGTATATTATATGCATTAAATTTTAATTGAGTAATAAAAAATATACTTTCTGATGCTCCACAAGGAAAATTCCATTAGCAGAAGATAAAGAAGCTAGTAAGGCCACATGTGCTTTACTATGTTATTTCTGAAATTTTACTTTGGGGTCTACTGCAATTGTGCTGGCCATAAAATGTCCGATATCCATCTTAGTGTTCAACTCAAAATGTTTATCTTGCATTATTGATTGAGAACCACCAAAACTTCAACAGTGCTATTATTCAATCTTTGTTCGACTGACATTGATGTTACATTGAATTTTATCTAGTGACATACACCAAAACTGCTCTGTATGGAAATATAGTTCCAAACATCAACAGACATGTTACAGATTTTATAAATCATCATAAATGAATTTGTTCATTTCAACATATTAAATCCCTTATTTCAACTGTTATTTATATTATTAAACTTATTTAGGTAAATTCAGTAAATAATTCTTATGAATTAATGCACGTGCTAAGATATAGCCATTTTACTTCACTGCCAAATAAAGCAAAAATATGTGTGGCAGACATATTCCTATGATAGCACCAAATGCAGGATAAAGAGGAAGTGCATTAATTTGACATTATTACTTGCTGATTTACTTTAATAATAATTCATTTTAAAATTATTAACAACTATCTAAATATCTTATTTGTTGCAACTAACAAGATCTTTCAAGAAAATTATCAAAATTACTTTTTTTAATATCCATTGAAGTATGGAACTACACTTCCATGCGGAGCAATTATTTTAAAGAAATCCACATTTCAGTGTAATGTCAATGTCAGATAAACAAAGATTGAACAGCCTCAACAGTTAAAGTTTCAAAAGGCCTAATCTGCATGTGATGCAGGCTAAATAGAATACTTGGTCAATGTCTTAAAATAAAAGCTTCGTTTTGGCTCGTGAGAGAAAGACAAAAGTATCTTGCCACTTGTATCTTCCTTCACTCTCGTTAAAATATAGCTAATATTTCCAGCCACTGGCCATGTATCTCTACTTATTTAACGTCCTGACATAAGACAAATCCGCGGATGAACAGATGAAGGCGCCCTACAGGGCATGCAAAGAATTAACATTTAAAAGAGCTTACTGTCTATCTCTTTCTCATCAGCAGTATCCATTTCGTAACCCATTGGTTACATTACATCTGAAATTTGAGAAAAGACGAGCAGTGAAGGGTTTCTCAGTTCCTAAAATTTTGCTACTTGTTTTTCCCGGTAGGATCACCAACGCATGCGCAAGGAAACTGTGGTGTCTCAGTCTCTTGAGTGTTTGCACCAAGCGCGAGCGCCTGAATGGAAGTAAAGTAGATCTTTATTTTGACCGCTTCCGCTGGCGCGGCTGGTTTCACAGATAGGTATGTCGTTTTATTATGTTTATCTGGTTGTTGTGAAGATTATAACAAACATAACGATTCTTTCATTGTGATCTCCATCATATTGTATTACAACTGGGAATATATGACATATTGATACAGTGTCATGATAAACTTTTTTCTTAATGAACTATACTCAGATTAAATAAGTGCAAGAGATTTTTAATAGTTGGACTTGCTGTTTTGAAACTAGCTTCTGATTTGAATAAAGATTTGAATTTATTTTTTAATGTTCTTCCCATGCTTCATTTCTAACTACTTTCATTTTAACAAAGTGTAAAGCATTGGTTCCTATGTGAATTTTCCTGTTCAATTAAATACTATTACTTTTTTTCTCTTCTCGTGTACTAATATCTGAAGACATTCATTTATGGAAGGTAACTCTAAAAGAAAAATAGGACAAGATATACAGTTCTGCATATATATTTTATTACAAAATATACCGGAAACTTTTGAGGTGAAATTTGTTGGCAGTTTTTGTGAACAAAAACTACTGTAAATCACTCAGATTTCGCAAGTACTTTAGATTGTGAAGATATGATTTCACGAACGCTGATCTAGAAATTACTTCCTATTTGTAAATGATGGGCTATTACAGATCTTGATTCCAATATTGGTAACAGAATAAACATTGATGCCCTCCACATTTTCTTTGTACAAATATTTGTTAGGTATTTGAACTTGCGACTGTCACTCCTTGCAGAAAAACAAGTGATTTACAGTATATCTTTCCTGGTTTTTCCAGTAGTCTTTTCAAGCACCCTGTCAATCGATCAAAATGCATAAAATTCAGGAGAGTCAAATTTAACAAGACCATTTCCAAACTTGTGTACTACTTAGGTTTTCATACTATCAAAAAAAAGCGGGGAGGAGGAGATAACTTTCCAGTCTCTGATTTTAAGTCCCAAATTCTAGCCTTCTGAAGTGCCCTGCTCAGGCACCTTGAACCTGCTGTACCCGATAGCTTTACTCTTATTTTACCTCCCACTTAGGTAAGGAGGGTGTTATCGTAATCTTTTTGTCTATGCACAATAACTGTATACATGTAAGATATCTCATGAACATCTGAACAGGTTTGTCTGTGAGTGTGTGATAAGCTTGTGTAAATCTATGTATTCTTATCACTTTACTAACTACTTACTTACTTATACATTCATACTCACTAATTTGTACCCATATCAATAAACACATTCATATGAACAAATGCATCCATATTTATGGATATAATCATATTTACTAATGTAACCATATTAACCAATATAACCATATTAACTGTGACCATATGAACTAATGTACTGATATTAGCTAATGCACCAATATTTACAAACCTACCCAAATTAACTAATGTACACATATTAACTTACACACCCATAATTACTAACTACTCATTTTCACTATTGCATCCGTCCTAACTAATGCAGCCATATCATCTGTAATAATTAATGTACCAATACTAACTAATACATCCATATTCTTGATATTACTTTATTTTTCAGGACACCATGGACTCTACAGGCAATTTGAATGTGATGGATTTCAGTACTGTTAGGTTGATTTGCTCAACCCTGGAAAATGTAGTTAAAAAATCTTTTGGTCCTCTAGGATTGCAAACTCTGCTGTGTACTGCTACAGGCCATTTGGTAGTAACCAATGATGGATTGACCACAATAGAAGTACTGCACCTGTCCCATCCTGTCGCCAAGTTGATAATCCAGTCACTGTCAAAATCAATTCACTATACTGGAGATGGGAGTAAGACATTTATATTGTGGCTGGCAAAGTGTGTGAGAGATATAGAAGAGGAAATCTTACTGAGCACAGGAAAGAAAACTCCAACTAATGGTTATCAATGTAGTTTGGAAAGCAAATATAGAATACAAATGAGCAGAGATCTAAATAAAATTCTTCCAGAACTTTTGAAAGGTATAGTGAAATATGTTTGGGACCATTCAGCAGCTTGTAAATGTAGACAGGGAAAGGAGGAAGAGATATTATACACAAAAAGGATAATCCATACAGTTATAAGACCACATTTCCCTCAAAATATTTCAAATATCTTCACCGAACTTCTCTATAATATGGTACAGTTTGACCATGATAGTGATGCCAAAATTTACCTCCGTTACATTATTGATCACTTTGAAACACTGTGCATCAAAGTAGGCAATCAACCCTACACATCGTCAACCATGTTGGAGTCATTTGTTATCCAGCGAGATTTCACAGTTTATTGCCCCCAGACATTAAATGGAAATGTCAAGTTTGTTCTTCTGAGATGTTTGGTAGGTCAGTTAAATACAGAAAATAAAAATGAAAAAATAAAGCTGACCAATTCGCAAGTTATTGGTCATTATTTACAAAATCAAAAGAAATTGATCAAAGATTTCATCTCTGTATGCCAGCAATATGGAATAAAACTTGTCTTGAGTACAGAAAAAGTTCCAGACTTTATTCAAGAGATCTTCCAATCGGGTGCCATTTCTCTGGTCCACTATGTATCTGATGAGGAAGCAGATTTCCTGCAAACCAGCCTTAAGATACATCCCATAACTAATTTGTTTGACACTGTTGAAGAAAAGAACATTGGTTTATCCAAACAATGCAAAGCTTTAGTAATAGCAGGTCAGAGATGTGTTCATTTAAACCTCCGAGGGCTACCTCCCATGTTACTGGTATGTGGACTGTCTGATGGTTTATGTAAACAGGTAATGTTGGCATCTATCAAAGCTCTTAAGACACTTCTACACTATCACCAAACTGAAGAGTTGATTCCCATCATCAATCAAGGGGAGACAACGGACCAAAATACAAGTTTGATGAAGGATGTATGTGCTGTGGGCATGAGTGAGAGAGAACATTGTGAAACCTTGGGAACACCAGGAGCAGTTGTGAAAGAATGTTATAGTTTATGTGTTTGTCATAACACGGTAGTGGGCAACAGTTTTGAGTTTATGGCTGCTAAGTATTGTGAGGAAAGAGCAAAGGAACTTAGAGTAAGAGACATAGGACAGTCAATTTTATTTCAGATCTTCTCAAAAGCACTACTCGCAGTGCCTCAAGTACTGCATGAAAACTCTTGTGGATCTCAAAGTGACAGAGTCAGTTTTATTAAAAAACAACAGTTAGTGTTTTCAGAGTTGGATAAATTAGGAAAATGTGATTTAAGAGATATTTTGTCATCAGCTGGTTATGGTCATAATGTTGGAGAATGCGTTGAACCTCTAAATGTTAAAGTTCATCTATTATCTACCCTTACAGAATTATTACAGCAACTTCTTAGGATTGACTCTATTGTTGGAGTTCAGAGTGTCCATGTATAAAACAACAGTAATGCCCTTGCTGTTAATGTCATATATGGCAATTGAAATTAAAAAATAAAGCATTTTGTTTTCATATCTATTTTCACAATTATTTACTGACTGCATTATTTATAGTTCACCTGACTAACGAGAAAATGAACATTTGACAGGTGAATATAAGCCTCCATATGATATAAGTTGTCTATTCTCCTTTCATTGTCATCCATTCCCTAAAACAACTTACAGAAATAATCAAAAGACTTGAGGCATACTATTGAAACGGCAGCATGCATAATGACAAACTAAGAAGCATAATGCAATGAATTGTCTTGAACGTTTTCAAAGTCACATGGGTCAGATGTGCCAAAATTTTAAAATCTCGTAATAAATAAAAGCAGCAATATTTTGCAGGAATTTTCAGGTCACCCGGACAAAGTCTCGGGTTGACCTATTGCGATCCCCTTTTGTCTGGTGTGCTGTGTTGTAAACTTTTAATATCTACGACTTATTCTGGAAAACTGATAACAATGAAACATTACAAAAACCTTCTTAGCTAAAGGTGCACCAAAATTGTAAATTATAAGGTCCCCAATCCCCAGAGGCCTGAGAGCGCCAAAAAGGGTGAAATTGATTGGATTGAAACTTCAAAAGTCTTAAATTACAGGTATGGTATAAACAAATATCCTTCTAGAATGGAATGGCCTTCAGAAGCTTTACAAAAATTGTAATTATCATGACTCCAGGGTCTCGCCGTTTACCCTTGGGAGATGGAAAGATCTACTAAAGTTTATGTAGGAAAATTACAGTTTTGCACATGATTTGTTTATTTTTATTGGAAATAGTTCAAACCTGGTTAGAATTATTAGTTAAAGATTAGTTTTATGAGATGCACATATTGACCTCTAGGGGCTGTTAGATGGGTAAAATTTATATATTATGTAGAAAAATTACATTTTTGAGCATAATTTGTTGATTTTGTTTCAGAAATATTTCAAACTTGGTTAGAATTTTTGTATTAGTGTAAGCTGACAGTTTGATTAGATGCACATTTTGACCTTGACTGACCCCTGGGGCTAATGGGCAGGGCCAAAATTGGGTCAAATTGACTGAAATTTCAAAGATGTTCTACTGTTCCTGGATAGAAGATTTTATATAGGAAAATTCAAATCAAATCTTGAGTGTAATTTCTTTTAATTCAAACTTGGTTAGAAGCCTTGGCATGGGACAGAAGTAAATGTATACACAATTTACATTTGCATTAGGTGTACAATAAGTTAAAGTTATGTTACTTTTTTTTTTAAATAATCATTTCTATGGCATGTTACAAGAAGCATTGTGACTCAAGTGATCGTTAAGGCCCTTGGGCTTATTTTATCATATGATGCTAGAACACCATTTTCAGAAATTTTATAAGTCCCATAACTAAGATATACAATGTATGTCGATTCCGAAAATTTGAGGGAGTCCAGAGGAAAGGCGTGAGTTCTGGACTTGAATACCTGAGTTCCAAATATCACCGAGTTATGATATTGGGCTTTCGATAAAGACTTTTCAAATCCTTTCAGGCACATGGTCACAATATTTGGCTAAAAGGATCATTGGGAAAATAGCTTACAAGTTTCCAAAAACATATGGCTTTGGCCTACCTTCAAGCTCTTAGGGGTCAAGTGTCATTAAAGTATTTTTATCAACTTTTCAGTAACCAAAATGTACTCAGATATTTGGCAAGTAACTAGGGTGAAGGGCTATCAAAATTGTTCAACTTGATTACATTAGCCCACTTTGAAGTCGCATTCGGTATCATGATACCTTGACCTACCAGTCTTTTACCATGATAAATCAATCAAGATCTACAAGTCATTGACGGAATCCAGTATCATTATGTGCATGGCATCAATTATGGTCATCAACTGGTGTTGTATTAGTGATCTAAAAGCCCGTTACCATGATAGTAGTGATTAATACCAGTTATCGTGATCTACCGATATCGTGGTGTCTTTATAGTCCAGTTATCGTGATCTACCGATATCGTGGTGTCTTTATGGTCCAGTTATCGTGATCTACCGATATCGCGGTGTCTTTATGGTCCAGTTATCGTGATCTATCGATATCGTGGTGTCTTTATAGTCCAGTTATCGTGATCTACCGATATCGTGGTGTCTTTATAGTCTAGTTATGGTGATCTACCGGAATCGTGGTGTCTTTATAGTCCAGTTATCGTGATCTACCGGAATCGTGGTGATCTACCGATATCATGGTGTCTTTATAGTCCAGTTATCGTGATCTACCGGAATCGTGGTGTCTTTATAGTCCAGTTATCGTGATCTACCGATATCGTGGTGTCTTTATAGTCCAGTTATCGTGATCTACCGGAATCGTGGTGTCTTTATAGTCCAGTTATCGTGATCTACCGATATCGTGGTGTCTTTATAGTCCAATTATCGTGATCTGCCGGAATCGTGGTGTCTTTATAGTCCAGTTATCGTGATCTGCGGATATCGTGGTTTCTTTATAGTCCAGTTATCGTGATCTACTGCTATCGTGGTGTCTTTATAGTCCAGTTATCGCGATCTAACGATGTCTCATCTTCCATCCTCCAGGGGTTACAATCACTTTCGCTCTCTGTATCCCTGGAACATGTCATCACAAAATTGAAGGTATTGTAATGGCTTTGAAGTTGGATGTCACTCCTTTGTATCTTCAAAATGAGCGTATCAGCCTGTGATTGTTCAGTTTTTTTCTCCTGGAGCCAATCAAATTACTGCGTTTGTGCCTTCAGCGTTGCTATGACATGTTCCAGGGGTACAGAGAGCGATAGTGATCTCAACGCCTGAAGTATTGAGGATGCCGATGTCTTTGAATTATTATTCCGGTTATCGCGATCTACCGGTGTTGTGATACATCACATATCTTGATATAACAGTATCTACCAAGCATTTTGGTATACATGTAGTTTGATAAACCAATTGTGGTGATTTACGTAAACCGGTATCTTGATACACCAATTATCGTGATTACCAATAGCTGGGTGTCCTGAATTCTTCGTTCATCAATATAAGAATTATCGCGATCTACCGGTATCGTTATTAGTGATTTATGAATGACCATGCTTTTCTGCTATTGTGATCTATCGATGTATTGATATACATGTTAATGTGTTTAATGAATGTTGTAGAAAACATATAAAGTGTGTTCAAAACTTTAGCGAATAAATGTTTCTCGAATATCACCGATTGCAAATATTGAGTGATGTGAAAAGTACATTTTCCTCGCGAGTCAGTTTCTCTGAACACCGAAATATGATATTTTATTTCCAACAGAGGCAGCGACTCTCGCTGGGAATTGAATAACAGACCGGGTTTACTAAGCACTCTACCGTCTGGACCAAAGATGAATTAGAGAAATTCCCTTTAGCCGAGTCGGAAGGAAGGGACTAATATTTAACAAGTGTTGTGTGTAATGCTGTGCATTGCACGTATTCTAGTCTAGCTCTAATCGCCGGTATACAATATTTTTTATATATCATTTGCTACTCGTGATCAATCGGCAATTAAACGTTTCTATTCTTCACTACTAGTTTGCCCCTTCATTCTTATATCGGATCTCTGGAACTCATGATGTTGTCCAAGAGCTGCCAAACATAGCGCTCTTTGTCTTCTAACATTTCTAACACTTCAACCGCCGCGTTTTGACGAGCGTTCTCCAGTTCGAACTTCTGTAGTTTGTCGTAATTAATTTGAAGATATTCTCCCCATCTTTGTAATAGTTTATCGAATACGAACCTTAGCAATTCATCCTCTCCCAAACCGTTGTCAATATCGTGCTGGGCACGTGACCACGTGTTACTCTCAATGATTTTTTGAACAGGAATGTCACGCTCGATGACATTAGGGTCACAGAGAGCGGATGCTGATTTTGATATTTGTCCAGACTTCAATGATTTTTCGTTACCACTTGCAGTTCCGCACGAATCTGATAACCCTACACATATTGTTTTCCCATTACTTTCCTTTTCTGCAGATTCATCGCTACTTTGATCTTCATCAGTTGCTACGAAACTCGCGTCTTCAGCAACGCTCACTGTTTCGGTGTCTGAATCGGAATTTTCTTCCTTTCCTTTGTCAAAAGTCTCATTTTTTTCTTTTGTGCTCGTAACTTCGTCGGTGTCTTCAATTGATTGCAGTGAAGTCATAACCAGCATGTCTTGGAAATGTTTCTGTATGAGAGCGGCATTTGGAATACATGTCTGGATTTCGTTGTCAACTGTTCTATTTTTGGATTCATTACATGTCAATATATGCCGGAGTCTTCCCTGTGGCGATGCTGCTTTGTCATATAACTTCACCATGGTATAGGATTTCGCATCAGTCGGTGTCTCGCGCGCCATCTTGTCTTGCTGGGCGGTTATGTTTCCTTTACAGTTGAACATTCCAGAAGCAGCGAGATACTGATGATCCAGATTTACTAGGTGTAAGAAATCATTCGGCTCTGTTTTTTCGGGTATGCGTATGTCGTCCGATTCTACTATGGAATTAACTTCGTCTTTATTACATTTTCCCTTGTCTTCTGACTTGCTCTGTAATTGTTTATCACAGAAATTTGTAATAACAGATGTATCATCTGAAATAACTCCAGCTCCATCTATATCTTTTTGTTTCTGTGTATCGCTAGATTCCATTTTATCAAGATAAGAAATAGCCAGTGTTTGTTTCTCACACTCCGAATTCACAGTGCATTTCTTCATGTCTTCGTCAGAAATGACGGTTTTGGGGTCGAGACCGGTACTGTTTCCAGTATTGACAGATTCGCCTGAAGTTCTACACAAATCTTCTTCGAGATAATCGTTCCCTCCAGTAAGTGAAAATCTTACAGGCGCCATGCTGCTGATGTTCAAACGAGTTTTAACAATCAAGTCACGGCCGTCTCCAGGCACGAAATGTCGCTTTGACAACGATTCATTGCCATTTGGCGTATGCTTATGACGTCATAATCTGCGTCGTCTTTCTTGGTATCAAAACCGACGTTCAAAATAAAGATTTGTTTACATGATGGGTAATTACAGAATAAATCTCTGGCAAATATAAAAAAAACGTAACGATATCATAACAACACCGTTATAACCACGATCAATTACTAACAGCTTCCTACTGATTCTGCTATAAACAATTAACTAGATAAATCGGCAGAGATTTAATCGTTTACTTGAACAGTCTCAGTGGTCCCGGGTTTGATTCCTAGTGGATAGTAAATGGCACCCTATAAGGAACATACAAGGCATTGATGGAGACATGAATCTTGTTCTGAAAGCACGTGTTTCCCATAGAAAACTAGAGGGAGAATTAGATCCTTAAGTGAGAAGTATGTAACCCTGATGAAATTATCAAGGGTTCGATGTCAATTAACACGTCAGTCAGATAAATACATGCTGAACTTGAATTACAGAGTTTGTCAATTATTACCTGTCAACGACTTTCCCTCAAAACCGACATCAAATCATATTTTGTCGATAGGATCCTTGAATAAAGGTTGTGAAAAGTAATGACCTTGATAGCATTCATGTTCACATGTGCCAAACATGTTAAATCAAGTAACTTGTTATCGCTGACCAAGACTTTGAAAGAAAGAAATGTGAAATGAGGAAAACAATGAATGAAATGTTGTAATTAACCCGAATATGAATGACTAGCTGATGGAATGTCTTTAAATCGCATTTGTAGTCAGTATGAATGGAGATTACAGACACCTAGACTAGCAAATAACATGGCGTTTGTTGACAGAACCAAGTAATTCATCTGGACTGTGAAAGCTCCATCTATGTAATGTAAATTTGTCCTTGCTGATGTTTATATTTTTGATACGATGTTGTTGCTATTGTTGTTTTCAGACGTGTTCGCCGTTCGTGTGTGATCGATGTCATTCAATATATTTGCAGTCTGATAATTGCGAATGTTTTACAGCAGGATTGATTGATTTCTTAATTTTAGTTGGATGTAATTTACTTTATCTTGTCGAGATGGATTACACAGAGTTCCTTAAACATGTTTTTCCCAAGCGGCATTTCGATTGAGTAGATTCTTCTCAATCAAAGACACGTGGTTACATATACATCAGTAACATATTGGGATTAATGACCTAATGCCATTTTCAAGATCGCAGGGATCAAACGTGTTTAAAATTTCAAACATCTTTTCCGAAGTAACCAAAATCTGGAGTCACATTTTGATTTTGGCAATCTTCCAAATAGCTATCATCGCCAACTTCTAAGGTCACGTGGGTCAATGATTCCACCAGCTTCTCAGTAAAGAAAACAGAGTATTGATATTGGCCAAGAGACTAGCTAGGATCAGTACTTTAAATTTATTCAAATGTTAATCTGGGTCCCGTTTCTAGGTCACATGGGTAAGATGTATTAACAAATGCATGTTCAAATGACTTGATTACAATAATTAACAATCAAGGTCACGATGTTGTCAGGAGCATATGTGATGAAAATATTTCATATTTGTTCAATGAACGACCTTGACCACTTGACCGAATGTGTCTACATCTTCTAACGTACTGTTTTCAATAACCAAAAGGCCAAGGGTCATAATTTTGGATGATGGTATCTTAAAAATTTATTCAAATGAATTACTTTGAACTACTTTAAATATATACTTGTATATGTGGAACGGGACGGGAAATTACAGGACTTGAGAATTTCTTTTCCTTCAACTGTACTCATTTTTTGTTACGATATAGATTCAAGTGCCAAGACGTTGAGGTACTAAAGTTTAATACTTTTACGTACACTATAAAAGTCGATTACACAGTACATTGTATACATCCCTTACCTTCTACGGTAGATCTTCATTTAAAAATAACATATAAATTAAATAAAACGTGCACTTATTTCACAACACTATGTTTTAAGCTTTTTATCAGACGCATTAATTTATAAATATCTCAAATACGTTTGTAAATGCTGCTATAAGTTATATAAATAATATATAATTATTTTAAAATAGTACTGGTATCATATTAAGGAATGCTGTTCACAAGAGTCTGCAAACTTCTAGCATATGTTTGTGCAGATACCGTTTTTGTGCGAAAGCTCTCCCACATCGCTCGCAGGAAAAGTTCTTGCACTTCACGGAGTGAATTAGCATATGAGAACGCAGATTACTTTTATCAGCGAATGCTTTGTCGCAGCCAACACTGGGACACGTAAAAGGTCGTTCGCCAGTATGGGTTCTAGTATGACCCTTAAGGAGCCATGACCGTGTGAATATTTTCCCGCATATATCGCATTTGTTCTTCTGTTTCATATGATGAGATCGCAAGTGGGCAGTAAAGGCGGAGAGTGACGCGAACGTTTTGTTGCAATCGTCACAATGCAGAGCTGACGACTTATCATATGTCTCCCCAGGCTGGACGTCAAGCATGACTCTCCGGTGTCGACCGGACTCCAACAAGTTTCGCGCATACTCCGTCATCCCGTCATTACTTTCTGGTTGCGACGAATCACAGTCGTCTGTCATACATAAATCGGCAAAATTCTGCACACTTTCATTGGAATCAGAGTCGTTGAGATATGAGTTGTCGTTCTTGTCGTAATGTCGGTGTTGTTTTCGCTGTAAAACATCAAGCTTTGGATCAGAATCAAAGTCAACTATTGGGTCTAGTTGTGAATCATCTGACATGACATCATCATCGAGTATCCCGAAATCGACCTCTTCCTGGCATGTTCCCAAGAAAACGTCATCATTTTCGTATTCATCGTCAGTTTCCCATTCATCGCTCGATTCGGTGCTGTAGTCACTCGGCAGGTCGGACCGATTCTCACATGGATATTCCCCAAAACATTCCAATGTCTCCCTGGGGTTCACACCAGCCAACTCCAGATGTGGCACGCGTAAACTTATTTGGAACCTTGTAACGAATGACATGTAACTCATAGACTTGTACTTGACAATGGGGTATTTTTTCTTCTTCTGTGCGTTTCTTGGATTGGTCTTGACCTCTTTCTGTGGAGAGTGAGTACCGGATGCTTTATTTTTGTTACGGAACGGTACCTTCTTTATTGCCAAGCCGGAACGTGTCGTCATGACGTTAGGATCACGTTCTGAAAATGGAATATACATGATGAAATTATCAGCAAATCGACATTTTTAGGTCATCTGAGATTACTTCAAATTACACGACAACAGATACGGTAATAATTATAAAGATAAGCAACATATCAGACCTCTATAACAAACAAGATCTGTCATATGATGAAAGCTATAAAGGGCTAATATAGATGAAAATAGCATGACAACAAATGAGGCCGTATCTTAATTTATAAAGGTCATAAAATGTTATCATGTAGGATTATGTAATGGAAAACTGGACTGTAGAAAACTAGAGAAAGGGGTCAAAAGTGTTAAAGATATCATGACGACAAATAAGGCCGTAAGATAATCGATGTCATGTGCAAATATGTAGCCTATGGCGACAGACGGGTCACATGATAATCGATGTCATGACGATAAATAGGTTATTTAACCGATGTCATATAACAATAAACAGTTCACTTGATAACCGATAGCAGAAGTTTTTCAACTATTTTGGGAATCAGAAAAAATAGATAGCATCATATATATTTTTGACAATTTCTGAAACTATCTGCATTTCGAGACTAAATATACATTATATTTCTATAGATAGATCACATGCTACATGTGTCATATGTCAACAATCAAGGTAACTTAATAATAGATTTATGTCATATGATATATACATTTTGTACCCATAGTAACATGTTATGATATGTCATAGTGCCAAAACTGAGCCAGGACTCCTAATGAATTATCTCTCTGAATAAATTGTTCTGGAAAGATCATACTACGTCCGCCTAAAGACTAACAGAGAACACATGTACTACTATGCCATATATGTTTATGGGAATACCAAAGCGAAACTTCCACCACATTCAATGTGTATGAAGTTATAGCTTTGTTTAAGGACAATGTTATATTAATATTTGTTTTGTGGTACTGGAATGGTGCATTTGTAGCGGAGAGAAATTGTCATAGGTAGTTATCATGCATGGCTAAATACCCGACCTTGTTAAACATGGAGAAATAAAATGGGTGAAACAATGTTGGTTTATCGTTTGGTACAAAATCTAATCTTTCAAAATATAAAATGTTTATAATATGTGCTCAGGAGGTTTTTGATGTCAGCGTGTGTCTCGATTTGGGTACGTCAACTTTACATGTAAACATATATATATATGTATGTATATGTTGGCTACTAGTGGATACTGCAAGTTTTTACATTGCCGTGCAATGTTATTAAGGTCAGTCTAGTCGTAGAATTTTAACAACCTCAATCGTAATTGCAATGTGAAATGTACTAGGAAAACTTACTCCTTGATCCAAGTAATTATTCTGGAACACCCAGTAACACAAGGGAGATAACCGAAATGGAGCCAACGATTTTAAAATGCTTTAGTCCAACAGTTAGCTAGACATAAGTTTACTACATTTTTACAACAATGTTTAGATCTTATGGGCAAACGGGTACAGGCCTTTTGCGTAAATCCTTCGAACTCTTGCTCAGGTTAGTACATCTGACTGCATTGAAACCTGTGGCCAATTTTGAAGTGATGATGGGGATGAGTTATTGACTGAAGTTCCGTCATAGAAGAGCATAAAGAACAATTTCAACTTACAAAAAGATATCTTGCACTGAAGTAGCTTGAACTGCCGATAAAACGACTTCACCCCTAAAATATTGTTGAACATCAAAATAGATGTGTCAAATCATACTATTAAAATCCCATTCTAGAGTAGACCTGTTTCTAGGACTTGGTTGTGCCAAGGTGATTTTGAATTTAGAGTTGAATACAAACCTGAACCTCCAAACCATCGACCTGTCCGGTAGTCTCTCACAGCATGGATAAGACATTTAGGCATACTGCTTATAAAAATTTAGAACGACACTTTGACTTGTATAACTTGACAAACGAACATCGTTTGACCGTTTGTTTACATGGCGTCCGTCTGCACTGTTCGTTGAGAAGCGCGCGCTATGACGCTTGTTGCTAGGTAACCATTGCAACTGTGGACGGGCACCTGTGTTGTAATTCTGAGAGAAAACTAAATTTGCAACGGTTATACATCAGGATTTTCTCTTGGTTATAATTTTATATTTGAAACTGGTTCAAGATAATCAGGTAACATATTCGTATAATTCTCGCCTATCACTTTAATAACCGATTTTACCAGATGAGAAAAACCAGGTTGATTTTGGTGTATCACAAAATATTTTATTGATTTACAAGTATCATTTCGTTCATCTCCAAAATTACCAATAGAACAATATTCGGAAACACAATGTTTCTAAAATTTTGACAGAAATATCCTTATCGCAACACTGCTTCAAATTAATTTTCTAACGACATACAATAGAATTATCTGCAAATATCGAACAGTCTCGTTTCCACAGTTTTAAGATATTTTTTGTAGTTGCCATATATACGATAAAACATACAACCGATAAATGTAATTGATCAAAAGCATAGATACGTAAGTGTATCATATTATTACACTTCCACGAAAAAAAATAATAAAGTAGTCTCGTTAGCATTTCTCAGACATAAAACAGGTTAATTTATAACTTTGGAAATGAAGTCCATGTATAGGATTAATATTAAATGTCTGTGACGTTTCCCGTATACACGTTTACATTAAGCAAATGTTCGTTAATGTGTTTACTATCTGTCACTATAAAAAGTGGAACTAATTGGTTTCGTACCTGTATGTGAAAAGAATATGTGTCTGTACGATTAATAGAATGGTTGGTTGGTTTAGTGGTTGGTTTTTGGGTTGTAATTTGAGCAAGAACGTTAACTGAGCAATAGAAATATCACTGTTTCCTTATATAATAGAACGGAACACCAAAATGCTTTAAACACGTATTTACCTTAAAAAACAAACAATAAAAGAAAAAAAAAACATCTTTACATTCGAAGCATCTTCTGTAATGATTACCCAAAAATTTGAAGCGGAAGGGAGGTAACTCTGTAAGACCTAGGATTTATGTAAGAAATTTTGCAGCATTCTGTCTCTAGTAACAGCTTGACTAAATTTGAGACGCGTTAATTTTCTTTTCATAGAGTTTTTATAGGTCCAGGTTTAATTTGGAACGTCATACTCAATGATAGTAATTTGTTAGAGAACAACATCTTTGATTTCAGTTTGAACTTTACGAGTTTGATACTTTAAGACACAACGTTAATGTTGTATTTGTAAATACAGCTGTTTCAGTGATATCGATGTCCTTTTTGTTAGATATATTAAGTTGATCACTATGGCATTTTGTTAATGAGTGCGCTTTGTCTGATGATAACATTGATATTGTGTCAGAACTAAGATGGCATTCGAATGGTGTCAGAACTGTGAGATGACAAGTTATATGGACAGATCTGTGAGAGAGTGAAATGACATCAGTTACATTGCCAGAACAGTATGATGACAACATTTATATTGTCAGAATTGTGTGATTACAACATTTATGTTGTCATAATTATGTGATGACATCATTTATATTGTCAGAATTGTGTGATTACAACATTTATGTTGTCATAATTATGTGATGACATCATTTATATTGTCAGAATTGTGTGATTACAACATTTATGTTGTCATAATTATGTGATGACATCATTTATATTGTCAGAATTGTGTGATTACAACATTTATGTTGTCATAATTATGTGATGACATCATTTATATTGTCAGAATTGTGTGATTACAACATTTATGTTGTCATAATTATGTGATGACATCATTTATATTGTCAGAATTGTGTGATTACAACATTTATGTTGTCATAATTATGTGATGACATCATTTATATTGTCAGAATTGTGTGATTACAACATTTATGTTGTCATAATTATGTGATGACATCATTTATATTGTCAGAATTGTGAGATGACAACATTTATTTTGTCAGAATTGTGAGATGACAACATTTATATTGTCGGAACTGTGTGATTACAACATTTACGATCTCTCAGAGTTGTGGGAAGACAACATTGATGTTGTAAGAAGTGTGAGATAACACCTTTCGTATAGCCAGAAATATGAAATGGCAGCATTTATTTTGTCTAAACTGTGAGATGACAGCATTTATATTTTGTCAGAACTGTGAGATGACAACATTATGTTCTGTCAGAAATGTGAGGTGACATTTATATTCAGTCAGAACAGTGGGATGACAACTTTTATAACGTCAGAACAATTAGATGACAATATTGATTGAGTCTATGCTATGGTACCTGAAATAGATATGAACCCTGATTAGTTTCTAGTACGCACAGCTGAATTTGATTCAGTAAGTAATTAGCAGAGGATACACATATGTACCTTTTTACTTACATACATACGTGGAATAGCAGTAACACGTGGATAGAAATACATATGTTGATCTAATCACACAAAAGATTAATGTGTTGGCTGACTCTTTACTGCACACGAACCAGTCTCTTTTAAACTTCGAATGTATTGCTTATACATAAACAGATGAAATGTTATATACACACGCAAACCGGAATCAATTGAAGAATTGCAAACACGCTTACACACGTGTAAGATGTATTTCTAATCGGTGTGTCGTGTCTGCCGTCTGTTACCTCCGATCGTACACCTTCATAATGTTGACGATTGAACGAAACGAAAACGACTATTGATCTGGCAGAGTACTGAGTACGCTATATGTATTAATTATTTATTTGTCGCTGGGCTTGCATTGTGTGTCGGTGATATTACTTACACAAACGTAATCAGGGATATACTCACGGGTGATTGTAATGAACGGATCACCTTGACAAAACCTATTGCAGTAGAAATTCTGAGATTTAAGTGATATAAAGTGACAGAGACATGGAAGCCGTAAGGTGTGTGTTACTGCTGCTGTTCAGCACAAGATAGTGTGTTTCGTTCCGTAAGTATTATTCCACAGTGCGTGCAATGCTATCATGTATCGCACTCGTATAAAACTGACATGTGGAACCGTTAAGATCGGCTTGTGGTAGTAGGTACTTGCTACTATTGAACGTATACTGATAAATGAAGCAAACAGTCTTAGTGTAGGTTTTCCGTACCACAGTGGCACTCTGCGCTTCTGTCCAATAACATCAAACCGCCTTATATGGTTAATCGCTGGTCCTATACTACACACATACACGATACACATCGCATTTTCGCATAATTTATTCGCCCTGTCGAAGAAAATTTTCGCTTCGCCCCTTCGTGCTTCCCCCGTGGAGAATGATTGTACAGATAGACTCTTTCGAAAGCAAATTATGAGGGCTTTTAACCTTACGATGGACAGAAGCGGACTGGATTAATGGGATACTGACCAAAGTGCTTCTAAACGGTATTACACAAAACGCCATTATCTTCGACCCATCCTCTCCACTAGCCAGTAGCAGCAACGCTAATTTCCACACAACAGCTGATAACGGAACCTGAAGGATCATGGCTTACAACAGTGCGTTTATATATAAAATACCGTCTCACTGATTATCAACGCTCCTGTTACGTGCTGTATATTTTACACAAGGAATTAGTTTTCAAATTACGTCAGGATTTTACCAGTGCAATAGGTACGAGGAAACTTTACTCGTGTTGATTTCCAAGTAAGATTCTACATACGCCTGTCAATCTTTGTTTTTACAGTACATTGTTTACAAATGTAATGCATCTTTTCCTGTAATTAATTTCACTTTGGATAATTTAATTGCCCGTTATAAATCAATATATGATCGTTATTTCGATTTCTTTTCTACGTGTTGATATTTCTATCTGATTTATTCCGGTAACTCTTAATATTCTGTGGAAACTGAGTGTGTATTGATACATCAGTTGACAATCTATATTGGCATTGGATCTGTGAGCCTTAGACTGTGACTGTTAATACCAGTCTATCACTGCCTCCCACAACGTGGATGGATTGGTGCTTATAATCACGACGTGCTCACATTGTGGTTAATGAAGAAAAGGTTCACTGTTGTTTAATACAGGAATGGACTTTTGACCGTTACACTTGGAATGCACTGGTCACTCGTGCCTAAATGACACAAGGAGGAGGTCGTTTCGATTTTGATGACGGGGGGACGTACTGTGGGGGTTGGGAAGATGGCAAAGCCCACGGACACGGGGTGTGTACCGGGCCTAAGGGTCAGGGAGAGTACTCTGGGGCGTGGCAATATGGCTTCGAGGTATCGGGCGTTTACACCTGGCCCAGTGGAAACTCGTTCAAGGGCCAATGGTTCCAGGGAAAGAGACACGGGCTGGGAGTAGAAACGAAGGGCCGCTGGGTCTACCGGGGGGAATGGACCCAGGGATTCAAGGGCCGTTACGGTGTCCGACAGAGCGTTTCCTCCGGGGCAAGGTACGAGGGCACGTGGACCACCGGGCTACAGGACGGCTATGGGTGCGAAACCTACGCTGATGGAGGTAAGTCACATATGAACATGAATCTAATTTTGAGATAGTGTCTTTGTAGCATCATTGCCTCCATATTCCAAAGCCGATTACCGGCCATGTTTATTTGACCTTGCCGAGCACACGTATGAATCAACTGATATAGAATCTGAAGGCGATATCTTTGATTAAATTGTCCATTTCTTTACCACAACTTATGGTCAATCTACCTGTAATCTTTACTGCCTTAACGTAATCCTCAGCTACTAATTTCTATATAACAGGTGTCATATTAGTTTCTCGACTACCCATATCTATATACATGTAGCATAAATGTGTTAGAGCATTAGTGCTCTAAAATGACGGTAACAGGACAGTCACTTGCAGTATTACACGTAGGTAAAACAGGATGTGCACTTCTAGTAATACTTGTGGGTATTACATTACGTTCACTCTGAGTAATACACATAGGTATAACCGTTTGGCAACTCACAGATACACACTTGGTATAAGAGGACGTTCGCTCATGGAAATACACGTGGGTACCACGTGGGTTTAACCGGACGTTCACTTACAGAAATACACAAGGGTAACACGTGTGTATAACAGGATATCCACCCACATAAATACATGTGGATAAGAAGTGTGTATAACAGACACAGGGGTATAACAGGACGTTTACTCACAGCAATACACGTGGGTATAACATGACGTTCACTCACAGAACTATATGTTGGTAACATGTGTGTATAAAAGGACTCTCACTAACAGAAATGCACGTGGGTATAACAGGACGCTAATTTAAATAAATACACAAGGGTAACACGTGTGTATAACAGGATATCCACCCACATAAATACACGTGGATAAGAAGTGTGTATAACAGACACAGGGGTATAACAGGACGTTTACTTACAGAAATACACGTGGGTATAACAGGACGTTTACTTACAGAAATACACGTGGGTATAACAGGACGTTTACTTACAGAAATACACGTGGGTATAACAGGACGTTTACTCAAAGAAATGCACGTGTATATATAACAGGCTTTCACTCTCACAGTAATACATACAGGTTTAACAGGACTTTCTCTCACAGAAATACTCATGGGTATAACAGGACTTTCACTCGCAGTAATACATATAGCTATAACAGGACGTTCTCTCACAGAGATACACATGTGTAACACATGTAACACATGTGTATAACAGGACGTTCATTCACAGTAATACACGTGTCTATAACAGGACGTTCACTCACAGAATACAAGCGTTTAACACGTGTCTATAACAGGACGTTCACTTACAGAATACAAGCGTGTAACACGTGTATATAACAGGACGTTCACTCACAGAACACACGCGTGTAACACGTGTGTATAACAGGACGTTCATTCACAGAAATGCACCGAGTATATCAGGACGTTCACTCACACAATCACACGTGGATATAACAGATGTTAACTAGCAGTAATAAACGTAGGTATAAACGATCGTTCACTGATATTAACACATGTGAATACAATAGGACACAAGGGTATAACAGGACGTTTACTCACAGTGATATACCTAGGCATAAAAGATAGTACACTCACAGTTATATACCTAGGCATAAAAGATAGTACACTCACAGTAATATACCTAGGCATAAAAGATAGTACACTCACAGTAATATACCTAGGCATAAAAGATAGTACACTCACAGTAATATACCTAGGCATAAAAGATAGTACACAGTAATATACAGTAATATACCTAGGCATAAAAGATAGTACACTCACAGTAATATACCTAGGCATAAAAGATAGTACACTCACAGTAATATACCTAGGTATAAAAGATAGTACACTCACAGTAATATACCTTGGCATAAAATATAGTACACTCACAGTAATATACCTAGGCATAAAAGATAGTACACTCACAGTAATATACCTAGGCATAAAAGATAGTACACTCACAGTAATATACCTAGGCATAAAAGATAGTACACTCACAGTAATATACCTAGGCATAAAAGATAGTACACTCACAGTAATATACCTAGGCATAAAATATAGTACACTCACAGTAATATACCTAGGCATAAAAGATAGTACACTCACAGTAATATACCTTGGCATAAAAGATAGTACACTCACAGTAATATACCTAGGCATAAAAGATAGTACACTCACAGTAATATACCTATGCATAAAAGATAGTACACTCACAGTAATATACCTTGGCATAAAATAAAGTACACTCACAGTTATATACCTAGGCATAAAAGATAGTACATTCACAGTAATACACATGGGTTTAACAGTATGTTCACTTACAATTACACACGTTCACTCACACCAACAAACGTCAATGCAAAAGATCGTTCTCCTACAGAAATACACGTGAGAATTAGAGATCGTTCACTGACAGAAATACACGTGAGAATTAGAGATCGTTCACTGACAGAAATACACGTGAGAATTAGAGATCGTTCACTGACAGAAATACACGTGAGAATTAGAGATCGTTCACTGACAGAAATACACGTGAGAATTAGAGATCGTTCACTGACAGAAATAATTTGGTGTATTGATCACCGGATTCAATAAATTTGTGGTTATTTTACAATATTCTGTGAATGAAACAGAATCACGATGCCCTACAATAAATAGTATCTGATGGTAGGACAGAAAATTTTACATCCTGTTCCCAACATTTATCCCAAGGCACGACATGTCTAAAACATCGGAAAATTTTATGAAAAGGGTTACAATACCAACGTTTGGTTATTGCTCAATGATAATTGATGTATTGCACACCATGTGGTATTGCCGAGCGATTAATAAAGCGCCAGTCTGATTTAGGAGAACATGAGTTTGTTTTCTACCGGTAGAGGATGTTTTACTGGCCGCAATTTAGGTACAAGATGTTTGACCAGTCATAGGTATCAGATGCTTGACCAAACGTAGGTACAAGATGTTTGACTAGTCGGGGGTACGAGATGTTTGACCAGTCGGGGGTACGAGATGTTTGACCAGTCGGAGGTACGAGATGTTTGACCAATCATAGGTATAAGCTGTTTTAATGGCCGGAGGTACACGATGTTTGACCAAACGGAGGTACAAGATGTTTAGCCAGTCGGGAGTACGAGATGTTTGACCAATCATAGGCACAGGGTGTTTTAATGGTCGTAGGCACGGGAGGTTTAACCAGTCAGGGATACAGGATATTTGACCAGTCATAGGTACAGAACGATTGGCAAGGTATGAATGTAGATACGGGATATTTTACCAGTCATAGATAAAGGTTGTTTGACCAACTATAGGTACAGGACTTTTGACCAGTGATAGGTACAAGATGTTTGACCAATCGTAGAAACAAAATGTTTGACCAGTCGGAGGTACAAGATGTTTGACCAGTCGGAGATACAAGATGTTTAATCAGTCGTAGGTACAAGATGTTTGACCAATCGGAGGTACAAGATGTTTGACCGGTCGGAGGTACAAGACGTTTGACCAGTCGGAGGTTTGACCAGTCGGAGGTACAAGATGTTTGACCAGTCGTAGGTATCAGATGTTTGACCAATCGGAGGTACAAGATGTTTGACCGGTCGGAGGTACAAGACGTTTGACCAGTCGGAGGTTTGACCACTCGGAGGTACAAGATGTTTGACCGGTTGTAGGTACGGGATATTTGAAGTCCGTGTGCAACACTCTTCTATCAAATCTGTCACACCAGATGACGCTCAGGTACGAACCCTTGTGCACTCTGAATTAGATGTGACCGGCACATGCACGTTTCTGTGACTCGGCAGTAAAGGTGGGTCTACTGAGCGATCACCACCACATAAAAACAAACGGTGAATAAACTCCTGTGGTGACTTTTAACCATGGTGCATGCCATGTACCACACTAACACTGACGCGCTACAAACAAGACTGAGGGTAGGTGATGGCAGAAATGTTGTTGTGTGATGAAACCTTTATCAGCAATTTACATCGATCAATACTTCGTGCTTTTCTACATAAACTGATGTTGTTGGCATTCAGATAAATATCGATTAGTTGCCATGGTATAGCTCGAGACGAGGTCAAGGCTGTTCCGCGAATTATCACAAGCTAGTCGTCTGTCTTATATTATCGTGACACCGCACTCCTATATTTACGCCGAGTCGTATAAAACCGCATTTCTATATTCACGTCGAGTCTTATAAAACCGCGTTTCTATATTCACGCCGAGTCGTATAAAACCGCATTTCTATATTCACGTCGAGTCTTATAAAACCGCGTTTCTATATTCACGTCGAGTCGTATAGAACCGCATTTCTATATTCACGTCGAGTCTTATAAAACCGCGTTTCTATATTCACGTCGAGTCGTATAGAACCGCATTTCTATATTTACGTCGAGTCGTATAGAACCGCATTTTATATTCACGTCGAGTCGTATAGAACCGTATTTCTATATTCACGTCGAGTCGTATAAACCGTATTTCTATATTATCGCAAAGTTGTATTATATAACCGCATTTCTACTTTTATACCAAATCGCATACCATCCACTATGATCTCACAAGAATTATTGCCCTTGGTTTCACTCAGTCAGAAAAATGTATAGCACTACACTATATCAGGTAGCGTATTGAAAACGAAAAAACAATCGACACAGAACAAATTTGCGTCTGGCTATGTCATCTTCTTCATTAGCAAATCGACTCCAGTTGCTACATCAGCGTGACGTTATCGTCCACCGCAGCCACGTGCACGATCGTGAATTTAATACGTACGGCATGTGTCCGAGAGCAAATTTTCTGTTAAGGAAATGCGTAGGAGCACAAGTCGCTGTATAAAGCAGTAGCACTTATATATGTTGTGTATAGTGTGTAATACGCAACGTGACTATACGGCGTTGTGACAGTGGAAGTACGCTACCCTAATGCACGTTCTCAGCGTGACCTTGAGGTTGCGGTGTTGTACAAACTTTGAACGATTGTATGTCTGCAGGAGTGTGGTGTTGAAAGAGCTGTACGAGCTCGGCATTATTGTAAA